ACTTCAACAAACTTAAAACTTACAATTATCCAAAAATCTAATCCTTTACTACTAATATTCGTATCAATGGGGGAGAACAACCCCTACTAATGAAAATATATTTTACAAAAAGAAATGATAATCACGTACACAAAGTATGTAGGATAATAAATTATCAATAAAGATAAAATTTTACACTAAATTTTATGTTTCAAATATTATAACTCATAACGATAAAACATTTATTATTAATAAAATAAATATGTAATATAATTTCAGTTCTAGAACAAAATTGTAGGTACAATACAAATGTGTGTTCATACCGAAAAAGAGTTTACTTATAAAGTCGGCAAATATTTAAACAGCCGTCTGACAGTAATTTTATTGATCATACGTAATTAAGGTAAGTCTATTAGTTCGCCTCATTTTAGTTATTAGTAGTAATGGATATGTTATCTTCCATCGGAATCAATAAGACTTTATATTAAAGATATTTATCACAAACATGTATTATGTAGAGTATTTCTTCTTCATATAAATAAACTAAAATATAACTAATTCAACATTATATCAAACCTGAACAATTCTCTATTGTTTAAATAATCTAAAATATTCAATTAAGTGCATTTATAAATCCCTTGCTGACACAGAACATCAGAATAGGTGACGCCGACATAAAAGAAACACATATATACAAATATCTCGGGCACGAAATACAAATCGGAAAGAACAACCAAACACACGAGATACAGCGCAGAATAGGTTTGGGTTGGGCTGCTTTTGGCAAACTGCGGGAGACCTTTAAAAGTGATATACCTATATGCTTGAAGAGGAAAAGTTTATGAACAATGCGTCTTGCCGGTAATTACATATGGAGCGGAAACTCTAACATTAACGAAGAAGTCAGCAGAAAATTTAAGAGTAGCCCAGAGAGCCATGGAGAGAGCCATGCTTGGAATAACTAAAAGAGACAAAATTCCTAATAACACTATCAGACAAAAACCAAAATTAAAGACATAGTGGAACACGTAACTCGAATGAAATGGAGATTGGCAGGTCATGTGGCGAGAACATCTAAAGACAGGTGGACTAGAAGATTGTTAGAATGGCGACCTCGAGCAGATAAACGTAGCAGAGGCAGACCACCGACACGCTGGACCGATGATGTAAAGAGGATTGCTGGAAATTGGATGATGACGGCCCAAAATCGAGAGACATGGAGAAATATGGAGGAGGCCTACGTTCAGCAGTGGACAACGATGGCTACATGATGATGATGATGATAAATCCCTTTAATCGTTATTACAAAACACTAGAAAGAAAATCGAGAACAAAACCCATCACAAAAAAGTTATCTAACAAAATTAACTAAAACTAAAAAACACAATAAAATACAAAGCTGGAAAGAATTAACTCGCATAGACTAACTTAAGCATTTAATCTAAGGGACATTATAATTTCTCCCCTCCCAGCTGTGTTTTTCTTTTAATCTTGCGAAAATATCCAATTCCGTATTGTATTTCTTTTATTTCTTAATAAATTTGTGTGATAATAAGGCCATATGAACAAAACTACTTGAAAAAACGCATTTTTATAGTCTAAGATCCGGCTGCATGACTATTACGCTCATCGTTTTTTTTAAACGAAACCTAATTTTTACGTATATTTATGAATAGGAAAATACACTTTTCACAGGGTGTCTATCAAAAACTTACCACAACTATATTTAATTAATAATAAAAACTGATTTTGGAGACGACATTACGCTCATAATTTTTTTTGACCATTTATATGTCGAATTAAAGCTATTTTTATTCTGCATATGATGTTATAAGGGTTACAACCTATCAAAAACTAGCCGCAAATAGAGGTTGCCACTAGCTCCTGCCACTGCCACTCATTGCCACTGCCACTAGCTCCTACCTATAATAAAAACTTAGAAATGTTGTAAGTGCCAAACTAAAGTACATATAGTCTGTGAAACGAATAACTTTGAATTTGACAGTTCCCGCGGGCTTTTCTAGTGTTAATTTTATTAAGTTAGCAACTTGCGGCCATCATGACGCAATGCCGTCTCCAATGGCACGGCCATAGAGCGAGATTTATGACGTCACGCTAGTTAGATACTACGGATTAATAAATATGTATTAATTAATAAATATATATATGTTACTATAAGCGCGCTAAACCTAGGATTTAACAAAAGCATTAACTAATTAGGTTAGCCTGGTTATTTGGAAGGCGTTAGTGCATTGGTTAGCCTGGTTATTTTGAGGGTCTTAATGCATTGGTTAGCCTGGTTATTTGGGGGGTGTTAATGCATTGGTTAGGTGGTTATTTGGTGGGGTTGGTTGGTTTTTACTACCACTTGCTTTTGATAAATCCTAGGTTTTACTGCATTTCGGACATTTACAGTAACATATATATTTAGTATATTTTATATGTAATTTTTTGGATTATATTTGACACTATTTTTTTCATATGACACAACACTGATGAAGGCTATAATTTTAGCCGAAACCAAATGAAAAAAAATGAAAAACTAAATGAAACCTTAATCAGCGTTTTTCCCGAACCTAAATCCCAAGAAAATCAAAAATTTTAGAATAATTTTACATATAAAATGACAGCGATCTTTCTTTCATAGGTGACGCCTTTTTTTCCATGATATTGTATTATTTGCAAATATAATTTTTCGAACATTGATACTTGCAAAATATGCATTTAAATTTTGTAAATGTAATTAATAATACATCACTATTAGTAGATATTGAATGTTTTTTTTAAATTAGATCGATTTTCAAAACCCCAAATTTAAAACATATTTTACATTTTACCCATTATCTTATGTACCTATTCATTATTTGTAAATTGTAAAACATTTGCTGCATTTGTATGGTTTGTATAAATATGTAAATATGATATTAACTGTATATTATGTATATTTCATGTAAACTATATCGTTTTTAAAATACAAACCAAAAATTCGAGGAATAATTATGTTTTCCATGTATTCTACAACATATTTATTAATCCGTAGTATCTAACTAGCGTGACGTCATAAATCTCGCTCCGAGGCTGCTCTATTAGAGACGGCATTGGTCTGATATTTAGAAATGTCAAAAGCTGATGACATTTTACTTTTGACAATTATGTCAATTCGTGTTGATTTTTGCAAGAAGAGGAAGAACTGTCACTTGTTTTATTATTTTCCTTTTCTATTTCACGAAAGTAAGAAGAGTTACCTATCTGATTCGTTCAGGCACTCAATTTAAAGAATATCAGTAACTTTTCTGATAGAGGGATTTTATATTTGCTATGTTGGTAAAAAATAACGGTCAAAATTCAAAGTTATTCATTTTATAGACTATACTAGGATGTAATTTAGGAAAATATTTTAACTTATAGAGGGTGGCTCAAAAAAGTGTGAATGTGAAGTGTGAAATGGAACATAAAAATACTTGTATATTAGCCCTGTATATAATTGCATTTTTGGTTTCCTTTCTGATCACTTTACATAATCCTATGATATTATTAAATATGTTTCAATAGTTTCAGAGATATTAATAAATAAATAAATAAAGTATTCAGAAAATTTATTTTCATTCTGTTTGAAAAAAACGAAGAAAAATTATTTATATTTTAGAAATTTTGGCATAGAATTTTGAACACCCGGTATAGTTTAAGATTACGATATTTATACCAAAGTAAGTTCAGACCAACAATAGTAAATATTTAGTATAGTTTAGATTCAGAACATTTCTTGTATTTTAATAATTTTGAAAGAAGGCTGAAAACGTTTCTTTTTTTTTAATTTATTTATTAATATCCCTAAAAGTATCGAAACATATTTAATAATATCTTAGGATTATGTAAAGTGATCAGAAAGGAAGCCAAAAATGCAATAATATACAGGCAGGGCTAATGAGAAGCTAATAAGTATTTTTATGGTCCATTTAAAAAGTCATCCCGATCCACTCACACTTTTTTGAGCCACCATCTATAAGTTAAAATATTTTCCTGAAATACATCCCAGTATCACGTACATCCTTTAGTTTGATACTTATACACAATTCCTAAGTTTTTTAATATAGGATCTACAGATGCTCGACGCACTTTTGTCGGGCTCGTAGAAAAAAAACTATTTGCGGCAAGTTTTTGATAGGCACCCTGTAAAAAGTGGATTCTCCTATTCATAAATATACGTAAAAATTATTTTTTGAATAAAAATACGATGAGCGTGTAATAATCATACAGCCGGACCTTAGACTATAAGTTATTATTTTTAATACAATTTTATAATTTGTCATATATTCAGCAAAAAGAGATAAAACATTTTGCAAGCAAGTAAGCTTCATTCAGAAAAAGTAGCAAGAAATCTAATGCCATTTTTTAAAATTGGAAAAAAATTGAAATGTAATAATTGAAGTGACATTGACCTGAATTCAGTGCCTAGTGATGCTTCTAATCCTTCTAATTTTCCTAATCTTTAATGATGAAAATTAATAAAATTTAATAATAATTATACGCTATTAACCTGCCTTTTCTCTTTTAAACATTAAGTACCAGTATACAGCATAGTACATAGTACAGCAATTAAAAATATAAAGAAAAATGAATTATTTACATATTTCTTTAGGTTTAAAATGAAGTAAAAATTTAATAGAACAAAGTCAGATACGGTAGATGTTCTTATTGCCTCTTTCATTACTAATTACAATTATTTCATTCAACCAACTATCTTTAATAAATAAAAAATGAGCGAAAAATGAGTATTTCTACAGATCTATTTATATTTTATCTTTTTATTTACTTTTAAAAATGTTTTAATAAACTCATTAACAGTTAAAAAATTTAATTCAAAATAGAAAATATATTTTTTTTATATTCTCTTTATATACCCAGTTCTTGTACCTATATTTTATAGAATGTAGAAGGGATGGTTTTTCTAAAAAAGGCTACTAACACAACATTTTACAAAATAGTCTATTGACCAAATAGAAACGGACATTTTTACTTACACAAGATAAAAATGTTGAAAAAAATACCCGTGATCGTCCAAGCCCGAGCCATCTTTACCACCACACGACCTTTCAAAGAGAGAGCGAACGTTTAGACTGTGTAAATGTTGCGAAAACATTCGTTCGACATAATCCATTCTGAGTAGGCTCACGCAGAATCATTGGGCGATGTCAATAAAAGGGCGCAAGCGTAAAAATCAAAAACGTGGGTGCCCATTTCGTTGAAACCCTTTTAGCCGCCAACGTCGAGAATGACCTGAGAACATTTAGTGAGTGGGAGAAGCAAAATATGGGTAGAACTTCCGTTTGTTACGTTAACCCCGTAATTGTTATTTTTAATATCAACATAGTAACATCATTTTTTTTTGCTTTTTATTTTTTTAAATTCGTAATTTAAAAAAAAATACAGTTTATGTTGTGATTTCAAATCAACCCCAATACCGGGTGCGTCTCAAACGTGGCTCACCCCCCTATAACTTTTTTATTTTTCCATATAAAAAAAATGAGATTTGGTATTCAATTGTTTTTGGTCACTCTGTTTCACCGGAAATGACTACAACTTTTGATTTTTAAATGGCAGCCTCGGTATATTTTTACTTTATTCGATAGAAGATGATTCCTGAATCGAATGACATATCATATGTCAATTTTTGACATTTTCGTTTAAAGAAAATCGTATTTTAAACTTGTATAAAGTAAAAAAATACCGAGGGTGTCAATTAAAAATCAAAATTACAGAATACATACTTTAAACTAATAATCTATACTCTATACTAACATATAAAATCCTTAAGTGACTCACTGTTAATCACGATCCTGCTCAAACCACTCAACGTAAGGAGCACAATTTTGGCATACAGGTTGATTCTAGGGTGTAACTACAGGTTCGATAAGAAGGGATTTTTCGAAATTCCAGTTCCAAGGGGGTGAAACCACCCCTGAAATATTACAATATTTTTTATTTAAAAAACGGTCAAGTTTCCGAAAAAACGCTTAAACACGTATATTTTATTTTGTTTTTTCACATATTTTAAGATTTTTTAAAAATGTATACAGGGTGTTTCGAAAAATCTGGTCATTGGTTAATCACGATTCTGCTTAAAGCGCTTGACGTAAAAAGCTGATTTTTGGAAAACGGATTGACTTTAGGGTGTAGAGGTTCGATAAGAAGGGATTTTTCGAAACTCGAATTCTAAGGGGGTGAAACCGCCCCTCAAATATTAGAATATTTTTTATTTAAAAACCGGTGAGTTTTTCGGAAAAACTCTTAAACACGTGTATTTTATTTTGTTGTTTTACATATTTGAAGATATTTTAAAAATTTATACAGGGTGTTTCATAAAATATGACCATTGAGTAATTACGATTCTGCTTAAACTGCTTGACGTTTAAAGCTGATTTTTGGCAAACGGATTGACTGTGGGGTGTAGAAATTCAATAACGAGGGATTTCTCGAATCTCAAATTCCAAGAGGGTGAAAACACCCCTCGAATATTACAATATTTGTTACTTAAAAAACGGTTAGTCTTTCGGGAAAACGCTTGGACACGCATAATTTATTTTGTTTTTTTAGATATTTTGAAATGTTTTAAAAAATCATACAGGGTGTTCCAAAAAGTTGGGTAATTGATTAACCACGATTCTGCTTAAACTGCTTGACTTAAAAAGCTTATTTTTGGCAAACTAATTTTTCGAAAGTGAAATTCCAACGAGACGAATCTACCCCCCAAATATTACCAAGTTATATAATAATATCGCCATATTGTTTTTTCTCAGGCTAACATTAAATGTGAGAAAAGTTTATCCAGTTTGTATGTTAATGGAAATACTTGCTCTGCTTTATCATCACCATTACAAATGATTAATTCGACGCGAACGCAGTCGCGGGTACACTCTAGTAAACAATAAAAGTTTCTAAAATATTCAAAAACTAAATTAAATATGGAATATACATCTAATAATATTAACGATTTTATGTACAATACTTATTAAACTTAAAAAGTTAAATATTTTATAAATATACGTCTTAATATTTGAACATTTATTTTTTGTAGTACATATCTGAACAGGAAAACATTTTATATCACTGATATTGTACCACACATGTAATTAAAATTCTATGTAAACGATTAATTTAATTTATATAACAAAATTATATATTTCACAAAGAAATGACAATCACGTACAAAGAAATTATGTCAATTAGAAATCAAAAGTAATCATTTCCGGTGAAACAGCAAGTGACCAAATACAATTGAGTACGTCAATGAACCCTAATTTATGTCATATACTAACATATTAAATTTCGTTCTTCTATCTAAAAAAAAAATAAAAAAGTTATAGGGGTGAGCCACTTTTCAGACGAACCCGGTATAAAGGGTTCTGCAACAATGCGTCGGGCATCTGTAGGTGCTACAAGAAAGAACTTTTTTTTAGATTTAGATTATATTAGATTGTTGGAGGTGGCTATCGGCCTGATCCACTGCAACCTGTTCAGATCAATTGTGGTCCTCTTCTGGTCCTTAGGTTACGTCTTCAGCCCTATATTTTCAAAATGTCTAGCAACATAGAGATAGAACCCTCCATAATGGTCTATCATTGCCTATTACAGAGAACCGCACATTTTCCAGGCTGTCGCGCCGACATAAAATGTGTTTTGTCGTTTCTTCTTCAGATTGACAGAACCTGCACATTCGTCCGTCAATCCCGTTAGCTTTAGATGCTTCTTCGGCTCACGATGCCCTGCTAGTAGACACACTACGGCTTTGACTGTCCTTCTGTCTTTGCTTATCAGGTCTTCCGTGAAATTCTGCCGAATGTTCTACTATGAACTTTTTTGCTTGTCTCTGCCCAGGTGAATTTCCCCACCATTCTAGAGATTTGTTATTGGCCACCCATCATTTTGTGGCCATTCTAATGACTAGTTTTGCAACGCCGCAGAAGGGTTCTGTACCTATGAGGACCTTCCTAATGTCGATTCTAGGTCAGTTTGGTATCTAATGTGATTTCCAGATACTTGACCTCCTTCGAGAAATGAATCTCTTCCCTGCAGGGTCTTAGAGGTCCTAGCAGTCCCCTCAAATTTCTTTGATTGGTAAAGGGGTTTATTACTCTCTTTGTAAAGCTAATATTTAGTCCTTCCCATGTCACCTATGATTCCATAATATTCAAGGCCTTCTGCATTATCTCCCCTATCTCCCCTATTCTTGCATTTAACGTGTCTTAACGTGGCTTCTCTAGCGGTAGTCAGACCACTTCGTGGAAAGATTTGGGGCCCGAAAATACAAATAATGATACTACCAAATATTGTGATGGTTTGGTGTTGTATTACCAAAGGTAACAAGCAACAATCAACCTCAGCAAGATGCATGCAAAGACTCAACTGAGCATAAGAGAGGCAATGAAATTAACGGCCACCGCATCAATGGAACGGCACTTCTGGACCTTCCGCCTCTTCACATAGTACAGATGAATAGGACAGAAACAGGACACTGGAAGATAAGGGATACTATCGAGAGACCTCTACTCCAAATGTTATCGGACTAAATGACTCTTTATCACTATCACATACCATTCGCGGTGACTAAAATGGATCGAGGAATGTAGACAGATACAACATTCCTTCAGAATGGACTAAGCTATGAACATAGATGTGTGAAAGAATGCTGACGGAAGAGGAGCTACGGTTTTTGGCAAAAGACCAAAAGCATACTTATCCTTTTTCTTGGGTAAATACTCAACCGTATTGCAGGCAGAAATCTTCGCCATTCTACATTGTGCGAAAGAACACCAATGCAAAACCTTACTCAGGAAAGCTCATTAATGTATACTCAGATAATCAAACAGCAATTAATGAGCTTATAACCCCAAAGGTAATCTCAAAATGCCTGGAAGAATTTGTAACTTTGGCAGTCTGGGTACTGGGCCATAGCGGCATCAAAGGTAAACAAGGAGCGGAAAAATTACCAAGGCAAGTATTATCGACAAGCTATCTTCATCCAGAGCCAGTACTGGGAATATCCAAAATATCCAAAAAGGGACACAGGCACAAGTATAGCAAGGCCTTCATCCAATCATCTAATTTTAAATCCACATAGGAACTGCTAATGCTCAGCAGTTTCTCGGAGGACTTTCTGTAAAGCCAGGTGTTCTGTCAAGTAAAGTCATTCTGTCAGGGTTTGTCACGGGGTTTCTAACAGGATACTGTCTCCTCAACTGATTGAAGCTGAGAAACGGCGAATGCAGATTTTGTGGAGAAAATGGGGAAACACCAGAACACCTCATCACTGAGTGCGCCGAGACAGCCGTTTGTGCCATAAAGTTTGGTACGGCTGATGGGGGAGATGGAGAGCTGGCCTCTGAGGAGCCATCCAGATAATCGCTTTTGTCAAAGCCCTGAGACTGTATGATGAATTATAACTCGCTATAACTCAAGGAAGGGAAACATATAGATATAGATAGATCTATAAGGTCACGGTTATTTGGTTAGGTAACCCTCCTTCTAAACGTTCTACATTCAAGTGCTACCTGAACAAGCTGAAGCTGTATCAAGGAAGAAATTGCTGCATACACCGGTTGTTATGCTGTGACACAGAGATAGGAGACTCGGTGGCTCGGTGCAGACATACAAAAAGAATGTCTCCAAAAAAAATCCTATATGGGTATTTCACCACTGCAAGAAAATCTACAAAATTAAATAGTTATTTTTTGTAAATACTTCTGCGTTAAACCTAAACGGAAACTACTTGTCAGAAGTTAGGTTTTTGTACAAATTTGTATAACTGTAAACCTAACTTCTGACAAGTAGTTTCCGTTTCGGTTTAACGCCAGAAGTGTTTACAAAAAATAACTATTTTATTTTGTAAATGTTCTTGCAGTGGCGAAATACCCATATAGGATTTTTTGGAGAGATGAATCCGCCACATAGGTATAGATATTTTTCACAAAAAGAATGGACATACCTACCATACGGCCGAAAAAAGACAGCGTCAGGGATGGCTTAGAAATGGCGATCGCTGAAGTTTATTTAAAAAACTTTCAAAACTATGTAAAATTATATGGAGAATGATGGTCATTTCTAAGCCAACTGGACGCCGTTTTTTTTGAGTATATGGTAGAAACCGGTAGAAACAGGACAAAGACAACGGGCCTTACAGATCGCAGTGTTTCCGGCATAGGACGGCCTCTTCATATTGGGGAAAACTTTTAAAGAAAAATGATATAAAAAGTTACGTGTTTGTATAAAATTTAATTTATTGCAATTATATCCAAAAAACTTACGGCTTTGTCGACTTTTGCAAGGAATTTTAAAGGAAGATATATCTAATAATAATGCTGCAATTAGTCGAAAAGTTTCACCGTTTTCAACATATTATGCTTTCAGACAAGTTTACTTTATGGTGGTCCTGAAACTCTCACTGAGGTCCCACTCCCTCCAAAATTCTTCGCTTGGTAAAGGGAATTATTACGGTCTTCATAGAGCTAATAATCCTTGTAAGAATATATAAACAAGGCTAATATTTATATTAGTCCCTCCCGTGTCACTATGATTCCACCATCGTCCAGGCCCCCTACATTTGCTCCAGTATTGTTGTGTTTTACGTGTCTGATATACGGAGGGTTTAAACCCTCCATACATGAGACACATTAAGATGCGCCCAGTCGGACGACGGATGCATGAAAATGAAGCTTAAATTTTAAATTTCAATAACAGCTACCTAAATTGTAATTTATCCTGAATAGCCTGATATTTAGTTATAAAAATAGCCATTGTATGTTAAACCAAATTTGACCCGAAAAGTTTTACAGGGTGAGACAAAATTAATATTGAACAATGGTCACTTTTAAAAGCAAGTTACTCCTTTATTTTAAATGGAACACCCAGTATATTATTCCGGTGTTTAATGGGGAATTTATATATTTTCAAAATACTATTAAGGTTGCCTATACCCCTCAGACAAAGATTTTCCTTTATATTTTCATTTTTATGATTTTGCCTCAGTAGATTTTTATTATTTGATAAAATCTAGGTGGCTGTGATATACCTTTCGTTAATTTAATAAAAATTTAAGGATGTAGAGTAAAATGTTCAACGGTAATAAAAAAGATACACGTTCAAAACATTACTTATATTTTAATTATTACAACATTAAAACTAGATGTAAAGGTATAATTATGAAACAGATATTAGTTAGATGAAATTAAATGCTTAAAATGCTTCCTTTCTTGTTCACTGCATAAAGTGATTCTATTATCAAAAGACCTTTTCATGTTAAGAGGCATATATGGAGTTCTACTTCGAAAAGCATCAGCTACAATAATTATGCCTCTCATGTTGTCGACAATCCTTGGCCGACTTTTGTAAACACTGTCTTTAACATATCCCCATAGAAAAGTCCAGATAAGCCACATCAGGAGCATTTAAATATTCTATTAACTAATAGAATCTATCATGAGTATCATGAATCATCAGTTCCTTCTGATTTAAGGTAAGGTATTCCATTTTTGGCAAATTTCTGATTTTTTTTTTGTTTTCACCGACAGAAAATGATAGCTAGTTGATAAATTTGAATTAGTTTTATACCAATGTTGAAGTAACGTCAGACATATCACAGCCACCTAGATTTTATCAAATAATAAAGATGTACTGATACTAAATCATAAAAATAAAAATATCTAGGAAAATCTTTCTTTGAGGGGTAGGCAACCTTAATAGTATTTTGAAGAGACATGAATTCCCCATTTAAAATAAAAGAGTAACTTTTTAAAGGTGACCAATGTTCAATATTACTTTTTTATCACCCTGTAGTTATTTTAGCTACATATTATGTTACGCCGGATAAAATCCAATTTACAGCGCTTTCAGATGGTGTGGACCGTCCGCGACTTCGAGCAAGTACCATGAGTTTATATCAGAGATATAGAGATATCTCTGGTTTATATGAACAATTTCACATGGGCGCGTATGCTCCGTTCGACGGAGTTCGTCCGACGGCTATCTTGGAAAAATATGATGGACGGTCCGCTCCATCTGAAAGCGCTGTTCGGTAGCGTTTATTGAAATTTAAAATTTGTTCTTTATTTTTAGAAAATGTTAGATATGTCAAAAACCTTACGTTTTAGACATATACTTCTCTAATAAAACTCACCAAAATTACAAAAAACACAACTTTGATATGTAACTTTTTTGGGGACACCCTGTAGAACTCTCTGTATTTTTAAAACATGCTCTAATATAACTTACATTATGCTCACAAAATTACATTTCAATACAAACTGTCATTCTCCTTAGAGCCTCCGCGTCATATGAGATATGAGAGGCCCCACCCTGTATACCGGGTGCGTCTCAAAAGTGTCTCACCCCTATAACATTTTTATTTTTTCAGTTAAAAAAACGAGATTTAGTATGTTATATAACATAAATAAATTAGAATTGATTGACGTATTCAATTATTTTCGGTCACTTCCTGTTTCACCGGAAATGACTACAACTTTTGATTTTTAAATGGCGCCCTCGGTATTATTTTACTTTATTCGATAGAAAATAACACTCTGAGTAGAATGACATATCATATGTCATTCTAATTTTGACATTTTCGCATATGGTTTATATGAAATTATAACTTGCGGTTCGTAACGCAAATTTGACTCGGAATACCAAGTGTGTGGTATCAAATTATTCGTAAAAAAATGTTTTTTCCAAATATGCTAAAGAGCCACCCTCGTTCTATTCGAAAAAATTGAGGTAAGATTAAAAATACGATTTGAGCATTTTCTAACTGGTCAGGACAAGACACTAAAAACATTAGATGATCAAATCTATTTTTCCAAAGCTCCTTGATTAAGGATTAGTGTTTCTAACATAACCATGGCACTCTAGATTGAATTTTAAAATACAATTTTTTATCAATCGAGAATGTTAAAAGTTGACATATGATATGTCATTCTATTCAAAATGTCATTTTCTATCGAATAAAGTAAAAAAATACCGAGGGTGCCATTTAAAAATCAAAAGTTGTAGTCATTTCCGGTGAAAAAGGAAGTGACTAAAAACAATTGAATACGTCAATCACTCCTAATTTATGTCATATACTGACATACCAAATATCGTTATTTTATCTGAAAAAATGAAAAGTTATAGAGGTGAGCCACTTTTGAGACGCACCCGGTATACTCGTGAAAAAAATCATGAAATCTCTATTGAATTCAATTGAAATAATGACGCATCTTGCGAATATTAACAATTTTTTGAAATAAAAAAAAATGAATTAAATTACTGGTCCAGAAAGCTTTAAATAGCCAAGCAATAGATAACATTCATCAAGAAATAAAAAATAAACCAAACATAAATATTTTATTTTAAGAATCCAAAATCCTGATCAGAAGTAATATGACTTAATGTATCCATAAGAGCTTCATTCAACCTTATTCCTACTTTTTGTCCAAGCTCAAGACTGCTACATAAAGTTTGTGCATGTAATGATCCTATTCCTATTGAAGTTACTGTACTGAAATATTCCTGCGATATTGCAACTACTATTGATCCTACCGAGCACTGCTCTTCTGCTAGATTTGGGTCAACAACACAATTATCTCCTATTTTACATACTGTTACCTAAAAATGCAATTAAAATATATCTGATAGATAACAATAGAGTAGAAAAATCTTACCATCACAGGTGCATTAGTAACATCTAATCTTTCACAGTCAAAAACATTATCAGACACATCTAATTCAACATTATCTCCATCAATATTAACTGACTTAATTAATGGAACTTTTGTATTAAATAAAGCTGCTTTAACAGCTAGTGATACTGCATCAAATAAATTACCTCCACATTCTAATATCTAAATAATAAATGTTATATAATGGTCATTTTTCAGTAATTATAACTTACTAAAATATCAACATAAAGTTTCCAACATTTCTTGCCTTTTAATATGCAAAGCTTCTTTAAGTTAAATGTTTTAGGTGACTTGTACGCTGATGCTAGAATATTTGAAAGTTCTATGGCTAATGTCTCACCACCTCTGCCTTCAAAATCAGGAGTAGCATTAGCAGAACTAACAAGGAAAAAATATATAACTAATAATTTTAAAATAGTAAGAGTTAATTTTTACCAATCAACAAAGAATTCGATTTTGCCTTCGAAAGGCCGTTCAGGTAGTGGAGTATCAACTTCAATTTTTACAGCAACCAAAATATCTGTGTTTGCTAATCGCAATCTTGCTGAGCCAAAAGCATGTTGTACAATATCGGTCTCGATTTCAATGGGGCGGTATCCTTCTCTGTCTCTTCCATCCGACCGAAAGTTCTCCTTAAAAGAATAATATGATTTATTTGTTACCTTTATTAAATTCAATGAATTTACCGCTACACCGTGAAGAATGAATGTTTTCTCGGCATCACAGAGCGACATATTTTCTTTTAAATATTCTACTATGAACTTCAACAGAAATGTATACAAATGTTTTGTAAAATTCAAAATTCGATAAAAAATCTTTTATATGTATATGATAAAAATTTTTATTGTTAATCTCGTTAATCTAAGGATAAAAATCATTTAAATCTCTGTTTATCTCTAAATAAAAAAAATATTTATAAAAAATATTTTTGGTTAAAGCATTAGAACTACGGATTAGAACTATAGCAAAGAGAACATAATACCTACTTTTTGATATATGATTAGGAGTGTACTTTTAGCAGAGATCTGTGGCAGAGATATAGACATAAGACTTTTAAGTCATACAGAAACTATGTAAAGTTTATTTTATATTTAGATATGCTTTTAGTTCAATAGAACTACTAACCGATCAGAAACCACAGAAGCTTGGACTACCAGATTCCTAGATCATATATTCTAAAAAGTATATATGATCAAGAGTTATTCGGGATGATAAACGGTTATTCATTTATAAAATCATTTAAAATAATTTTTATGATAATACCATATGTGGATAATACATTTTTGGGACCCTGTCTAGATTAGCCTAGATATGGCCTAGATTAGTCTTGGCAGCAAAAAGCAGGCGTCAACTTAACTTACCATGATCAGTACCAGTCAAAAACGCTTTTTAATTCATTATTTAATGGTTTGGTCAGAGCTATTCTTGGGGTCAGAGTGTATTCCTTCGATTCCATAGGATTGTGCGCTATGATTGTGCGCGTTCAGGGAACACAGCGGCTGACCGACCGCTGAGTATTTTGCTCAGCGGCTGACTGTTTTTGCATGTAAAAAGAGACCGTTTAGGGAAACCGCTTACTAAGCCGCTGACCGTCCCTGAACGCGCCCATTATGCTTTATTTATAGCAGCTCTTTTAACGTTTAAAATAAAGCATAAAATTGACAAACTGGCCTATGTCAATATTTATACTTCTTTTAAATAGGTACTCCTCAAGGGTACTCCTTTACCAATCCGCTTTTCGGTACTTCATTCAAGTATAATAATACATTTTTGTTGTAGGCACATATTTATTGAAAATGTTCCTAACATAAAGAATGACGAGGCTACTAATAGCTAATAGCTGCTAATAGTAGAGAATTCTTTTCTTTTCTATGATTAGAAAGATGATCTGTGAAGATGATTAGGAAATGACAGATTTCCCGCGCTTTTTATATCTGCCAAAAAAAACCAAGGCTAGTATGTCAAGAAATAAGAGACACGAACTTATTGTTCATATAAGCTGATATAAGCAATTCCATGTTTAAGAAAGAACAAGAAAATAACGACGTATATCTGTGCTTGAGCACTCAATGAAAGACTTGTTTGAACTTGCCAGTTGCCGGTTCCGGTTATCTGATGTTTTGTGTCTGTTCCGTATTATATTATGATTCTCAAATTTTAATTTGCGAATTGCGAAGTGTACCAGTATCTATCTAGTTTGTGGAAATTGTTTAATGATATTTTAGAGTAAAATATTTAACTTGTTTTATTGGATTTGCTATCGGTATAATATTGCTAAACTTTCAACATGGATCTGCCTTACAGATGTGAATACTCCAAGAGCGGTCGTGCATCATGTAAACTATGCAAATCACCAATTAGTCAAGGAGTTTTACGATTAGCTGTTCTGGTTCAAGTAAGTTGGAATACATATAATTTTGCAGTTACACAATAATGATTATATTGTAGTCCAGTCGTTTCGATGGAAAAATGACCTTATGGTATCACTTTCCTTGTTTCTTCAAAAAAATACATGTCAAGACCACCGACGATATAGAGAATTTCGAGTCTTTACGCATCGAGGACCAGGACAAAATAAAGGCTCAAGTAGGAGGAACATCGATCATAGTACCAGAGAAGAAGGGCAAGAAAAGACCTGCAGATAAAATTGAACAGCAATCAAAGAAACTGGCTTTAAAGGATTACAGTATTGAAAATGCAAAGAGTGGAAGGGCAATTTGTAAAGGTTGTGAGCAAAAAATTTTGAAAGATGAGGTATAATTTCCAAATTATAATGAAATTTATGATTTATTTTTTAAATTAAATTAGATACGTGTCTCTAAAAAAGAATATGAATCTGACATTGCCAGAAGAATTGGTGGGGCAGATCAATGGCACCATTTGACATGTTTTGCCCAACTCAGATCAGAACTTGGCTATTTTGAAGATGCCAATAAGATTCCTGGCTTTAAAAAATTGAGTAAACCTGATCAGGAGGCGGCCCGGAAAGCTATTCCGTATGTTTTTTTTTAGATTTTAAGCTTTTGTTTTAAAATAATTGTATATTTTAAAGTCCTATTAAGCAAGAAGATGTACCCGACGTAAAAAAAGCTAAAAAAGAAGAACCGGATCCACTTGAAAAAGAGTATAGGGAACATAATAAAATTATGTTTGATTATCGAGATAAAGTGAAAGATCTGAAAAAATCAGAACTGATTGAGTTATTGGAGTATAATAGTCAAAAAATTCCAGAAGGTGTTGAAAGGGTATACCTATGACAAGAATGAATAATATTTCATTTATTTAATTATTGAGTAATTTTAGATATTGGATGCCCTTTGTGATAATATGACATACGGAGCTTTAAAAAAATGTACAGAATGTAAAGGTGGTCAATTCACTTTTACTAAAACTGGATATATATGTACAGGAAATGTGAATGAATGGGTTAAATGTCAGTTTACTACTAAGGATCCAGAAAGGACAAAATTCATGATTCCAAAACATTATAAGGATCAGTATCCTTTCCTCAAGAAATACAAATATACTCCTAGAAAACGAATAATAAAGGATGTGAATCCATCAGTCACTATTAAGAAAGATGTAAAAGATGAACAAGAGTATGTATTGTTTTTAGGTGTTCTTAATGTAATACTTAATACTCTGTTTATTTCTAGGCCTAAAATAAAACGCGCTGCTCCAGCTTTGTATGATATGGAATTTGTGATTTTGGGCCAACCAGCTAGGGGAAAAGATGTCTTGAAGAAAGAAATACAAGCTTTAGGAGGTAAAGTTGTGACAAAAATAGGACCCACAGTTATGGCAGTGATTGCTAATAAAGAAATGGTTGAGAAAATGGGTGCTAGAATTCAAGAGGCTGAATCTGAACAAGTAAAGGAACAGTTTGTATTTATTTGTGACATTTAAAATATTAAAATTTGTTTTAGATTCAAGTTGTCGCTGAGGACTTTGTAGATGAAGCTAAAGACAATTCTGGAAAAATTCCCGATTTGATAATAAAGAAGAGTATTTGTAGCTGGGGGTCTGATGTAGGTATATGAGTTACTTGCAAAAAATCTAGTCAGAAATGGATTGAAATAAACACACATTTTTTATTGAATAATATAAAAAATACATACAGGGTCCGGCAATAGTGCGTCGGGCATCTGTAGCTCCTAGAATAAAAAATTTGAGAATTTTGTTTAAGTGCAAACCTAAAGTATGTACCAGGATGTATTTCAGGAAAATATTTTAACTTCTATAGGGTGGCTCAAAAAAGTGTGAGTGGACCTGGATGATTTTTTTTAAATGGAACACCCTGTATATTATTGCATTTTTGGCTTCCTTTGAGATCACTTTACATAACCCTAAGATATGAATAAATATATTTCGATAGTATCAGAGATATTAAAAAATAAATCAAAAATGCATATTTTTCAGCCCTTCTTAAAAAAATTATTAAAAATACAAGAACTCTTTTGCAATCAAAACTATATTAGGTATTTACTTGAGATGGTCTGTTCTTTCTTTGCTATAAATATGGTAATCGTAAATCATACAGGATGTTCAATATTCTACGCCAAACTTTCTAAAATATAAAATATTTTTTCTTTGTTTTTTTAAATGGAACACCCTGTATATTATTTTTTTACTAGATGGAGAGTTAAAAAATGAACATTTTTTTTATTTAGAGTATTTCAAAAATTTTAACGGTTTCGCAGATACACGCAGTATTATTTCATATGGCGCTTTCAATGGTAAAATACGAGAGAAAAATCATTGGGTGGCTTTGATATAATTTTACTGTGGAAAATGCCATATGAAATATAAAACTGCAAATATCTGCGAAACCGTTAAAAATTTTGAAATACTCTAAATACAAAAAATGTTCATTTTTTAATTCTCCGTCTACTGATAAAATAATATACAGGGTGTTCCATTTAAAAAAACGAAGAAAAATTATTTTATATTTTAGAAAGTTTGGCGTAGAATTTTGAACATCCTGTATAATTTACGATTTTCATATTTATAGCAAAGTAAGTACAGACCATCTAAAGTAAGTACCTAATATAGTTTTTGATTTCAAAACAGTTCTTGTATTTTTAATAATTTTTTTAAGAAGGGCTGAAAAATATATATTTTTGATTTATTTCTTAATATCTCTGAAACTATCGAAATATATTTATTCATATCTTAGGATATTGTAAAGTGATCTGAAAGGAAGCCAAAAATGCAATAATATACAGGGTGTTACGTTAAAAAAAAATCATCCAAGTCCACTCACACTTTTTTGAGCCACCCTATAGAAGTTAAAATATTTTTCTGAAATACATCCCGGTACATACTTTAGGTTTGCACTTAAACAAAATTCTCAAGTTTTTTATTCTAGGAGCTACAGATGCCCGACGCACTATTGCCGGACCCTGTATAGTAGAATAATACAGGGTGGCGCACCTCGTTTCTCCTCCGTTGATTATACGAAAACGGAAAGATGCAGAAACATAATTTTTTATGGGTATATGTAGACAGGCAATGTGCATAATTTAAAATTATTTTCAAATGTACAGGGTGTGTCAGAACTAAGATCTATACTAAATTTATATTTTTTCTTATGGAACACCCGGTATTTTATTTCATTTTTGGATTCTTGGGCATAAAATAAGGCATTTATTATAAGGGTTCAATATGTTTAAATGCTTTGGTTTTAAGATATTTAAATATGCATGCTATCATAAAAAAGTTTGTCAACACCCTGTACATTACTTTTCAGAGTTAATTCTAGTGCTGACATTGAAGCCAGGGAAATAAACTTTACTAAAAAAATTAATTGCTTCCTTAAATGTATACAGGGGTATCAAAAATTGCTGGTCTATTTTAAATATTTATTTTACATAAAAACTTTGTTATTTCAAATACGACATCCTGTATTTTTTAAATAAATCGAAGCAGATTTAAATGCTCTTTCAAACTGTATTAGGGTTTCTTATACCGATTTGGCTCAGATTTTGAATAAAAAGCCATTTTTCAATAAAATTGTAATCTATAGTGTGACCAACGGATCTGTAGCTACGGGGTATCGGCAGGGGAACGCAGTTGTAAACAAAACACGCCCGATTTCATTCATAAAATAGGCATGGGCGTACGGTGTTTTATGAAAATAATGTGTATCATAAATATAATATTCAGATCAATAATTTTTTCAAAAAACTTTATGCTGTTTGAATCGTTACTGTTGAGTTAGCAGATAAACACTAAAAGCTTTTATTAAAGCTCCCTTAAATATTTTGAATCATTTTATTATTATGTGTTGTTAATATAATAGAAGAAATAATTACAGCTGGGGGTTGGAACCTTTGGTCTTACACAGCAAAATAAAACACTAAATCAGTACAATAGACCAAAACACTTTTAATTTTACACTGGACGCACGTTTCGCTAATCATGTCTGCCATCAGCAGATGATCAAGACTGAGTCTTGAGGTATATTTATTTATATATCTGTACTAACTATATTTTTTTCTATAATACATAATTTTAGATATAACTATTTCCAGCAAAAAAAAATCTTGAAAATAGTTAACTTTGGAAGCGCAAACAAAACATAATTTTACTCACCAATAGATCCAATATTACCTATTACACCAGATATGGTATCGCTCCGCCAGCACTTTAAAAGTTAGGTCATTGTCTACCCATATGTTTCATCCAAATAGATAATACTTGGCTATATTTTCGAATTTCGCGTATATATTTATATCTCTCTCTGCAATTTAATGGGCCGCTCCATTAATATTTATCTGTTATTTTGACATTTACGCCAAAAAAATTCATTTGATTTTAATAACCCCCTTAGCGTTTCCCTGCCAAAGGAAAATTCGATTCTTCCTGCAATTTTTGCAAAAGCTTTCTAATTGTGGGGACAAGTTTGAATTCGAGATAAAATCTATTTATCAAATTCCTGACCACTGGGAAAAAGTCGTCGAGCGTTTCAACAGCACTCTCACGTGGTCGTTTCTTTCCAGGGCTGGATATCATTTTATCGGGGTTAGTTTCCAGCCTTTTTTTTATCTTCTGTGTGTTTTTTTTTATAGCCGATACACTAACTCCGGTATAAAGAAATATCCGCTCAAGTTTACGTTTAAGCGGCAACTTAAGCGAACTCTCTGTAGCTTCTTCGTCGCAAACCCTATTATGAACTCAAGGAAATAAACCAAATGAGATTTCATCCACGTTTATTTATATTTATTTTAGTTTAGCTAAAATATTTAGGTAAAATGTGTGCTTTTCATTTTAGCCAATATTTAATTTTAATATTCTAATTATATTATTATTATTCTACTTACCTATATAAATTAGCTATTATTTCTCTTGTCTGGCTATGTAGCGTCTTACCCTTAACAAATTTATTCATTTTAAAACACAAATATACGATCAAACTTGATATTAATAATTAAAAACTACGAACGAAAAACATTATAACAAGATAACAAAACAATAAAACACAACTTAACTATCAAATATACGAAAAGTATAGGATAACCGGTATAAAATAATGAAATAAAGTAATAATGATCAAAAGAATGACACCGCCACTGGATATTTCAATAGTATTCAATATTCCTACTCTTTTCAGAAGAGACCGTGACGTTGCGGATAAAGCTAGCGAATAGGAAAGGCGTTAAAGCCATGGCAACCGCGTGGTAACAAATCCTGTGACGTACTCTCGCCAATCATGTTCGATAAAATAGGCGGCCATGCGCGGCGATGCCGGTTTGCCAATGATATCGTTGAAAAATCTTCAACTTTCATAATAAGCAGATTATACAGAATGAAAGAAATAAGTTATTAAATAAAACATATCGAACAATATGAATTACGTTAAAATTCCTTAGTAATATACGTCAGAATATATGCTAAACACATTATATATAATAAAAATATATTAAATTTATAGTTCATGTCTGGCAATTTTGCAATTTTATAGATAAACGTGGCAATGTCCTTTTTTTTTTCTCGCATTCCTTCCGTAGCTTCAGATCCGCTGGTCAAACAGTAGATGGCTGGTGTCGCCATGGCAATTTTCTAGTGACACTTACTAGCTATTTTCAAAATCGACATTAGTTTATGGACTTTATTTAAATTTATAGCAGTTTAGTTTTATTTAATTTTTCTACAATAGTTTAATAAGTAAGTATTCATTATTTAACCAAGAAAAATAAAGAAGTAGTTCTTTTTGATTTATATTACGATGACTTGTAGAAATATTGGATTTTCTATAACAGAACCAATTAAGGCAAATTCGTTTTCTTCACTTCCATCGACAGGTTTCTGCCTAATAGGTCTTTCATATACCACACTATCAACTCTGCGAAATAGGAAAAGTTGTTTTTCAAATGAAAATAAACTGAGCCACTTACCTATGTAGAAACCCTATACCTATAGGAAACCCTAATACAGTTTGAAAGAGCATTTAAATCTGCTTCGACTTATTTAAAAAAATACACAGGGTGTTGTATTTGAAATAACGAAGTTTTTATGTAAAATAAATATTTAAAATATACCAGCAATTTTGATACCGCTGTATACATTTCAGGAAGCAATCAAGTTTTTTAGTAAAGTTTATTTCTCTATAAACTTTTTTATTATAGCATGCATATTTAAATATCTTTAAATATCTCAAAAACCAAAGCTTTTAAACATATTAAATCCTTGTAATAAATGCCTTATTTTATGCCCAAGAATCCAAAGATGAAATAAAATACCGGGTGTTCCATAAGAAAAAACATAACTTTGGTATGGATCTTAGTTCTGACACACCCTGTACATTTCAAAATAAATTATGCACATTGCCTTCCCACATGTACCCATAAAATATTTTGTTTCTACATCTTTCCGTTTTCGTATAATCAACCGAGGCGAATGAGGTGCGCCACCCTGTATATTTTGTCTCCATTTTTAAAATTAAACCATATTCCTATTCTCGGTTAAACAATTTTCAAAGAAATATATTATTTATAGCCTACAACTCGTCTGCCGCCTGAGCCATCTTCGGTTGCAAAATCTGGTCAAAAATCGCGCAGTATGTATACTAAATCCGTTCCAAGCAAAATTAAGTTGAAACTGAAAGGTAATTTGGAATTCTTTAAAAATGTTACATAGTTTTTATAATATTTTTGCGTTTTAAAGGGGGATCAGCTGTGGATCCTGACAGCGGAATTGAAAATATAGCTCACGTATACGAGGATCCAAATAAAGATAAATATTCAGTTGTTTTGGGTATAACGGATGTTCAGAGCGACAAGAATAGTTACTATAAACTTCAATTGTTGCAGTCGGATAGTGGCAGCAGATATTGGGTCTTTAGGAGTTGGGGAAGGATAGGAACTACTATTGGAGGTGAATTCATAAATATTCTGAACTTCTTATTCCTCTCATACTCTAGTGAAATTGTGGTGGGAAAGTTTTGGGGTAGTTCTGATTTATTTTGATTTTTATGTTTTTTGGATTGCTGAATCCGAATCTGATGTTTGCCAACAAAATTTCGCGACGAAACATTGCAACAAATGCAAGAAACGTAAAAAATTGCAATTTTTGTGGTTTTTTGCTTATAACCCCAAAAAAATTTGTTTTTTCAATCAAACCAAACCAAACCAAATAATACCTTTATACAAAATAAAAGTAAGACTACAAAAATTCACTACAAACTCAGTTCTTTGTATTTTTTTCTCAGATAATTCGATTAGGCTCTAACGCTGGTTCAAGATTAGCGTATTTTGTGTGAACTATCCCTTCAAAATCGACTTTACGCAACATTCACCGGTCAACGTTTCCTCGAAAATGTGTGGTCAAGAAAAGTTGAACCAATAATCCTACACGCCTTTCTTCATTTAAAAATTCATATTTACAGTTTTTGTTTATTTTAATTTACATAGTTTGGATGTGACAGCTTCACATTTCTGAGAGCAAAAACGAGCAAACTTGTTTCCATGGCTAACTATGTGAAATTGTTTAAAAATTATAAGAATTGGCTATAACTCAGTAATTTTTCGAAGAAAACATATTATAGCTTATATCGCTGAAAAGCTTAAAAAATGGCGCTTTTTATGAAGTCATGGCCAACTATGGTTTCCATTAAAAAAAAACACATGTTTGTATCATATGTCAAAAATGACAGGCTTTAGAAAAAAAAGGGAGGACACAATCTCATTAAGGATGTTATTATCTACAACTTTTATCTGAAAACTTTTTGTCTAAAATAGCTTATAATAATGGAATTAGGGACAATTTTTAAAATAGTCGAAAATTGTGCTATGAATTCTAGCGTCGGATTAAGTGGTTATGTAATAAACTAGTTGAAGCCTGGCGCATCCGCCACGACATCAGAAAAGAAATACTTTTTTTTTAATTAAATGAAAAACAAAAAATCCGGCGACGACAGTTTTTAGAAGACCAAATTAGCTATCTTTTAGTAAAAAAAGCAACTTTCTAGAGCAAGTCGTTACTTCAGTAGAGACGACACAGATAAACATTAGCATTTTATATTAACACTATCCTTATTTATTATTAATAAATCAGTTGAAACAAAAAATTACCAACAAAAAGAAACGTCGATAACTAATTTGTTAGATGTCACGTTTTTGAAGTTCGTCAAATTTTGATTTCATGTTAATGTCATAATGCAAAATAAGATATAAAAATGCGATTTTCTGATGAATCCAAAAAACTTATGCTTAATGTAGTAAACTATTTTCAAAACGATTTAGGATCTCGATTTAAGGCAATTCAAAAAGCGTCCGAAGCACTAAAAGTTCCAGTTTTTCATGCGGGTTCCAGATGGTTCAAGATGCCCCATACGTTAAGTTACTAAAACGGCTGGTACCGCTAAATAGGTATTAAAAATACTAAATATGTAGATACCCCCTCCGACTTACTAGATCGTCATAGCGACTCAATCCTAGACATGCAAACACCGACACAAGACTTCGCTTGCCGATAGGGTTGTATCGGGATACAGTTCCGGTATTTCCGGAAGTGCCGCCATATTGAAAATATTTTTAATCGATAGATCTCGTTATGAAACTATGATGTGCAAAAACTCTCCGAGCTAGATATTGTAGTTCTCTAGAAACTTCTAATGCACGCTCAGCCTGGGACACCCTGTATAAATACTTGAATTTTGTCAACCATTATACATACGTCATTCCATCTTTACAAAATGTGCATTAGAAGTATATCATTATTTGAACAGACCGGGGGCCACATTTAGCTTCGCCGCCCCGGACCATAGTCCGCCACTGCAGCGATGTTGTTACCGCTTCCTCTTAAAGTGTAACCAAACCACCTTCATTTTCTAAGTTTGATCTCGCTATACCCCTGCCTCTGGTTGGTCAAGCTTTTTCCAGGTCTCCACCATACAGCAATACTGACTTGACATTCGAATTGAAAATTTTAAGTTTAGTAAGTTGAGAGTATTGTCTAGATCTCCAAATATTGCTTAGCATTCCAAATGTAATTCTGGCCTTGTTTATTCTATTTATGATATCTTGCTCTGTGACTCCGTTGGTTAAGATTATACCACAGATTATAAACTTATCGTCAAAAGCATTGTTTTTCGTGGTTCCAATTTTCTGAGTCGCGCACTACTTAGGTTACTAGTTTGCGCACATAGCACGCCCACTTATGGCCTCTAAAATTGTACAGAGCGCCAGATCGACCCAGTTATTACGCTGTTTAAATACGAGTTTATTTTTGCGCGCAGGAAATTTTACTCGTTTGCTCATCGCCATAAAAAACAATTTTCGTACCACGAATTAGGGACAAGATTTTTATCTGTATTACATATAGTATACCTAATCTGTGATTATACTACCTGAGTAAGTAAAATTATTTACCTCCTCTATAGGTGTTGTTCCAATGATAGAGGGAGCGAGGTTGTTGATACAAGCTCTCATCCATTTAGTTGTTTAATATTGATCTTAAGACCTGCAATTCGAGCTTCCTTTGTCAAGTCAAGTAGTTTTAATGTCATATCCACGTGACTACACGGAAAAACGGAAACAGATGTCATCTGCATAAAAAAGTGTGGTTGGATTGTAATTATAGTTCTTTTTTCTGTCTATATAGAGTTGTTCATTATTGCAAGAGGTTTTGCTGTATCACTTTATTTAAATTTGGTAGTTTAAGAATTATCACCCAAAATGCGCTCTATACTTTTCATACATATCTCTTTAATCTGCAACTATACCTGTACTTATATTTACACATAATTTAAATTTAATATAAATTTGTTTTTTTTTTATTATCGGGGGTGGCATAATTGATGAAATCACTGCCTATCTGACATTTAACTTAAATCTAAGAAACACATACTCGACTTTAATAATAAATTAAGAGTTTTGGAGTACACAAAGTAGGTACTTGCAAAGACAACCAAAACGCTAAGACACCCCGAACAGTTTTTCAGAGAAAAAAACTTATAACAAAAATTATAGGAAATTGTCTATACTTTAAGTTTGAATAGTAAGATTATTTACGAAAAGATTATATTTTACTTAAAGTTTTAAAGAAAAAGCCACAAAAAATATTTTTTTTTACTTTTTGCATTTTTTGCCACGAAATTTTGTTAGCAAACCTCTGTTTCGAATTCAGCACCCCAAAAAACATAAATAATAATACCCCAAAACTCTACCCAAGAGTCTTTTTTGAATACAATTTGGCTAGATTATCACATCAGTTTACTATTCTATAACATACGTTTTTTAGGAAACATATGTGACGAACAGTCGTCCCTTTATCAAGCAAAGAAAATATTTGAAGATGTGTATCTGGATAAATCTGGAAATGAATGGATCAACCATCGTCATTTTGTTAAAGTACCAGGAAAAATGTGTCCAATCGATATTGATTACGGTGGTGATGATGCGCAGAATTTAAATATAGTTGAATGCAATTCTAATTTAGCTTTGCCTGTGCAGGTATGTTCTCATATATGTTGAATGTTTTATTAAAGATTTGATAAAAAACCACACCAAATAGATTTGAAATTACGATCAATATAATTTTACATATAAAATGACAGCGATTTTTTCAAGGCATCTTTGACGCTATTTTTTTTCAGTGGTATGTATTTTTGGAAACTACTTTCATATCTCATAATTTTTCTGTTATACTAACCTATACCAATCTCTAATAACTTTCGAGATAAAAAATAAAACGTGTAAAATTGACCAAAACATGATCTTGAATAAGCATTGGTTAAATCATAAATTCGGCATATAGAAAGCTAAAATTTGGTTTATAGGTTAAGGAAGATAGGGGTGGGGAAATTTTTCGCCCTTCCCGTACTTTTTCTTGATTTTTGTGGAAGTCAAATGTTTAAGCACTTAGCGAAACACAGACACCCAAAATCTCATTCAAATCGGAACAACCGTTCTTAAAATATCTAAAAAAAATGTTTTTTTTGGTTAAAGTTTGATGCCCTCTATCGTACAAACGAAGCACTTTTGTATAGAAGTAAATTGTGTGCAATGGACTTATTTTGATTCCAAAAATACGTAGTAGTTCTATATCCACAGAATATTGGGACACCCTGTGTATAGCCTATGTGTTATTCTGATTATAAGCTATATAATTGTAAAGTTTCATTAAAATCCATTCAGTAGTTTTTGCGTGAAAGAGTAAGATCATCCATACATCCATATACCGGATGCGTCTCAAAAATGGCTCACCTCTATAACTTTTTTATTTTTTCAGGTAAAACAAAGAGATTTAGTATGTTAGTATATGACATAAATTAGGATTGACTGGCGTATTCAATTGTTTTTGGTCATTTCCTTTTTCCCCTGGAAATGACTACAACTTTTGATTTTTAAATGACATCCTCGGTATTTTTTTATTTTATTCAGTAGAAAATGACACTCTGAATAGAATGACATATTATATGTCATGTCAACTTTTGACATTTTCACATATGGTTTATTTGAAATTGTAACATGAGGTTCATCACGATAACTTGAAATACCAAATGTGTGATATCAAATTATTCGTAAAAAATGCCTTTTCCAAATATGCTAATGAGCCACCCTTGTTCCATTTGAAAAAATTGAGATATGATTAAAAATACGATTTGGGCATCTTTTAACCGACCAGAACAAGACACTAAAAACATTAGACAATCAAATCTGCTCCTTGATTAAAAATTAGTGTTTTTAACACAGCCATGGCACTCTAGATTGAAATTTAAAATACAATTTGTTTTTGAGCTAATATGTCAAAAGTTGACATATTAGCTCAAAAACTGTCATTCAATTCAGAGTGTCAAAATATGTCATTCAATTCAGAGTGTCATTTTCTATTGAATAAAGTAAAAAAATACCGAGGGTATAATCAAAAGTTATAATTATTTCCGGTGAAACCGGAAGTGACCGAAAACAATTGAATGCGTCAATCAATCCTAATTTATGTCACATACTAGCATACCAAATCTCGTTGTTTTATTTCAAAAAATAAAAATCACACAAAATCACTTTTAGTGACAAATGCCTAGTAATAAAAAAATAAAATACAAATCATGGTTTTGTTTTCAAAAAATGATTCAATATAAATATCAAGTTCTTAATAAAACCTAAAGTAGGATAAAATATTAATAATTTATGTATTGGAGAAAACATTATTATTTAGTTTTACTCACCCTATATGTACCAAGAAATTTAGCTTAACTATTTTAGTATTGTTGAATTTTGACAGACACATCATAAAATATTTCCAGTTAAAAATAGTTCACTTAATTTAGTTGTACTTCTAGAGATATCATCATTTCATAAAATTCCATTAAGAAATGATCCAGGGTTTTGAAGCGACCCACACCTGACGAATGTAATTTATTATTAAAGAAAAAATAAATTAAAAATATTTTTTGGTTTGTAGAATCTGATGAAACTAATTTTTGATGTCAAGCAAATGAACAAACTAATGTTGGAATTTGAGCTGGATACAGAAAAAATGCCCCTGGGCAAATTGAGTAAGAAGCAAATACAAAGCGCGTATAGTGTACTTTCTGAACTTCAGAATATGGTAGAGAAAGAGGTGTCGGAACACAAATTGATTGAAGCCACAAATCGATTTTACACATTGATCCCGCACAGCTTTGGAGTGGACAAAGTACCTATCTTAAGAGACAAGGAGATTATCAAGGTAATCATAAGATTTTCTTTAAAATTATCAGCAGTCAGTTTTATTTTACAAAACAAAAATTACTGACATATGTATTTTGAATAACTTGATAAACATGATAAACGCCATTTTACTAATTTTACAAGAGAGCACTGGACGGCTGGTGGTTATCAGGTTCTCTCCGTGTATTCTATATTTTTACTAGGCATATACCATAGGATTTAAGAACTTATTGCCCTGCAGAATTTATACATTTTGTAGGGACCAGTTAGGTCTACTAAAATATTGTAAAATCCTAAAATTAAGTAATTGACGCTTATCAAGTTTTTCATTAGATTCTACGTCCCACTAGTCAACTCGCATACTCAACAATGTTGCCGTTTGTTGTTCCTTAATTTCATGATTTTTAATTGTCTGCTAAACTAGAGACACGGCATATACACACAGGTTAACTCTGCCCAGATTCCATTGTTTAAATTTTTTAAAAGAAAGAAATTGAATCAAAAATAATTAATGACAATTAGAGAATTGAAATTAAAACTCAGAGATAATAAAGTTAAAAAAAATACAAAATATTCTTCTTATTAGTCCAATTTAAATTATCAACTATTAGCATACACTTTCAAATCTCTCTTAGAATTATCATTGGCAGAAAATTAATATGTTAAAAAAATATTCACTGAACAATTAAATTTGAATTAGAATTTAATAAAATGAACAATTGCAAAATAATCACATATGCAATGACATCTAAATTTTACTAAAGCCTTTAGAACAAACAGAAAGTCTTAAATCATTAATAAAGAAAAATATTAGAGAAAATCCAAAAACAACAATTAAAATACTTTATGCATGAATAGTTTAGAATTTCCTAACTTGCGAATTTATTTGAGACAATCTTTAGATAGAGAACTTACTAAAACAATTAAAAAGACCACTGGATAATATAAGATCTACACGGAGTAAATTCGACCGTCTAATTTAAAAGTCAGTACCGAACTAATTTTGAAGATGAAAATACTGATGCTGGTACTATCTCGGAAAGGCGTTACTACATCTTCGGCACGCCCCTGTTTGAGGAACCTTCGAATACCCATCCAAATACATATTTTGCACCTTTTTAATTGACCGAAGGGTTCCTTCCCCGAAAGATCCCTAGACTTCTTTCACCCTTGTTTCTGGTCCTTATCCCGAGAGGGCATCAGCATGTCCTATTTATTAATTATTGTAATTTCCAAACCCTTCCGTGTAAATCTTACTCTTTTATCCATTTGCTGAATAACATTCATAATCTACCTTAACTAATACAAATGATACCGAATCATAGGATTACCTTAAAAAAACCGCCTAGAAATGAAATCTTTATTTCTTCATTCATTTGTCTATTTCTATTTAACTCTAGGAACGGAAAAAAAGATAATCCTATTTCTATCATTTTCAGACATTCATCTCGTGAACATTTGGATTCTGATTTTAAAACATATATTTAATACTTTTAATTTTCAATTTAAAACCTCTAGCGAGGGGATGATTTAATTTTACTTATTTCGTTAAGCATGCCTACGTGCTTTTTCTGCGTAGTTTATTTAGAGATATCCCTAGGGTACACACACACAACTGGTACCACTCTGTCAAATAGAGTTTTGATAATAAGGGATGAATGTTTGTTCTACTTTACCCTCGTTTATGTGACTTTAAATTATTTAGAAGATTGTATTATTTGCTTAGTTAGTTTCTCAGGATATATGCGTACTTTTAGAGAGTTTATGTGTCTTGAATAACATTAGATTATTTGCTTAGGCCTTTTAAAATTCGTTTGCCTATGTCAACTGATAACTTCGTAAACTGAAATGGTCCCATCTTGGAATAACAAACCAAAAGATAAAATTTTACCAAGCTTGATATTATTCTATTACAGTACGAACAATATTTTATTAATAAGTGATATAATATATAATACACTACCAAACTACTATTATATTAAAAATGTTCAGAAAAACAAAAATAACACTACATAAACAGAATATAACACACAAGAAACGAAAATAAAACTACAAAAACCAAGTATCACACAATAAAAAAAAATAAAACCAAATATATCACTCAAGAAAAGAATGAAATAAATTAAGCCGCACGCTACTAACTCAAAGCTGCCGTAACTGTATGTTGTCGATGACAAAAACTACGACTGACTACGACACTGGTTAATGTCTGTTGCTGGCACCCATAATGGCGGCATGCGCAAGGATATGCGCGTAGCGTTCCCGCCAAAGCGAGTCGGCCTGCCGTGTGATTTATATGCCGTGCTAGAGACGTTTATTTTTACGGTTTATTTCAAAGTTTGATTATTATTTGGTTTATTTTGTTAGAACGTTCTTAATAGTAATCAGAATACTAGATAAAGTAAGAATAAGTGAAATAAATACCAAGTTTTGTGCATTTTTGTGTAGGTTGTTTATTCTGTTATAATCTAATATTTACTAGAGATTTAAAACTTGTTTAAAAATTAAATTCAAATTTTTTATTTATGAAAATATGACACTATAATAAAAAAAACTTGATTAACTACTAGATTTTAATTTTCACTGCATTTTATTCAGAGTGAACATTAGTCAAACCATCTAGAAAGATTTTTATCTACTATTTTGAATTCAAATATTATATTTTGTTTATTTTGAGAAAACCATGAATTAAATTGTTTTGCTGAGGAAAAGTTCATGTAATTTGTTTTAACACTAATATCATGATCCCATTTAAAATGTTCATGTAAGGCGCATCTTTAAACCTTGTGACAAAATCATACATAGGACATTTTTTCTAATATTTTGTACAGAGGAATTGGTATTATTTAAAAAAAAAATGTTTAAATTTTGAGAACCACTGGATCTTTTCTGGGTTTTCTTTCTTTAAAATTTAATCTACTACCTATGTCGCCATATTATCAAGAAGTTATGCTTTTTAACTTAAAACTAAAAAAAATCTAATTTATTTTAAAAATTCCAAATTTTCAAAAAAAAGTTTTTGGCAAAAACCTCATAGACGTGTTTCTGGAGCTGAAATATACCCCTAAAAATATTTGCACTTATTTAAGACTTTTCTAATACTCAAAACAATTTCTAATATTCAAAATCAATTTTTTACTTACTATAGCAAAAACTTGATGTGCTGGATAACTTAATGGAAATGGAGATTGCGTACAGCCTTATGAAGTCGTCTGGAGGCGAACACACGGTCGATTCATATTACAAACAGCTCAAAACGGAAATCGATATACTTCATAGAGAATCTGAAGAGTTCCATATTATTCATGAATATGTGAAGAACACTCACGCTGCTACCCACGGTTCTTACGAACTAGATGTTGAAGACGTTAGTATTATACAGAGTGGTCCGAACTGTATTCCGGAAACTTCGGCAGCATATTCTGCAGATAAAAATAAGTGTGAAAAAGTTTCTATAAATTTATGTCCTAAAATAGGCTGAGCATCTACCCAACTAGCAAATATAGTTCCCAGTCCTTTTTAAAATGTCACTGCCCCTAAAGTATAGTTCCTAGACCCAATCTGCCACTTAAAATGTTACTCTATAAGGAATAGTCACTTTGAAGTATATTTCGAGAGTGACCGGTTAGTCCCTACCTACCATAAAAGTGGAAAATAAACACCCCGATTGCAAGTCGCAAACATGTAATTTAAAGAAGTGGCTGGAACTACCCGAATCTTCGAATATGACACCATAAAAGACCAAAAACTTTATAGTAACTTTTCAAAGTAGGGGTTACCAACAAATGCTACCATAATGCCTCCATAACAGTTTTTTTGGTTACTTTATAGTAACAATTTAAGTTACGGGGTAGTCGCGGCCACGACACCTAGTTACTTCTAATTTACAGTAGCATTGAAAGTAGCAAAATGGTTACTGCTACCGTCCTAGGTTACTATAAAGTACCCGTCGCTCATCCATTGCCACTAAAAAGTCACGGGGGTCAAAACCGGCTACTTTATAGTGACCGTAACTTAATATACCCTAATAAATGTAATTATCTCAGATTGCATCGTGTGCTGCTCTGTTTTAGTGTTTTCTTTTACTTGCTTTTAAGCTTTATTAAAATTTTGTAAAATCCCTAAGGCGAATAAAAAGAAATTTAGATATTCTAGTACTTTCTACCGAAAAATTAAACAAAAGGAATCACTGCGAGCCGATGCATCAACATCAAAAACAAAAACTACATATTTCTATAATCCTACTGATGAACATTATAAATCAGGTAGTGATTGAGACATTTTTGAAGCTGTTTCTGTAGATGAGTGTAGTGTTAGTTCATCTGAAACTGAATATCAGAGGAGAACTAATTTGAGGACCAACAACAATATAAAAAAAATGTAACTCTGAATAATATAGAAACACTAATAATAGAAAATGCACAATAAGTAAAAAATAACTTCAAAGGACAAGGCGGAACGTCATAGTGGCACCAATGGAATGTATAGTCACCACCACCGCGATCGGTGTAGCAATGCTCCAATTAAGTGGCAATTTGGTGGAGCAGGGAACTTTCTTGGAAAAATCACTTTATGGTTCCAAAGAATCGTTGACCATGTAGTTCCAAAAAAGTTATTGTGTCTATAAAGTCGCTTTTGGATAGCTACAATTGTCACTTTATCAATCCGAAGATTTTAAAGGTCCAAATGGGTAGGGTTGGCCTAATATGTTATTGTTCCCGGTACTTTGTGGAAGCATATGGAACTATAAAGTATTTTTCGGATTAAACGGCCATATTTTTTTCATGAATTTTTAGACGAACAGCCAAATGGCTCAAACATTATGCGATTTTAAGCTAAATATACCTAGATTAAAGCTTTTTTCCTTAGTTATTTTGTTATTTCTGACAGTGGACTAATATTTTAAAATTTGACCCCGGTTTCAAGCAAATTATTATTATTTTTTTAATTACAAACCTGAGTTTCTATTGCAAATAATATAATAATTTGAAATATTTTGAGAAGCGCTCGAAAATTTTGTTATATAAACCCACTATTTTATTCAGTAAAGTTGATTGCGTTCTGGAATTTACCTAAAAAAGGCGTTAAAATCGCACGGTAAATAACAAATACCGAAAAAATAATAATGGCTTCAATAATTATTTTCCATCATGACATTTATTTTTATGAAATGTGAAATTGCATGAAGAGGTCGCTGCGAATAAAGTTCAACAGTTTAACGAAAGTTCCACATGTCGGTGGCTAACACTTGGCTGCCACGAAGCCGCGACTAGGCAGCGTCGTAACGGATAAGTCGCATTCACCAGTAGGCTACTTTATAGTAACACATCATAGTAACTCTTTTAGTGGCAAAAACTACCCAAGACACTACCCGGCTACTCAAAATCTTTCCCCATTTTGGTCGCAGTTACTTAGCCGCTACGAATATACGACGTAGCCGCCGATGGTAACCGCCCACTTTGTAGTGGCTTTGATAGTGGCAGTTACGTATCTGCCACTATAAATGCTAGTTGGGCCACAAGATAATCCTCTCCAATTTCTCCAAATAACTTATGAAGTAACGTCAATATTTGGATGAAAATTGGTGTCTGGGAGTTTTTTGACATGATAAATTTGATTTTGATGTCAATATGACTCCTACTTGTAGAGGGCGCCACCTACATATTTTTAACTTGTTTGAAGAGTAATAACTTTTCGTTCGTATCTGTATAAAACTACTGAGTAAAAAAATAAACATTTACGACGTTTTCATCGTAAAAAAGGTCACTTGGTAAAAATCGCTACTAGTAATGGTTCTCGAGATATTTGGAATCGAAATTATCAATACCTGTCATCATTGACATAAATTAAACATGTTTACTAAATAGTTATTAGACTGAAATCATAAATTTGAAATGTTTTTGTGCCAAAAGTTCAACAGAAACTGTTTTACCATCATTTTTTCGAAGAAAAATTTATGATTAATTGAAAAAAATAAAAAGTTCTCAAATTTATCATTTCAGTCAAATAACTGTGTATTGACTATTTCTATTCTAAATATCTTGAGAAAGGTTGCTCGTAGCAATTTTTACAAAGTGAAATTTTTTACGTTAAAAATCACGGAAATGAATATTTTTTCACTCAGTAGTTTTATACAGATCCAGACGAAAAGTTATTACTCTTCAAAACAGTTAAAACACATGTAGGTAGCGCCCAAGAACGGTAAACTAATTAGGTTAACTGTTCTTGGGTAGCGCCCTCTACAAGTAGGAGTCATATTGACATTAAAGTCAAATTTCTCATATCAAAAAACGCCCAGACACCAATTTTCAGACAAATATTGACGTTACTTCAGAAATTATTTGGAAAAAATTGAAATAAAAATGAAACTTCTACACCCCTCGCATTTTAGGACATACCATTATACCAAGTTTTTTACTTATTTTTATCTTCAGAATAGGCTTCCGGAATATGAATTCCGGAATACAGTTCGGACCACCCTGTACATATACCTGATGTATAGTTTGTATGGTGAAAGAATATAGAGAGTGGCAGTTGTCTGGCATTTTTATTCAACAGTATATATTTTTTTCAACAATATGTCTTTTTAGTCAGTTGTTAAAACTATTATAGTTAGTGATGGGAGTACTCGAGTGAATTTTCGCTCGAGTACTCGATTATTGAAATAACCGACATCGCTCGATTATGAACGAGCGATGCAAGTGACGATACCGACGAACGCAAGCGATCCTAGAATGAAATAAATTGAAATCCGATTTTAATGTGACATACTCGATAAAAAGCCGAGCGAATTTTCTAGATACATTGCAGGTAGCAAATTTATACGACGTATATACCGTGTGCGTCTCAAAAGTGGCTCACCCCTATTACTTTTTTATTTTTTTAGATAAAAAAATGAGATTTGGTGTGTTAGTATATGACATAAATTAGAATGGATTGACGTATTCAATTGTTTTCTGTCACTTCCTGTTTCACCGGAAATGACTACAAATTTTGATTTTTAAATGGTACTCTCGGTATTTTTTTTACATTATTCGATAGAAAATGACATTCTAAATAGAATGACGTATCATATGTCAACTTTTGAAATATTCACTTAAAAACAAATTGTATTTTAAATTTCAATCTAGAGTGCCATGGCTGTGTTAAAAACACTAAAACGCCTTGGAAAAATAGATTTGATCGTCTAATGTTTTTAGTGTCTTGCCGTGGCCGGTTAAAAGATGCCCAAATCGTATTTTTGGTCATATCTCAATTTTTTTCAAATGGAACGAGGGTGGCTCATTAGCATATTTAGAAAACGAATTTTTTTACGAATAATTTGATACCACACACTTGGTACTTCGAGTCAAATTGTCGTTACGAACTGCATGTTACAATTTTAAATAAACCATATGCGAAAATATCAAAAGTTGACATGTGATATGTCATTCTATTCAGTGTCATTTTCTATCGAATAAAGTAAAAAAATACCGAGGATGCGATTTAAAAATCAAAAGTTGCAGAAATTGAAAAACAGTTGAATAATATGTCAATCAATCCTAATTTATGTCATATACTAACATACCAAATCTCGTTGTTTTATCTGAAAAAATAAAAAAGTTATAGGGGTGAGCCACTTTTGAGACGCACCCGGTATATTTATCCTTTGCGTATCTGAGGGACAAAAAATTTTACGACCTACATCGACAATGCTTCGAAATAAACTAAATCAGAAATCAGGCGATCAAGCGAATCGCCCGCCGCTTACTACTTGCCGTTCATTACCGAAAGTTGCCCTGCGCACGCAGATTACTGCTTGGCGCCTGGCCTTCGAGTACTTACAACATGCGACGGACAAAAAACCGTATTTTTAAATACGAGCGATATTTCGCTCGAGTGATCACTCGGTTATTGCAATCGCTTGATACTCGAGTCCTCGATTATTGAAATTAATCGGTTTTTCCCATCACTAATTATAATATCTCTCGCTGGACAGACTATACTTTTTTAATATACTTGTGCTTGATTTTATATCTTCCTGTGATTTTATTAGTAAAAAGTTGAATCCTGATAGACACTTTATTTATATTTAATTACTGTGTTTCTAGGTATTTATAGTAAGAAGAGAAGGCGAAGGTAAAAGATACAAACCCTTCAAAAAACTACATAATCGTAAATTGTTATGGCACGGCTCCAGAACAACTAATTTTGCTGGTATTTTGTCACAGGTAAGTTGAAACTGTTTTTAAAAATTGTATTATTGTATTGCTATACCGAGTGCGTCTAAAAAGTAGCTCACCTCTATAACATGTATTTTTTCAGATAAAAAAACGAGACTTGATATGGTAGTATATGACCTAAATTAGGATTGATTGACGTATTCAATTGTTTTTGGTCGCTTCCTGTTTCACCGGAAATTACTACAGCTTTTGATTTTTAAATGGTTCTCTCGGTATTTCTTTACTTTATTCAATAGAAAATGACATTCTGAATAGAATGACATATCAGTCTTCTTAAGTTTTTAATGCTACTTTTTCACAATTATCACGGGTTTGAGTAAATAAAACTTAAATTAAACTCACAAGATAGCAATAATTACTTTGAAAATGCACGCTTTAAACACTTTTCGGAATTTTTCAAATGAGAGCGGTTTAGATTCTAACTTTGACAATAGATATGGACAAGAGAAAATTATTTCTGTTTTTGTTTGCGGTTATTCCTAGCAACCGCTATAGCAGCGCCAGATCGCGTACAACGGTCGCGACCCAAAACAATTTCGCCCCCTAAAATTTTGACAGGCATTCCAATCCAAATTTATTTGCTTTATCTATGCCCTGCTGTTAGCTTCAAACCTTTGGTTTATTCTTTAAACTGTTAACTTATTTGGTCCAGGGAGACCGAACTATGAACATATCTTAGCATATCTAACATACCAGGAATACTATTTCCAGCAAACTGCCGTTTAGCCATCATAACTTTTTCAGAAGTTGTGAAAATCATATAATTATTTCATACAAAATGACTATTTGGTACCCTCAAATTGTAAACAAAATGTGACATCGAATTTGTCAGTGACAGAATCACATTTTTGCTGGTATTTTATTTGTAACTTTCTCTGGGCCGTATTATTAATTTTACTAAATTTAAGGTAGATTTTTACAAATTAATACTTTTTAATGCCGATTCCAAATAAAATTATAACGTATAAATTAGATTCTAAATACATTCCATTATTTAACGTCTACCACACAGCATGTACTTAATGCAAGGGTTCTAAATATTGAAAGGAGGGCGGTGGGCAGACTAAGGAAGGAGCATATTAAAAATCTTAGGTACACCGCGATGGGCCTCAAATATGGCCGACTTAAATTCCGGTTTATGAGTGTCGTTCTAATTTTATTTAAAAAATGTAAAACTATGATGTGGGGGTAGACGTGGGGTAGACTCAATAATTTGTTGTTTTATTTTACGTTGTGAATAAATGTTGGTAATTATTAAAATTGTTATAAAAATATATAATTCTAATAAAAATAGATAAGTCATAATAAGTATTTATTAACACAAACATCCGATACGCTACTGAAGCAGGTAAGTCAAATTAACGTATCTAAATTCTTTGACATCTAATCTTTGACAAGTAATAAATAAAAGCTAAAATGCAAGAAAAATATATAATTTAGTTAATTTAAGTGAATTTCATAAATGATCGGTTTACTACACGTATGTATATTATATAGTCACTTACTAGCGAAAAGTTGTTCCATTATTTCACTCAATTTTTGCCGAGATCTGCCGCACGCTACACAACCAACTATTTTAGAGTCTTTTTCGATAAATCGCGATAGTGTCACTGTTAATTTAAGTTCTGCCACAATTTCCATCTAGATTTACTACCTTTATACAACTATCAGTAGTAGAATAAATAATAAAAAACATAAAATAAGCTCCGTAAAGACTGACAAATCCACAAAATTTCAAATCAAATTCAAATGTGTCAAATGAATCGTCAAACAGAACTGTCAAGGAACCCCACCCTAGAGTGCTTTTTCCGCCCACCATGCATGAATACATGGATAGCATTATGCTCCTTCCTTAGTCTTCTTATTCAAAGATTTAAACCATTGTGTAAAAGATGTCAAATCGAAATGGTGAAAACTCGTGATCGCTATATAACTAAACAATTATTTAATTACTCAATTTTCAAACGGCAATAATTCAAAATTTCTTTGACGTTTACTTATATATTTAATAAACGTTCGTCATTAGTTTGTTATCTCAGTTATCTGCTTGTTTTCAGTTATCTTCAAAGTTGATAATATAAATTTTTTATTTCAGTAATTCTGATAATTGCTTCACTTTCATTTATTTATTTCAGTTTTCTCGACTTATTAATATAATGTATTTTTTATCTCAGTAATTCTCAATAACTTTGATTATTTAGCAAAATACATGTTTCTCTTGATCTATGAAAACTAATCAATTAAATATTTATAGTATTTTTATAATGGTTTTTATTTTTATAGGGGCTCAGAATTGCACCAAAAGAGGCGCCAGTAACAGGTTATATGTTCGGCAAAGGTGTCTATTTTGCCGATATGGTCTCCAAGTCGGCCAATTATTGTTGTACTAATCCCACTAATTCTACTGGTTTGCTTTTGCTTTGTGAAGTTGCTTTGGGAAATGTAAGTTCAATCTTATTCCCAGTAATATAATTCCTACGTATCATGCCATCGAAAAAATACACAGTTGAGGTGCATTATTAGTGAAATACCGCTGATAAATTGGTCTCCGTTGAATTAATGCAGCGGTGTTTATAAAATATATCCGTTATACGATTTTCGACTTTAAGCGTTGCGGAGATGAAAAGTTACTTTTTACTTTGCTATTGTCCTTCTGAGTATATAGGCTTAGTGTATTTCAGTTGATTTCAAAAAATTCCGACCGCGGCGCTGTATATGGCAGAAATCAAAAATTTTCGCTATGTATTTCACGCCGCACAGTGGAACGAGCTTATGGGAGCGGTTGGACATTAGGTTTTTTACTTGATACTTTCAATCTGGAAAACTTAAAATTATTTATATATACTGTAATATTATGTAAAGAGGGACGTCTTAAATTATAACAAAAAATTGTTGCCTTACATAACTTAAACCATATATAGGGCGCCCTAAAAATATAGTGTGTTTTACCAAAACCAATTTTTTTAAAGCCCATAACTTTGCTTCATTGTTATCAAATTTTTTTGTTTTGATTTTTTTGGAGTGGAGGAACTTTGAGTTTTATTAGAAAAAATATTTTTAATAGATTAATAATTTATTATATAGGGTGGTGAACAAAAATGAGCCTTTGAAAATTGGTCATTACTCAAACATTTTTCTTCTACTTGCGGTGCCGTGCCTGTCTTCAGGCGTTGGCGATCTCCATGACTATTTCGTGGAAGAGTTCTCTATCTTCTGCTGCATGAAACAGCCTCTCCACCCCCAGACCGGTCCAGTTCCGTATATTTCTGAGCCATGACAGTTTCTTTCGAGCTACCCATCTTCTACCTTCGACTTTTCCTTGAATAATCAAACGAGGAATATAATATTTGGTGCCACGCATTATGTGTCCGAAGTAGATCACCTTTCTGGCCTTGATGGTGGTTAACAGTTCCCGATCTTTGTTCAGCTGTCCAAGAACTTCCTCGTTGCTTATATGTTCGGTCCAAGAAATTTTAAGAATTCTCCGGTAGCACCACATTTCAAAGGCTTCTATTTTATTTATATTCTCGACTTTTAGCGTCTATGTCTCGCATCCGTAAAGAAGAGTGGACCATATGTAACAACGTAGTGTTCGCAATCGGGTTTGCGGTGACAGGTTTCTATTAGTGAGCGTGGTATTCCATTTTTTGAATGTTCTACGTGCCATTTAAATTATTGCCTTTACTTCTTCGTCACATGTATTTTCACTATTTAGCCAGCTTCCTAAATATCTAAAATGTGGTACTTGTTCAATATTGTGTCCGCTCGGAATTGGATTAATTTTTGGTCCGATTTTATTATTTGTGGTAATTTTGGAAAGCCAATGCTTTGAAATATACAAATTTAATGTCAAAATTGATATTTCATAAAAATTGAAGATGACGAACAATTTTAAAAATTAGGTACTTTTAAGTTTGTATTTTAATAAACGCAGTTTTAGATAAAGTTAATGTTTTCTGGACAAAATAATGTTAAAAAATAATGGTTTAGCATGTTTTTCTTTTCGTTTTTGAATATTTCAGCCAAGTGATAACCATATTAAATTACTGCATATTTGAAAATTATTTGAACGACTAGCATTATTTCTTAATGTCAGGGTAAATGTCAAATAAGGCGTGCGGGAAAGTATCACTTTACGCATTTGTTAGGAAAATAACTATAGTAAAGTGATAGAACACTAATTTCTCATTAAAAAGTCCTATTTGAGAATTATTTTTTTAATAGTTCTGCTTATAATAATAAAAACCGTAGATGTATCCTAATGGAGGGGGGTGCAATGATTTGGATATAATCTACTAATATACGATTTAGGATAGTACCTAATAATAATATCGGAATAACAATATATTTTTAAAGCCAGACTTGTTCAACCTATGTAAATTACTTAAAAGCCCCTTGGAAATAGTATCCATCGTATAGTTCAAATTTTGTTTTTTTTCAAAAAACGGCAAATTGGGGCAACTTTTTTATATATGTTTATAATAAGGGTATAATGGTCTACTATATGCCGGTATTCTTTTTATGGTACCTTGCGGCACTTACTTCATATTTCTTGATGATTAGATCTATAATAAAAATTCAAAACTTTTTATTCAAAAATATATAGTGGGTGATTGATGAGATGTATGTACAAAATTTTGCCAAAAATTCATTCACAAAGAACGAGTTAAATTAAAAAAATAATATTTTTTAAAAAACCTACCGCAGCTTGGGCAATAAAAAATCAAATTGTGGTAATATTTTCAACATGAATTAGCATTTTTGAAAACGGTTAATTTTAAACCTTTGTAAAAACGACAAAATACATTTTTGTTTTATAAAAATCAGTTTTTAAGAGAGGACTGACATTTGTTTTTGAAACTACCATATTCAGTTTTCCATTTTCCCAAAAAAAATTTTAGCCCCATGTCCAACATTTAACATGGACTCGTTCCATTGTGCGCCGTCTCTTTTACAGTTCATGTTGATCGCATTAAAATAATATTGAAATCGTGGCTTTGTCATAATATTTAAGTATTTTAGTTTTTTGCTAGTATAGTTATAGAGACAATAAAAATACTCAGGTACGAGGTTTGTATGATGTAACGCTGCTCAGGTAGTAAAAAGAATAAAAAATAAGTGAAACAGAATTCGAACTAGGCGTCGTGTTGTGTTGTGACAATTTCAAATGTTAATAAAATTACCGAAAAAATGTTAACGCGTAAAGGGTAGCGTAATTAGGGCATTTTTGGTGCAATAACATTCAATAACTCAACTTTTCCGGATATCCAACTCTCCCGAAAGAACATTTTATAGCTTCATAATTTCTTACACCGATTTGATCAAAAGCAAAAATGGCTTGAAGCAGTTCGACGAAACAAGTGAGTAAACAAAGTGCTCGTTACATAATCAAAAATTAAAGACATATACTATTAAACCCGTGTATTTGTATATACTAGTTTTTTACGATATTCTCCGATGGTGGCAGCACCGGCGGAGAATGGACCATAATGATATACAGGCCTTGCGACGGATCTCTGTATCATTCCCGTTTTAGCCACACAGTTAATTTTCATTTGTTAACCGCCGTCACTATTATTTCACTGCAAAAATATCACAGGTAGTAATTTTTATCCTCTACTTCTAGAAATTATCATTGCTTGTTATTACAAAGGCTAATGTGACACCGTTTTTTTTTCGATCATATTTAAATACAGTCGTGTGGGTTACTTTGTGGCGTGCGAATGTGATAAACAATACCACGAACGCTGCGGGAAAAAGAACAAACGAAAAACAAACAAGAATTTTATCGGAATATAAATTGACAAAAAACAACTGGTTTTTAGGAGGGGAGTTATCACCGCGACCTTATAGATCTATTGTGTGTAAACAACTAGTTTACAACCTAAACAGCAAAAACATGAATAAGGGTACTCCTGCTTTCAATGGGCCAGGCGGAGAACAAAATAATTCGAATATCAACATACAGGGTGTCCCAACACCAATATCTTCGCAACAAGAACATGAAAATTATTCTCAACAAACATTATACAGATTGTCTTCTACCAGTGACGAGGACTTCCATGGATTTGACAACGAAGCAAATCAAAATGAACATCCGTGGCAGTGATAAAGGAAAAACCCACGAAGAGGAGAAAAATCAGCAGAAATACATAACGCAAACACAACAACATTAAACAATAAATTTAGTGCGTTAAGCGTACCAACTGAATCAACCAGCAACTACATATATATTCACAGATACTCCTAAATACCAAAACCACCTCCAATATTTATCTATAGTGTAATAGACTACGAAGCAATAAGGAAGCAATGGTACACCAACTAGGAAATATCATTGAAGCTGACAAATATAAAACTAAATGCTTAGCAAACAATACAATAAAGGTCAATTCCACTTTACCAGACACATACAGGAAGTTAATAAAGTTTTTACATAAACAAAATATCGTACATCATACTTATCAACCAAAGGAGGAACGTGCATACCGAGTGGTTATTAAACACTTACATCACACAACAAATATTGAAGAAATCAAGCAAGAACTAGCGAATCAGGGAGATAATGCAAGATATGTCATAAACGGGAGACAGGGTGTTACCAAGGAGCCTCTTAATATGTTTTTCGTTGACTTAGAACCAGCCAGCAATAATAAATATATATACAAACTACGAAATAGGTCTGTACAAATAGAACCTCCGAGAAAATTAAAAGTCATTGTGCAGTGTATGAGATGTCAACAATATGTAGACAAGACAGATTGTAATAGACCATATTGTTTGATTTAAATGCGGTGGTTCGCACAACACTACTGCTTGCAAAAAAGTAAAGATTCCCCCGCTAAATGTGCTTTATGCGATGGTCCTCACCCAGCTAACTACAAAGGATGTGAATTTTATCATACGTTGTTAAAACCTAATAACACCATCAACAGATTAAATAATTTAATACGCTCCAATAATATGGAGAGTGTAACGAGAAATTGTCCAGTCGCGCCTGTCAGCCGTGCACAGCAAAGCAGCCAAAGCCAAGAACAACCGATAAGTTATGCGGACGTTATCAAACCAAATCTACAGCAACCTACTGATGTAAGTAACGTTTTAAATAAATTCCTAGACGAATTCAAAACAATGTTCCAACAACTCATAAACCAGAACAGCATGGTTTTGAACATGCTTACCACGCTTATAAACAAAATTCAATAATTTTATTAGAATTGCTGTGTGGAACACAAATGGCCTCCTACAGCACAAAAATGAGGTTGAGGTGTTCTTGCATCAAAATCTGATAGATGTTTTATTAATAAGTGAAACCCATTTTACAGACAGATCCTATTTCAAAATAGCAAATTATAATACTTACCATACTAACCATCCAGACAACACTGCTCATGCTGGAGCCGCTATTATTATAAAAAAAATCCATCAAGCATCTAGAATTACCAGCACAAACCACCTGCAGAAAATACAGTAAAAAGAGTTAAAACAAGGGCTTATGAGTTAACAGTTTCTGCAGTTTATTGCCCACCAAGACACAACATTAAAAAAGAAAACTTTATTTTGCCCACCAAGACACAACATTAAAAACGAAAACTTTATTGACTTCTTTCAGTACTCTGGGCAACAAGTTTATTGCTGGTGGTGACTACAATTCTAAACACACCATATTTGGTTCGCACAACTAAAGGCAGGGAACTAGCTAATGCCATTCACGAAAAAAAAAATACTCTTTTCTTTCAACCGGTATAACCCCTACCTATTGGCCAACTGATCATAATAAAATTCCAGACCTCTTGGATTTTTTCATCACAAACGGTATATCCTCTAATTACATGGAAGTTGTTTCAAGCTAAGATTTATCCTCCGACCATTCTCCAATAATTGCTACAGTCAGTAGCTGTGCCATTCATAAGGACGCTACTCCTAGACTACACAATCGAAGAACAAACTGGGATGATTACCGTAGTAAAATTAAAATCAAAGTTAATCTTAAAGTAAGTCTTAAAACTACTACTAACGAAATAGATGAAGCAGTTGCGACCTTAGTCAGTGTCCTTCAGGAAGCAACTCAGCTATCCACTCCTCTTCCAAAAACACAAAGCAGTGTTTTTCATATTCTACTTGAAACCAAAAAACTAGTAGCAGAAAAAAGGAAAGCCAGGGCAATATGGCACCGAACGCATGTACCAACAGACAAAACTGCTTTAAACAGAATTAGTAATCAATTGAAGACAAAAATCAAAGAAGCCAAAGAGAGGTCTTTTGCAGAGTATGTAAAAAATTTAAACCATTATGACACTCCATATGCATGGAAACCAATCAAACATTCAAAGAAACCTAAAACTCAATCACCTCCCCTTCGTAACGAGCTAGACCTGAATCTGCCGTGGGCCAGAAGTGACAAAGAAAAAGCACACCTTTTTGCAAAACACCTCGCAAAAGTATTCTCACCGCATAACAATGACTTAAATCATGAAATAGAAAGAAGTGTATCAGTTGTCCCAATAAACATATCAGCAATCAAGTTTTTAACAGTTAAAGAAGTTCAGCACGAAATTGACAACCTAAACCCTCGTAAGGCACCAGGAGTGGATAAGATAACGTCAAAAATGTTAAAAGAACTACCAAGGAAGGGCTTACTACTTATCACATATATATTTAATACCATCATAAGATTGAACTACTGGCCGAGATCGCTGAAAACAGCCGAAATTATAATGATCCCAAAACACGGTAAAGATGTAAACATAGTCTCCTCATATCGCCCTATTAGCTTACTACCATTAGTTTCCAAAATGCTTGAAAGACTGATATTTCGTAAAATCAATTCAGATCCAAAAACCGAAAACTGGATACCACATCACCAGTTTGGGTTTCGAGAAAGACATTCCACTATTCAGCAGATACATTGGATTACCAAACTGAAACTCTTGAGGACAAAAAGTATTGCACGTCAGTGTTTCTTGATGTTACGTCAGGCTTTCGACAAAGTATGGCATACGGAACTACTTTACAAAATTAAAAATTATCTTCCTATGTTCTACTTTCCGATATTGAAATCCTACCTAAATGGTAGAGTGTTTAGAGGCAAAATAGGTGAGAATATATCTGAAAATTATAGCATAAATGCAGGTGTTCCACAAGGTAGTGTCCTAGGACTACTACTCTATGTCCTTTTTACAGCAGACTTTCCCACAGACAATGAAACAACAACGGCTACTTTTGCAAATGACGCAGTAATTATGGCTGTCAATAAAAAGCCGGAAACAGCTTCCTTGATATTACAAAGACATCTAAATGTAATAGAGGCATGGTTACATGATTGGAAAATAAAAATTAATCCATCAAAATCGGCCCAAGTAACTTTTACTTTAAATAGAGACCAGTGCCCTCCAGTATATCTAAACAACATACTAATTCCGCAGTCTTCCTCAACCAAGTACTTAGGCATGCACTTGGATACTAAGCTTACCTGGAAAGAACACATAGTAAAGAAACGTAAGCAAATAGACTTAAAAATAAAAGACATATTGGTTAATAGGACGATCTAAACTATCGCTAGAGAATAAACTTCTTTTATATAAAACCATAATAATACCTATTTGGACATATGAAGCAGAACTCTGAGGATGCGCTAGTAAATCAAATATAGCCATAATACAGTGTGAGGCTCCCCCGTTTTTGAGAAAGCTCACGGACGCCGAGTTGCCTTGGTTCGGTTCCTCGGGCGCCACCCCCAAAGTTTAAAGTGTTTGAGAGACCACTAGTGCCAATACGGGTAGCTTTTATACAGTGGAGATACCAGGGAGTGATGAGATGAAAAGAAAATAAAACACACAATTAACTACAGCGTAACACTAGGTTTTTATTTAACTAATTAATTATGTACAAAAGTAATCAAAGAAGGTTCACGTCCTCGAATTGTAACAATAGTGAAATACAGTGTATATTTAGAGACCCGTAAAGTAAAATTTACAATAACAACCGTGTACCTCTAGAGTTTTGATCGATTATTCCCGATAAGTGGCTCTCTCACTGATTCTATCACGCGAATTCAACACGCGTTCCCGAAGTGACATTCTATTAAACACGACGATGCGAGTTCCTGATCGGCGTCGGATTTAGCGGAGTCCTAATGAACACAGACACGTAGGTACCGGAGCAACACACTCTACCACGAAGTGACTCTCTAAACGGCGGTGACGTCGTTACAGGCGTCCCGATGGTCACAGCTAAATATTTATCGTAACGGCGTCCGTTTTACAGCGAAACACGGACCTCGGATCGGCGTCGGAATTAAAAGCGTCCAGTGACACACAAACGCGAGCCCTGGATCGATCGGGAAGTTAACAGCGTCCCGTGGGATACACAAACGCGAGTCCCGGAGTGACGTAGACGTTAGCGACGTCTCGGCGAGTTGTACGTCGTTCGGATAAGCGCAGCCCGCACACACACCACCCGGTCAGGACAGCCTCGGGATTTCGGCGAGATCCCGTCCAGCGTTACTGTTGCAGGGTGCCGTCCGGACGGCACACCTAAAGAAATACGGGAGCTACAAAACCAGCCTCGGGATTTGGGCGAGGTCCTGTCCTAGCTCCATAAATATTCGCGCCCGTGCGTTTACTGAACCACTTTAGCTGTCCCTTATGAAAACCAATTAGTTAGAATTAGAGAGGCACGTTAAACCAGGGTAGATGTCAGGCCACCTTTATGTTGTCTAGTTTCCGGGACGTCATTCCTGACAACTACTATAGTAAACCGTGTTCCCTCTTTCGCCTGGCAGGCGACCTCTATTTATACGAATTTTAAAACCCCTTTAGTTATTATCCCGTAATTAACTTTTCCCGAGAGGCACGTTAAACCAGAGTAGATATCAGGCCACCCTTATGTTATCTAGTTTCCGGGACGTCATTCCTGACAACTACTATAGTAAACCGTGTTCCCTCTTTCGCCCTGGTCGGCAACCTACGCTCTCCCTTACCCATAAAACGCGCCTAGGTGGTACAGTAACCGCTTAATAATTATAACAAGGATACGACCTACCTTCGAACACTTCGGCAGCTGGTGCTTACCTAGCACAGTACGGCGGCGATGGGCAGCTGGCAGCAGGTCACTTGGCAGGCACTCCGGACTCGACTTCACTGTTTCACGTGCGACCACAAACTAACCACCTGGAGCTGCTGCAGCCAAGGTACTCGACTGACGCTCCCCTCCACTCGGCCTGCACAACAGGGTAAGGCGAGCGGCGCAAACGGTTCGGTTTTTCGCATTAAACTATAGCGACCAAAACCGATCAAAACTCTCTTACAAAATGGCAATTAAATATATTTAACTTATTTAATTCAACAATAGGAACACTAATGAAGTTCATTACAATAATGAGTTAACAATAAAATACATTGACTGTCATTATTAAAAGAGAATGAAGTCTCTATTATTCTAGTATAATATTAACACAATATACAGGGTGTCCTAGAAATTTTATGAACTTCATTACAACAGCCAATCTAAAATTCTACGGATGATAACAGACGCGCCATGCTATGTCTCCAATTATACTCTACATGAAGACTTAAAAATTCCGTACATCAAAGAAGTCATCCAAACTCGGAGCAAAAAACATTTCAATAGACTACATGATCACACCAATACCTTACTTCAACCTCTACTTGAACCAGTACCTACAAGAAGACTTAAAAGACAATGGCCATCTGATTTGAAAGAATATTAAGGAGGATTTTTCGCTGGAGAAGACCTCATCACGTTAACTGCAGCGTCATTGCTCCCAAGTCATCAAATTAGCCCATAAAATTTCCTTGCAATTATTCTGATTGCTAATAAATAAATCATAATAAAAAAATATTTAAATACGACTGTTTTATTATTGCTAAACTATGTTATTTTTAAACATATATATTACATTATAAATTTTTATACTGAAAGTTTATTGGTATTTAATTATTTTAGATGTATGAAAGAGAACGAGCGGATTACATCGAGAAATTACCAAAAGGTAAACACAGCTGTAAAGGTATTGGTCGAACTCATCCGGATCCTACAATAGTAAAAAAAATCGAGGACGTAGACGTGCCTTTAGGAAAAGGCGTTCCAAATACCGCCGTTAAAAATACATCGCTCTTATATAACGAGTATATCGTTTATGATGTCGCTCAGGTACATATAAAGTACCTCTTGAAGGTAAACTTCAAATACAAATATTAAATATTTGGTAGGCATTCTTTTTCACATTATTTTTAAGTTTTTTACTCCAGTATATTTAATTGCTTATTTATAGTACAATTTATGTTGTTTTTTAGTATTTAAGTTGCACTTGATAATCACAAATTAAATTTTTGATATTTTTTACTTCAATATTTAATGGAATTTCAATATTATTTCATATTACTTTTGTTATTTTTTTATATTAAGTCTATAGGCTTTCTTTACTCTTTCATATATACAAGCATAATGGAAAACGTTTTCTAGATTAAAAGAATCTAATAAGATTTACGTATCTTTAACATATTAGTCCAAGAAAGTAGGCCTTCAAATACGAAGTTTTGGTAAAAACTTGAATTTTTGATATAAATTACTTTGAAAGATCTAAAAACGAATTGTGAAAGTTTTTTTAAATAAAAATAAATAAAATTATTCGAATTAAAGTTAAATTAAAGTTGCAGAGCGTTCAATTTTACATAAAAATGGTCTCCTTATACTTTTTTTGCTGAAATCAAAATTAACTGATATTTGGAAAAAATCATTTTATTTATTTATTTCACCCCTTCTCACGGGTGAATTTAATTTTTTGTTCACAATTCGTTTTTAGATCTTTAAAATAACTTATATCAAAAATTCAAGTTTTTACAAAAACTTCGTATTTAAAGGCCTATTCTTGGACTAATATATTTTGCCGTAACAATATTCTATTCCACACAAAAGTGTGTTATGCTTAAATATATAAAAAATTGTAGTTTTTAAGAGGTTTAACAATTCAATCTCATAAAATATTCTCCCTAGAAGATTTATATCTTTTATATGTCCAGCTTTAGGATATATTTTGATTAGTATTAGTATTACAAAAAAGTGTTTGCTTTTAATTTGTTACCATTAAATATATAGGTATTTCCATGTATTACAAATAATGTTACTAGTGTTGGTTCATTTTGTTTTTCAATAAAAGTCGTTAAACTGGTAAATCGTTTATTTCAACATCTTCAAATTAAACAAGAGCCTGTAAAAATGTAAATAAAAAATCTAGTAGGGTACGGCCACGTTTGAGAGCGATAAACCGCTCAATAAGACCTAACGCCAAAAAAAATCAAACTTATTTTCAGTGTAGTAACCATAAAGGCGGACTCTCACGACTCGTCTACTTGGCAAGTACGCCAATATTTGCGTACTTGGCAAGTATCCCCACCACGATCCCCACTTTGTAAACAACAAACAAAGAAAAACAAGTCGATGCGTTTGTGTTGAGAGACATGTTGCAAACTGAAACTTGAAACGCTCCATGATCGATGACACGACGCTTATCGCCCGCTGCATTGTGACCGATTTATCGCTCTCAAGCCTAACCGTACTCTAACAGCGCTTTCAGATGGCGCGGACCGTACGCGCGGATGTTTTTTCAATATAGCTCATCCGGACGGAGCATACGCGACCCATTTGAAATCGTTCATATAAATTCGTGGTACTTGCTCGAAGTCGCGGACGCATATGTATGCTTCGCGACTCTGAACCAGTATGCTCCGTCCGGATGAGCTAAACTAGCGTGCATAAAAATCGTCCCACTGTAAACTTTTGACTTTAACGGTGTCTTTTAGAATCTATTTATCAGACCAAGAAAAAAATATGAGCTGTTTCAAAGACTATTTAACATGCTTTAATATGAGTATAAATTTATCCAAAGTACTTATCGTTTATATGCGTAGCAACGGGTAAACAAATGAAAGGCATTTGTGTTGTGGTGACAATAAGAATAAAAAACATATCAAATATTGCAATTACTACTTTACTGTTACTTTGTAATCGAAATTTGCACATTGTTCTTTCATTGTTTGATTTGTTGTGTTTCATTGTTTGATTAGTGTTTCAATTTAATGGAATCAACACGGAAAAAAACTGCCAAAGTAATCGCTTTAATTGAAAATGGACTTAAACAGAGAACTGTAGCTCGGCAACTGCATATGACACGCGGAGCGGTTCGAAGAGTGTGAACGATATGAGGAGACTCGATCCTTTCGTAGGCGACCTGGAACTAGTGGAAAGAGATATACAACGGATCGTGATGACCGCTTTATTGTGTCAACAATATTAAGAAATCGGCATCTTAATGCTATTCAGGTGCAACAACAGCTCCGTGAAACACGGGGAGTGACTGTTAGTCAGAGGACAGTAATACGAATATTGAAGGAAAGTAATATGACCCCCAAAACACCCGCAACTGGTCCAAAATTTACCCCAGCTCATCGTCAAACACGCCTGCCTTTTGCACGGAACCTTTGAATTGGCTACTAGAATAATGAGAATGTGTTTTATTCTCAGATGAGACCAGGATATGCCTCTATGGTAGCGACCGAAGAAGAAAAGTGTTCCAGAGGCCAGATGAGCGCTTCGCAGAATACTGCATCGAGGAGCGGATTGCTTATGGAGGTGGTTTCTGCATGATGTGGGGTACAATTTCTATGTCTGCACGAACCGACCCAGTTTTTATCCGTTGGGACGACCGTCGGCACGGGAGAGGAGGTTTAACTGGTGCTAGGTATATTGAGGAGATTTTAGCAGTTCATGTGGTACCTTACGTCGACTACATTGGAAGCGAAGTCACTTCTATGCATGACAATGCGAGAGCACACACATCAAGAATCGTAAACGATTACATTTCAGAAGTCGGTTTTCGGGTTATGGAATGGCCAGCATGCAGTCCAGATTTAAACACGATAGAACATTTATGGGATGAGCTAAAACGAAGGATTCGTACTAGACAAAGAGCTCCAACCTCTATCCCAGAGCTCATTGTTGCAGTATCAGAAGAGTGGCTTAACATACCGCAAGCAACAATATCAAACTTGATTGAATCTATGCCAAACTGTATGAGAGATGTTGTAAGAGCAAGAGGAGGTCATACCCATTATTGAAAATTTATTTTAGTTAATTGTCAATCAATAAATAAATAAATTATGGCATACATCTTAGTAATAAAAAACGATAATTTGTTTCATGCATTAATTTAATAATTTTAATCCAAAGAAACCGAAATACAAATTAATATCTCTAAACTCTTTTCAAAGAATATAAAATTGTCTTTCAAACAGTGTATATTTTTTCTTAATCTGACAAATATATTCTAAAAAATATATAGTTAACTTCAAAAGTTTGCCTTGGGCCGATTTCTATGCACGCAAGTGTATATTGAAAAAAACATCCGCGCGGACGCTCTGCGCGTACGGTCCGCTCCATCTGAAAGCGCTGTAGACTACTTAAATCACATTTAAACATCTAATAAGTGAACTATGGCAAAATGGATAAAAATTTAAACTTCCACGGCTTTTGAAAGTATTCAAAAATCTTATTTCTTTAACTACAAATTACAATTGTGTAGCCAAGGGTCAAAAGTGTAAAAGAATTACGTGATATTACCCTTAAGGTATATTTGTTTTATGAGGTAGAAATCAGGAATATATTCTATCCTTAATATAACGTAGTCGATTTGCGTCCTTATGTTACAGATGAAATGGCGTTCGCAGGTTTAAGACCAGAAATTAAACAACCTTTTTTTAAATTGCCGATGTTCCGAAGTGTATATTCGTATTTACCAAGGCTATTTTCAGCTATAAGGTTCTTTTTTCAGCTGGTCCTAAACCTGTAAACGCCATTTCATCTTTGATATATTCCAGTGCTTATAGATTTTTTAAGGAGTTTAATCCGACCAAACACCTATTTCCGCTTTAAGAAACGAATACAGGATGTATCAAAAAAAAAATCACAACAAATGGGAATTTTTTTATTTTAAGATATTGAAAAGTTTATACAGAATTTTTTCAGCATTCCCAGTATCAAAAAATGATACTGAGAAATTACAAAAAATGTATTTACATAATAAAAGTAACTCCTATAACTTTATTTTTTTCAGATAAAAAAAGAAATTTTGTATATTTGTATATGACAATAAATTAGAACCGATTGACGTATTCAATTAGTTTTGGTCACTTCCTGTTTCACCGAAAATGACTAAAACTTTTGATTTTTGAATAGTACCCTCGGTATTTTGTAATTTTATTTATTAGAACATGACATTCTGAATAGAATGATATATCACAAGTTAACTTTTTACTTTTTCACTTAAAAAATCGTGTTTTTTTATTGGGTATGCTAAAGAAATTCCATTGAATAAACTTTTTTTTATATCTCGCTAGTAATAAACATCTATCACACATAATAAATATTCCGATTTGTTGCAAACTTTTTGCAACAAACTGTAATTTTTTTAGGCATAATACTAGCTTAATAAAAGATGGTATTTTTATAGTGCGTATATATTGATCGCGGCTGCCTCGCGCACCAGATGATTGACGTGAAAATGGCGACATTAACGCCGCGCCGCGATTGGCCGCAACGAGGATAGAATACCTAGAGCGCGCGACAATCGCGGTCAATGGATACGCACCATTAGCTGAACACCTATTTCCATTTTAAGAAACACATATATATTTAGTGACACCTGGCAAGAGCGCCTATACCCCCTACAAGATGATATAGTGGTTCTACAGCAGTTTTTTAGATCTGAAATCACCAGTTGCCACTGATTGTTACTTTTTTACGCACAACTTGACGAGAGGACTAGAAATGGACTCGAGTATTTAAATTACAACCACATATATCTACTACTGTATTTTGACAATTTTTTCTGAAAATTGAATTAATCCATATTCGCCAGTCTCCATCCATTTAGGGTCTTTTTTATCCAATTCCTCCGCGATTCCTTCTTTTAATCCAGCCACTATATCTGCCTTAATTGTTCTTAACGCACATAACTTAGATGGGTGAAAACCTTGCAGAGCTTCATCCACACTTGTCACTGGGTCCCAGTTAATCTCACCGAATAATTTTCTGCAATTCTAATCAGTATTCAATCGTTAGTTGAGTTGTAAATGATTACCTGTAATTTAAATCTCCTTTGAAGAATATAAGCTTGGCTTCGGATAATTTTTTATAAAGTTGTGGTTCAAAATCTTTCATAAATTTAAATTCATATGGTAAAGTCCAAAAGCTACTGCTTACAATTTCCCATTGTCCATTGGTCAGATAATCTGGAATTGTGTTAATATTTAATAAGGTTTATATTCTACCATTTACATGGTGGGATGCCAAATATTGACTCTTTAAGCATCAAGAATACAATTTTAAATCCCTATTTAGATATTAGAAATTTAGACTATATTGATAATTTATTATTCAGTTATTTATAATATACAGGGTGGTCCATCGAAAACGTTCCGCTAGGCATAACGGCCAGGGTAATTTTTTTTTTCAGAAAATTCAAAAACACGTCAATTTTGTTTATGAGGGGGACAACGTTTGCCCCAAAAATGATTGCAAAATCTTCAACCCTCTAAGCGGGGGTGTCATCCCTCAATTTTTTTCAAATGGGAAGGGGGGTCAAGTGGTACCGCAATGAAATGAGCTTTCTATTCTCTATACTTTCCGGCTTCGTTTTTGAAAATCGGTAGAGTCATTGAGAATATATGAAGGATTGAAATTTGAAAAGTTTATTTAAACATCTATCAGAGTAAATGATAAGGATAAATTCCTTCGACCAATTTGCTGTTTTTTCTTATTATTTCTAGATGTTTACGCATTTTTTCACTTGCCACAAGGTTGAACGATCAGGTGCGGTAGTTGCTAGATAGCTGTTCTGTGACTTGTGCGTTCAAGTTCTTCTCAATATCGTTAAACTTTTTAATAATTATGGTGTACTCACTTGCAAAAACAGTGGAAATAATCGAACTTTATTTTAAAAATAATGAATGTGGCAATAGGGTTGTGCAGATATTCAACGAACGCCATCCTGACAAACACCTTTATGGCAAAATTTCGCGAAACTGGTTCCGTTATGAATAAAAAGAGGCAGAGGGAAAATCTTGTAGTAAATGAAGCTATGGAGGTATTCGTATTGCAAGTTGCCATTGGATAGTACGCTGAGTACAAGAAAATTAGCCAATGAGACCGGCGTGAACCGTACAAGTGTCCAAAGGGTATTAAAAAAACACAAGTTCCACCCGTACAAAATTCAGTTGGTACAAGAACACAACGAAGACGATTTTGATCGTCGCTTGCAATTTCGTGAAACTATGAGTGAACGAGTGGCGAATGATAATAATTTCCTATTTAATGTGTGTATTTTAGATAAGTGTATTTTCTTTTTGAACGGTGTAGTTAATCAGCACAACTGTCGGCACTCGGCTGAGGACAACCTCAGGGTTTTTCACGAGGTACACACACAAAACCCTCAGAAATTGAACGCGTGGGCTGGTATTTTTGGAAATTCTATTGTAGGTCAGTTTAACGATATTGAGAAGAACTTCAACGCACAAGTCACAGAACAGCTATCTAGCAACTACCGCACCTGATCGTTCAACCTTGTGGCAAGTGAAAAAATGCGTAAACATCTAGAAATAATAAGAAAAAACCTCAAATTAGTCGAAGGAATTTATCCTTATCATTTACTCTGATAAATGTTTAAATAAACTTTTCAAATTTCAATCCTTCATATTTTCTCAATGACTCGACCGATTTTCAAAAACGAGGCGGGGAAATATAGAGAATAGAAAGCTCTTTCATTGCGGCGCCACTTGACCCCCTTCCCATTTGAAAAAAGTTGGGGATGACACCCCGCTTAGAGGGTTGATAATTTTGCAATCATTTTTGGGGCAAAAGTTATCCCCCTCACAAACAAAATTGACGTGTTTTTGGATTTTTGAAAAAGAATACCTTAGCCGTTATGCCTTGCGGAACGTTTTCGATGGGCCACCCTGTATACAGTGTGTGTCATAAAGTTCACAAGAAACAGGAAAATTTGACAAGTGATCAAATATTGAAAAAAGTCAAAGTAGTTCAGAATTTTATTAAATTACATTTTATTGCTTAAAAATTAGATTCGTTCAAACACAGCAGTTCTCGGTACGGCAACGTTTCTGCTGAAAAAAAAATGCGTTCCAACCACGAGAAAATCGTTTGGCGAACGATAACTTTTACGTTCCGACCAGAGTTGTAATTGTTAGTGAACCGCATTCTGAACGGCGATTTCTATACCAGCCTAAAATAATCAAAAGAACTGACTTATGTGTTAAGTACTGTGTGTCAGCTGATTATTGTTTATTTTATTTTGGATGTACTTAAACAGCCGTTAAACGGTAGCCTACTAAAATGCCGTTAATAGATATTGTGACGTCGTTCATGTCGGCGGAAAGTAATGCCTAACCATAAGCATATTGCAAGAGCACCTGTGTTGACCAACACTTTTTTATATTTTTTTTTGCTTATAGCGCGATCTCATTGCATTGGTTTTACTCTTTTTGGTTGGATTGGTTTAGTTATTTGGCGGGTTGGTTTGCGTGGTTATTTGGAGGGTGTTAATTCATTGGTTAGTTGGTTATTTGGTGGGATTGGTTGGTTTTACTAATTTATTTTTTAAATTTTTTTATCAGTTTTTTTTATCAGTTGTTATTTTATATTGTTGTTTTTTAAATCTTTTTATCAGTGTCGAAGTTAGTTGCGTTGGTTATTTGGTGGGGTGGATAGCTTTGGTTAGACCTTATATAATTCCTATATTTCATAAAGCCGTCAAGTGCGTCACATCAACGACGTCATACCTATTAACGGCATTTTAGTAAGCTACCGTTTAACGGCAGTTTAAGTACAGCCTTTAATTTTTGGCTATTTGTTTTTAATTTGCTTAAATATGAAACATTTTATGTAGATTTTTGTGTAGACAATGTCCACCTTGTCTACTCGTACGCTTTGCCACTGTAATTTTGTCAACCCCACTTTTGCATGTGTAAAGAGGATCTTTGTAATTTGTCGCCATGTTTCTGTTATTGGTCATGATGAAAAATTTCCACTTAAACTTTATTTCAATATCTTAATAACAAAAAAAAATCTTATTTCTTCCTAACGTTTTAGCACACATTGTACATCTAATATATAGTATACCTAGTGATATAAAGGGTAATATTACCAGTAATTTTGGTAATATTACGTAATATTACCGCATGATCGGTAACATTGGAAATATTGCTTCTGTACCACTCTACTCTTCTCCTTTTTTTTGTGAAAACAAGATGGGGCTGCTTTATTTCTTGTCTAAAAAGCTTTTTGACACTAAAAAACTTAGCAGTTGATGATAATCCAGCTATTTCTGATGTTCTTTCGTCAAACAGAGTAAACCTTCTGCTTCGAAACGATTTTTGAAACTAACGGACCAACGGTAATATTTTTGCTAAAGGACTCGTCCTTTCCAGCGAAAAATCTGTGTCTGAACTCTAGACCTATCTGGTGGGCAGGAATTTGCTCCAGCTCTATAATAAGCATTTTGGCTATAGACAATTTAAATTTGCCATCGTAAACAGCCGCAACCGAAAGAACCTTTAGTACTTATGGATTTGTCACAGAGCCAAGAAGAAACAAACTTACTGTGGAAAAGTCAGGAAAACTTATTTATATTGCCCATAATAATTATATTTACTAAATGGAGAAGAATATACAGGAATGATAGAGGCCGCTCAGAAAGAAATGGAAGAAGATATCGATTTCGAAGTAATAGATTTGACTCAACTAACGAAAGAGATAGAAGAACCATATGACAAGATTTAGGATTATTTACCATTATCAACTCTATTACGTACTATAACATAGGCCACTTTGACTCGTACTAGCTTAAAAAACGTTCTTTTTTTTGTAATGTTTTTACGGTTTTGAAATAAAAAAAATATTTAAAAAGCTGTTTTTTTAATAAATTACCAATTTAATAATATTACCAATTAATGTTACCGATTTATAAATTACGAGTAATTTTACATCACTAGGTACCTATGTCTATAGTTTTTGCTATATAAAAAAATTGTTTCATATCTGCCATTATTAGAGAACAACGGCACAGACTACCTAACCTAACCTAACCTAACACGTAAACGTTTACGTATGCATGCGCATTTCTTATATTTTTATTTTTTACACGTAAAAGATTCTTTACGTCTACGTATACGTGCCAGCAGGCCGACTCGACCGTAGGCCGTTGTTCTCTAATAACAATCCAAGTTTTACGTATACATACCATACCATCTAGTTGCTAGCACTTGGAGTGATTCATTAGAGTGCTGCTTTAACTTATCTAATGTCCAATACACATCATGCTCCATCGCGTCTGATATAAACCATGGTATAGTTTTAACATAGAAACGAATTTTTTTAGCTAAATTTTTCCTTACTATGTAATCTGCTAAACATAGATCAGTAAACAATTCATAACCTGCATTATCAAAAACTATATCTAAAAAGAAACTATTTGAAATCAGGTTTTTCCTCCCTATTTCAATTTAGTTACCAACTATGTCAGTGTCTGTCCCTTTACTGATCACTTCCCATATATCTTGAGATTGATCCGATAATAGACAAGGATCTAATAGATGCGTATCAAATAGATTACCTGGATTATCTGTTTTGCCAAGGGATATTGACAGATCACATTTATTCCCCCACAAGTTTAACTAGAAAAATATGTAAAATAAAGTAGGTAATATTTAAAAATCAGCAATATTAAATTTAAAATTTAACTTTAGTATGGATTTATATGATTCTTCAGGAATAAAGTACTATCGTTAATTGAAAGTATTGGGAAGATACGCAACTTAATGGGCGAATTCGTGACAACGCTGATTTGATTTCTCCTTACGCTTCAAATGCTGTACAGGGTGTCCCATTTTAGTTGAAATCATACCGTATATATCTCCGTTATTCGTGAAGATAGAAGGGTGCGGTTTGCACAAACCTGTGCCACTTTTTTGTCAAACGGAAGATGCTGTCAAAAAAATTTTTCATAGTTCTCTTCGTTTCTGAGCTACACAGTCTATTTGAAAATTTTGCCATTTGGGACAGCCCCCGTTTCTCCGTTATTATGGATGATATCGAGAAGGTGAAAACTGATTCTTGTAGAACTTTTTACGTAGAATACAGTGGCGTAGTCTGTTTTTCTACCAGAAAATTATTTTTGAAAATATGAACTTAAGTTATGTTTTTTCAAACGGAACACTCTGTATATTTATAAATCATATGATCCGCCTTGCTATAGGATTCTCAAATATATATACAGGGTGGTCCGAACTGTATTCCGGAAACTTCGGCAGCAAATTCTGCAGATAAAAATAAGTAAAAAAGTTTGTATAAATATATGTCCTAAAATGCTTAGTTTCGGAGATACAGGGTGTAGAAGTTTCATTTTTATTTCAATTTTTTCCAAATAATTTCTGAAGTAACGTCAATATTTGGATCAAAATTGGTGTCTGAGAGTTTTTTAACATGAGATATTTGATTTTGGTGTCAATATGACTCCTACTAGTAGAGGGCGCCACCTACATATTTTTTAACTGGTTTGAAGATTAATAACTTTTCGTCCGTACCTGTATAAAACTACTGAGTAAAAAAATATATTTACGACGTTTTTTATGTGAAAAAGGTCTCTTGGCAAAAATCGTTACGAGTAATGTTTTTCGAGATATTTGGAATCGAAATTACCAATACCTGTCATCAGTGACCTAAATTAAACATGTTGACTAAATAGTTATTAGACTGAAATCATAAATTTGAAATATTTTCGTGCAAAAAGTTCAACAGAAACTGTTTTATCGTCATTTTTTGCAGAAAAAATTATGATTAATTTACAAAAAATAAAAATTTCCCAAATTTATTATTTCAGTGAAATAACTGTCTACTCAACGTGTTTATTTTTCGTCAATAATGACATGTATTGATTATTTCCATTCTAAATATCTTAAGAACGGTTGCTCGTAGCGATTTTGACAAAGAGGTATTTTTTACGTAAAAAGTCACAGAGATGTATATTTTTTCACTCGGTAGTTTTATACAGTTACGGACAAAAATTGATTACGCTTCAAAACAGTTAAAACACATGTAGGTGGCGCCCTCTACTAGTAGGAGTCATATTGACATCAAAATCAAATTTCTCATGTCAAAAAACTCCCGAGACAAATTTTTATCCAAATATTGACGTTACTTATCGAAATTATTTAGAAAAAATCGAAATAAAAATGAAACTTCTACACCCTGTCTCTCTGAAACTAAGCATTTTAGGACATACATTTATACAAACTTTCTCACTTATTTTTATCTGCAGAATTTGCTGCCGAAGTTTCCGGAATACAGTTCGGACCACCCTGTATATATCACTCTATATTTATTTTCACTATTTACTGCAATATTTAAAATATATCATTTTCTTATTAGTAGGCCGTGATAAATAACAAAATCAAAATGGTATTTACTAAAATAGACATACACATATTAAAATTTTATTTGGTATTGATATATTTTACTTTCCAACTGTTACCACTGAACCTCTGAATATATTTTTCTCTTTTTTATAACGGAATTTATTATAAAGGGATGGGTTTGCAAATATCTAAAAGCTTGCATTATTAAAGCATTTTCCAGATCGACATCGTATTGGTTGCCACGATATATTTCATATTTCAAAAATCCCCAAAATCAGAAATCGAGAACGGTAAGATCCGGGAATCAGGTAGGCCATCATATGGGTGCATTTGTTCCGATTCATTGATTTGAGAAATAATAATTTAACAAAATTCTAATATTTTCGTTCGTATAAAGTTAAGTTGTGAGGAAGAGCCCCGTCTTGCTGAAAGTATACATTTTACGTAAATTAGTTAAAGGAATATTTAAAAGTTCGGATACAATACCCTCCAAGATTTACAAATAACGGTAGAGACTTAAGTTTCCCTATATATAAAGAATCAATTAGTGGCTCTCAGCATAAAACAAGAGACAGATAGCAGTATATACTTTTAATAATTCTTTAGTTTCTTTTGTAATCAATCATGGCCTACTAATAAATATGATCTTTTAATAATTTTTCTTTAAATATTGCATTAAATAGTGAAAATAAATATAGAGTGTTATATATTTTTGAGAAGCTTATGGCAAGGCAGATCATATAATTTATAAATATACAGGGTATTCCATTCAAGAAAACATAACTTTAGTTCATATCTTAAAAATATTATTTTCGTACTACGCCACTGTATTCTACGTAAAAAGTTCTACAATAAACAGTTTTCATCGTCTCGATACGTATAAAAATAACAGAGATACAAGGGGTGACCCAAATTGCAAAATTTTCAAAAAGACCCTGTAGCTCAGAAACGAAGAGGGCTATGAAAATTTTGTTGACAGCATCTTCCGTGGCACAGGTTTGTGCAAACCGCACCCTTCTATCTTCACGAATAACGGAGATACAGTATGATTTCAACCAAAATGGGACACCCTGTACAGTGGAGACAAAAATCATTCTGCGGTCAACTCACAAAACACTTGTTTTCTCTAATTCAACCAGAGAAGGCATATCGAAGACGGTGTGAATCCGAAAGCGAAAGTGTTGCCATATTAAAATGTGTAATATATGTAATACTTTTGACAAAAATATCTTTGAATGAAAAATCCGCCTTTATGTATTGAAAATTTATTTGTGTTAAACATACCATAAACAACAAAAACAAAAATGCTTTTATAGGTAGTGAATATGTTGTATGAGATCGAAAAAAGTCGGTTAATTGGCTTGGAAATGACAATTATTACCATAAAATTTTACATATGAAATAACAGCGATCTTCATTTCCAAGCCAACTCTGGCGTCGTTCTTTGTTTAATCATACTAAGAGTCGGTATTTCTGGTCTTGGGTGCTGGTTTTCATGTGTACGAAGAGTACAGCCAACACGCTTAGTAAAATAAGATGTACTGAATAAAGATAGAAGGCGAGTATTTTCCCAAGCGCATGGAATCTAGCATCAGATTAAGTAGTTATGTAATAAATACTTCATATTTTTGCTCACTTTGACTTACTAGATTGCCATACTGACTCACTCCTATACATGTAAACGCCGACCCAAAGATTGGCTAGCCAGCAGGGTATAATATTATATTAAACTGTTTAATGATAGAAAATCCACATTATTAACGTACTGTACCCAAAATCCGTAAATCTACGGATCAATCAGTAGTTCTGGCAACACTGTCTCTGGCAACCACTCACTCTGTCGACTGAAAGCAAAACTACGGTCTGCTTTGGTACAGTATTCCGCTGCGCTGAAAACGATATAAGCGCGCAGCGGCGCAGAGCTAAACTAAATCTCGGAATTCTCGAACAGGCTGACGGCAACGCCAACTACATCTCGGACAGGTTTAGTGCCACGAAATCGCCCATAAGGTTGCGCATCTTCTTATTTCTTCAATCAACGGTACTATTTAAATCAGCAATATTAAATTTAAAATTTACCTTCAGCATGGATTTAAATGATTCTTCAGGATCTGTATTGTTTTGTTGTTCGACTTCTAGCATATGATTACCTAGTTGGACTATTAATGCTAAAGCACTTTCATAAGAATCTCTCTTTGAGAAGCCAAAATAATCATAGTCTTTCAAAGATTCTCTGGAATATGTTATTAAATTTAACTATCAATATAATTAGTGTGGTAAAATATTCAAAAAATGATTTTTGGAGAATGTTCTTGAGAATGAACAAGAATAAACGAACAAATGTCGAGAATTTGTAATTAGCGCAAAGAAAGTAAGTTGGGAAAATAATCTATTACTTTTTACTTTTTTTTTTCAGAATTTGTTTGGTTTTTCTTATTATTCTCGAGAAAAATGATATTTTTGAGCACGTTGAGAACAAAAGAGAAGGCACATGAGAGATGACATGTTTTATGAAACATCCTGTACAATATAGTGTATTATAATTACTAAATACTATTTTTATAAAAAGTTCATATTATTTAGATTCCAAAATGAAAAGTTTTATAAAAATGTAAAAAATAGTTATATGGAATGTTCCCGTTCATGCTTAAACATGCTGTGTACCCTATGTGTTATCCTAAACGTTTGTGAATGGTCCTATTAATTATGACACTGAATAATACCTACATATAATGAAAAAGTTTTGTTACTCACGTAAAACTAAAACTTTGTTTTATTCTGCGATACATGTAGCATTCAGTTAAAAGCCATATTGTATTGAAGTAAGTTGTATGGCCTTCCTCAGAAGCTTGTTTTGTTATGTGTTCATTAAAAAAGTGTATGTCAGGATCTGTTGATGTCAAATACGGCAGAGGCTTATTTGTTTGTATCTCATATTTCAATTTGGATATTTCTCCAATAACTTTTTTCAAATCATCATGGGCTATCTAAAATCGTATTGTGTTTTATAAATGTTCAGTCAAATGCTTAAATATTAACCTCCCCATAAATTGCTGCTATTTGCTCCTTATTGCGTACCAGAGTATCTATCAACTGTGTTAGAATTATTGGCAGTCGACTTTTTACAGTGTAAAATGCAAAACTCCTACAAAGAACTCATATTATTAAAAAAACAATAGTTGTTAATTACCTTACCTTTTATAAAATGCCGACAAATATACATTTCTAGGAGTTTTAACATCCATACTCATATCCTGACATTCGCACATTTTACAAAAAAATGTAACAAAATAAGTAATTTTATGTTAACATGCATGCAAGCAATGTCTAGTTCTATTTTGCTACTTACTATTATCCAAAGGACGTAGGGGACATAAGGTCAAATGTTTCTAAATGGTTTTTAAAATATTTTCGAAATTTACAAGGTTATTTGTTACGATTCTGTCAACTGTCAGTCAAAAAAAATAATCTGCAAAAACCTTGGAAAGGTCTAAGGACAAGGACATCCAAAGATCGTGAATGCCAAGGACACCGGAAGATATCGCTGGAGACCGAATCCAGCCGAATTTCATATGCTTTATATGATTTCGGATTTATTGGGATTTATCATATCTATATATCATCTGTATATGATCCACATCTTACAACAATAAAAATCCAGTTCATCATATATGTATTATATATGATTGAAATCTTTTACGAGTCGGCCATTGTACAAACGAACTACTCACGTTGCTAAATTTATTACTAACCTCTAAACACTTAAAATATTTAAAATTATATTTCTTGCAATGTATTGAATTAAAACGTAAGTATAAGAAAGCATGATTCGTTCTAGACGAGCTGTTATTTATTGGATAAGGTTTTTAGAAAATGGCAGAATCAACAATAGTAGTTAAAGCAAAACCTCAACGCAAAGTTTTCAAAGCCACTCGAATTACAAAAATTCCAGATCGTATTCTAAATGACCCTAAACTACAAGCAGCTGCCGCTGTGTTACCGAAGAATTACAATTTTGAGATTCCCAAAACAATATGGAGAATTCAAGAATTAAAGCCTAAAATGGTAGCCTTACAAATGCCCGAAGGTTTATTAATTTTTTCTACAACTCTAGCTGATATTATAAAAGAATTTACGGGGGCTGATACAGTTATCATGGGTGATGTGACTTATGGTGCTTGTTGTATAGATGATCTGACAGCTAAAGCTTTAGGGGTAGAATTATTAATTCATTATGGCCATAGCTGCTTAATACCAATTGATCAAACATCTGGCGTTAAAATGCTTTACATTTTTGTTGATATAAAAGTGGATCCCTTACATTTCATAGAAACTGTAAAATTTAACTTTGATAAAAGTGCAAAAATAGCTTTAGTTAGTACAATACAATTTGTGACAACTTTACAAGCTGTTTCCAAAATGCTTGGTGAAAATGGCTATGATATATCAATACCACAGTTTAAACCTCTTTCTCCAGGAGAAATATTAGGTTGTACAGCTCCAGTGTTAAGATGTTGTGACACAGTAATATATTTAGGAGATGGTCGGTTTCATTTGGAGGCTGTTATGATTGCCAATCCTAAAGTAAAAGCATATAAATATGATCCTTACAGTAAGATTATTACTCAGGAGTTGTATGATCATGAACAAATGGAAATTATCAGAAAAAATTGCATAGAAGATGCAAAATTAGTGGGTAAATTTGGTGTTATAATGGGGACTTTAGGAAGACAAGGTAGTCCTAAAGTAGTAGAACATTTACGAAAACGTATCACAGAGACGGGTAGATCAGCTGTGGTCATATTATTATCAGAGATATTTCCAAAGAAGATAGAACTATTTTCAAAACTTGATGCTTTTGTTCAGGTAGCTTGTCCAAGGTTGTCAATTGATTGGGGAAAATCATTTACAAAACCATTTTTGACTCCCTACGAATTAGCCATCACACTAGGAGATGCACAGTGGCACAAAGAGGATAAAAGTTATCCTATGGATTTCTATGCAAATGCAAGTATTGGACCTTGGACACCTAATCACAAACCAGAAGAACTTAGTGTAAACACTTGTTGTGGAAAATGTCCTTAAAATAAGATATTTACTAGGTGAATTTGTATATATTTGTTTTATAATAAATTTAATTTAATTTTATTTTTATTTAAGTTTCATATTGGATATCTCTTACATAAAATGGTAGTGTGTGAAATTACTGAATCTTTAAACCTTGAATTGACCTTTCCAAGGAATTGATATCCCAAATCACCAACTGTCCATCCAATCCAGATGTGCTTATTTTTGTGGCTTTACCTTTAGTCCCATTATAAATACATAAACAAGTTATAGCATTCTGATGGATTGAATCTATATTGGTATCTGACATTTCGGTTCTCGCTTGTTTGTCCAATGAATGAAACATTTTCATTGCAGATAATCCCCCTGATTCTTTCTTTTGGGATGTGTCCAATTTTCCACCAAAAACTAATTGACCACTTTCAGTCAAGTTATAAATTACAGGGACACAACTATGTCCAGCAGCAACTATGGCCTTAGTACTTATCCAGGTACAGTTTAAGAATGGAAGAAATTCAGTTTTTAATTTTATAAAAGTATTTCCTTTACTAGGATCAGCAACATTAATCGATGAATCATGTGATACCTAAAAATATCTATAAGTAGCTTAAAAATCCAACCAAAAAACCAACATACCCAGCAAACTTTAGACCCGTCGGCTGAAAAACTGACACAGTGGACCCAACCACCACCAGCAGATGAATTAACATACTCTGCCATAACTTGACCCAATGGCATTTTGTTTCCCCAAGGTGTAGGTTCAGGGGTTTTTTCAATATCTTTAATATAAGCAGAGAAAACTCTTACTTTAAAATCTGCACTTCCAGCAGCTAGAAGCACATTGTTTGGATGCCAGTCTAAGGTAGTAACTGTTGATCGAATGGGTTTCTTAATGTGCTTAGAGACCCACCAATCATTTTCACTTTCAAAGTAACATATGGATATAAGACGAGCTCCAGAGCCAACAGCAAATTTATTCTCATTTGGAGACCATTTAACGCAAGTAGCGGCCCTATTAATTCTTAAAAGAACTAGAGTTGGCTTCCATTTTCCATCTTTTTCTTGGCTCCAGACATATGCGTTTCTGTCACTAGCACAAGTCACTATTCTGTTAGTAGTTGGAGCCCAATCAATTCCCATTACTCGTAGATCATGCTGATTTAAAGTATCCAGTAACTTCCAGTCGTTGCCCGTTCTCTTATGGATTTCAACTTCTTGATTATTAGGGGAAAATGCGATTTCTATAATAAAAAACAAGCATATTTCACAGTTTTTAACGATTCATTTATTATATATTTACTTACGATTCCGGTCTTTATTCCAGGCATGACATGTAATTGGATTAACAGATCCAAATTTATGTATTTCAGTCATTTCGAAAACAAGTGTTTTGTGAGATTTTCTAACTTTTTCAAACAAAAATTCGTGGACTCTGGTCAGTCAACACGAATTTTTTCTAGAAAAATTTTCAAGAAATTGTAGGATTAATATTGATTTTATATTGGAGTAATCTGGGCGACTGGGCGTGAACTTTAAATATCTAAAAATGATGACTATTTTTCAGAGCACATATCTGACTTATCTGATGAGGAAAATGGGAATGTGGAACTACAACTACTTTATCCTATGACTTTATCAAAAAAAGTCATAAAAAAGGAATAGACCAATAGAAAAATTGGAATATTTCGTATATAATTTACGATTTCTGAATTTACGTTCCAAAATTCATATATACTTTGAATTATATATGATTTAGTTGAATTATTCATGGTTAGTATACTTGCATTCATTTAAAACTTCCCAATATGGCGGACTTCAGTATGGGAGGCTTAAAAAACGAAAATCTCTAAACTGGAATCGACTGTACTTCAAATCGTTCAAATTGATAATCTGTGGTAAATCCAATTGATCTCTGACACTTGGCTGACATTGACGTTTACGGTTCCTTTTTCTAAATATTTTCATATTTTTTGAGTTTTTATTCACAAATTCTACTTGATTTTGTTCTTTTATTTAACCTGCAACCTGCAGTACTAAGTATATAGTTATAAATAATCTTTTCCCGATCAAGAATTGACGAATAGGCTGGAAGATATTCAAAATGTGTAAAACCCTTAAAAACGTATTAGAAAATATTGACTCGTTCACAAATTCGTGAAAATAAATTAGTCCAGATGTTTGTAAAAAGGTCTCTAATTATTTTGAGAAGTTTCGTCGTATCAGTAATTTTCAGGTTTGTAATATGTACTATATGATAATAAATAGATTAAAACGTATATTTCAGGAAACAGCGCGGGCATTACAGATTGTTGTAAAATCAGTTTTAAAATATAAAGAAGGTTTAAAACAGGTTTAAAAGTTGAGTTAGTAGAGAAGACCTAAATAAGGTAATGTTGGTAATGGGACCAAACATCAAATAACACTTGAAATATATAATTATGTACAATAATTTTAAGTAGTTTTATGAATCTGTTTGATATCTATTGCATTGTTTTTATATTTCTTGAAATATATATTTTTTACTTTACAGGATACACAAAGAAGAATATAAAATACAGTTACTCACTAAAAGCACTTAAGGTTTGTAATAGATGTTGTTAGAATATCAAACACCAAACCAAACCAAAATTATGTTTTATTTTACTGGTATTCCTCACATTTGAAGGGAAAGTCATTTCATAAATAAGCAGGACATTGTATAGTACACTCTATATTAATAATTGTTTTTTATCCTATACTTGTTAGTTAACGCATCACTTACTAGGTATAAAATTTTAGTACTGATTAACCTATAGTTGTGGTTGTGATATATTCTGATGTGTTTCTGGCAAATTAAAAATAAGTTAATATTTAAACAAACATTTCTGGCTTTCCTGACAGGAGTGTGGACACAAATTTAATAAAGGTATAATGTGGATAATGTTCTGATTATTACAGTTTGCATGAATGTTTTTGTATGTTGTTATTTTTAATAAAGTATATTTAATGAGTTTTTGAGTATTTCTTTGTCCTTCAAAGGATTGTGTTCTAATCTTTATATATTATAAATTTTCATAAATTATATCTACAAAATTTATTACCTTATAATTTTTTGCTAAATACTTTGTAGTTGATACAGTTTAACAGTGTATAAAAGAACTATTTAAATAAGATGTTTGAAAATATATAGCTGTTTTTGCACACATCAATTCAATTTGTGATTAACTGTACTGAAATAAAAACAAAGAGAAATGGGGTGATCTATCAACTATAACATGAAAAGCATCATCCTATTTCCAAGTCTTCTATTAATTTCACTTATTAAACAACTATAATTATTCAATAATCTTGATAATTCTAGGAACTCTCAGATATCGTCAAAACATGAAAACAAAATTTACTTCCTATAGTTCTTACGTCCCTTTAACTGAAATATAAGAAACAGGGGAGTTAATATTCTCACTGGGAAAGTTTATAAAATACCTTTAAGTAAAATCTCTTCGGATCTGCGGTAAAATACCTTTATTCTTATTAAATAATTTCAATAATCTATTTTTTTTATTTATGACAACCACCTAATAACCTAACTTTAACGTCAACTTGACAATCTTGAAAAATATTACTGTTAACCAAAGAGTAAATCAATTTCTGAATTCGCTAACGCCAACTTATTTTTCATTAAAAAAAAATTACCAATTTTCGTAACTAGGTCGGCCATATTGAGGAACTTTTAAAAGAATAGTACTATAAAATGGTTAGTCCAGTGAGCCAGCTCAAGGATAATGTATCCCTGGTCCTTGGCCTTCTTCTGTCCTTGGCCCAGCTATGGAGTGTAAAGGCCCAGCTCAGAGTTGTTAAACTCTTGTTAAACTACACGTAGTAATTAATAAACTACATTTACTACATGTCACACGTCACAAGTCGCAAGTCACAATCACAAGTAGTTTTTTAAATGTCGAGTAGTAATTGTGTAGTTTATGTAATTAATGTAGTTTTTTTAAATAACAGTGAAAACATAACCTAAAAACTTTGTTTTAATTTAAAGCTTCTTATTCAAAGATTTAAAGAAATAAAAAATCTATGTTTTGTGAATTTGTTCCTTGTGATATTTTTGATACTTAGTAGCTAAAAACTATAAATTCGGTAATCTTATGGAGAAATTCACCATAGACATTCTCCAAGAAAATATATGATTTTTTACATATAAAGGCACAACTTCATAATTCCCCTCTTCCTAGAAGGTATGGAGACATCGGCGTCTTCCAACCATTTTTAACTACTAAGTATCAAAAATATCACATAATAAGGAACAAATTCACAAAATATAAACTTTTTATTTCATTAAATTGATCAACAAACAAAGTTTTTAGGTTATGTTTTCACTGTTATTTAAAAAAACTACATTAGTTACATAAACTACACATTTACTACTCGACATTTAAGAAACTACTTGTGACATGTAGTAAATGTTGTTTATTAATTACTACGTGTAGTTTAACAACTCTGCATTCCATACGCAAGACCCAGTTATATATCTCTGGCACGACCCAAGTCAAATCAATTTATCAGTAATCTGTAGGCTGACGTTTTGACAATCTTGACAACGTTTTGACGTACATGGTTTTGACGTGGAAATTTGTTATTTGTAGAAGAGGTTAACAGGCGTTTTGTAGAAATACAATTATTTAAAGGAAGATTAACAGTTAAATATCAAATAAAATAATGGTAATTATATGACGCCTAAAGAGCTAAATAGTTATTGTTGATTTTTCTGTTATATTTTTAAGGCGGACTCAGCAAAATTAATAAGATATATTTCACCAGTAAACCCGGCAGTTTTTCCCCATTTAACGCTTGTTCTTTTGGGCATTGGTATCTTTTTTACCGCTTGGTTTTTTGTCTACGAAGTAACAAGTACTAAACAAACAAGGAGTATTAAAAAGGAAATTGCTACAGCGTTAGTAGCATCTATATTTTCAGGTTTTGGGATTGTATTTTTACTGCTGACTGTTGGCATTTATGTGTGATAGATTATTATTTGTTTTAAGCTATTTTAATTTATATAAATATCTTGTACTATGCAATTTATATCTACAACATTCAATTAGATATTAAGACTCTTGTAGGAACATTTATTTCAATTAATAAAGTTTTTCTGTTATGTGTTGGTTGTATTTATTTTATTAACCATATGTGAAGTTTTACAGAAGATTTTTAAGAATAAATTTCTTGTTCTGCATTTAGATTCTTAGCCAAAATTCTACTTTAAACATACTTGCAAAGAATATACCAAGCCAGACTAAGCATACTTCTATTTTTTACCTTTAAATACAATGGCATGATTCGTTACTATGGTAATGTAATCACAACAAATAACATACTGAAAACCAGTTCATTGAGATGGAGTTAAAATATTTGCAGACAATTCTTGAAGCTCAAGTAATAATTTTTAAAATATATTTTTTAAACTTATTATTAATAATTTTAGGAAAAAGATTATAAAATTGTTTCTCTTTCGTGGGCGCCTAACAATCAAAAACTTGCAGTTGCTACTTGTGATAGGCAGGTTTTACTATTTGATGAAGAAGGTAAAAAACGAGACAAGTTTTCCACGAAACCATATGATCCAGAGGCCGGCAAGAAATCCTATGTAATTACAGGAATTGCCTTTAGTCCAGATTCAACTAAAATTGCAGTGGCTCAAAGTGATTGTATTGTTTATGTTTATAAAATAGGAGAGAAATGGGGCGATAAAAAGGTACAAAACATTAATAACAAAAGAAGTACCTACTATCTACCCTATCTTATTACCTTCTTTTCTCTTTATTTATATCTGAATTGTGCTTAAAGTGTTGTATTAATTTTCATTAGTTTTATACAGGATGGCGCACCTCATTCGCCTCGATTAATTATACAAAAACGGAGAGATGTAGAAACAAAATATTTTAGGGTATATGTGGGAAGACAGTGTGCATAATTTAACATTATTTTGAAATGTTCAGGGTGTGTCAACTAAAAGATCCATACCAAAGTTATATTTTTTCTTATGGAACACTCTCGGTATTTTATTTCATTTTTGGATTCTAGGACATAAAATAAGACATTTATTGTAAGGGTTTAATATGTCTAAAAGCTTTGGTTTTAGAGTTATTCAAAGATATTTAAATGTGCATGCTATAATAAAAAAAGTTTGTTGACACCCTGTACATTTACTTTTTAGAGTTAATTCTTGTGCTGACTTTTAAGCCAGAAAAATAAACTTTGTTATTTCAAATGCAACACTCTGTATTTTATAAAATAAAGCTTCATTCAGAACCTCGAAATCAGTGGAATAAATTGTCTAAGCAAATTTAAATGCCCTTTCAAACTATATTAGAGTTTCCAAACCTATCTGGCTTAGATTTTGAATAAAAAGCGAATTTTCAATAAAATGACTATTAAGAAAGCTAGTGTCGCCATGGCAATTCGCCAAAAAAAATATCTGACAAATATAGGTATACTGTATGATCTAAAAATATAACGGGTAAATGTTTTTAACCTTTCCGGGACCGTGCGGGGTATTTTAGGTACCCTAGATGCGTTTTTTCTTTAATAACTTTTACAATTTTTATTTCTCACTTTTTTCCTATCAGGTAATCCTAGAATGTATATTACAAAACCCTTTTTTTAACAAAAATAGCCAAATATTTTTTTTTATTTTCGGCGAAAAACTGAAATTTACTGCCTGGGGTACCTCCGTTACCCACACGACTTGCAGTGATTCGAAGTCCTACACGCACTATTCATGTTTTTTCGTGTTGGTGACTTTGTATGAAGACGTAAACAAGTTCTATATTCAGTTTAGTGTTGGTATTTACTGTGATATAGTAAGTTAGTGTGTGTATTTATTGGAAAATGGCCCAAAAGGAATATACTGATGATGGGCTAACAAAAAAGGAATTCCTGCCGAATTCGCTTCGAGAGCTACGAAGAGCAATCCTTCAGCACAAGGACTTGTACTTCTAAACATTCTAAGAAGTAAATAAAATAGTAACAAATTTCACAAAACTATAAAAACATCAATAACATTATTTCTTGCCAAAAGCACAGTTCCTATAAATCCTGCTAAAGAAATTCAACTTAATTCAAACCGAACATGCGGCTTTTCCGCCAGATCACGTTAGAGAAAAACAAAAATATTATGTAATACATGCAAAAACCCCATTTTTAATATTCTCGGCAAAGAATATAAAACGTTTTTATTCTCTTACTTCCAAAATTTCTAAAGCGTTTGACAGATTAGACTTTAGTATTGTAGCTTGCAAAATGTCTCGCTTGGGATTTTCGAATGACCTGGTTTTCTTTTTTATTTCATATCTAACAAATCGGCGCCATTATGTAGAGTATAGCGGATACAGGTCCGATGAATTCACTGCATCCAGTGGTGCGCCACAAGGTTCTAACTTGGCCCCTTTGATCTTCTCAATCTTCATTAGCGACATCTGCGATTCTCTGGAAAGTTCCATACTACTATTTGCAGACGATTTAAAAGTTTATAGGTCCATACGTACAATAAATTATTGTAAAGCCCTCCAGATGGATTTAGATCGTTTATCTGATTGGTGTAAGGTAAACCGATTACCGCTAAATAATAACAAATGCAAAAAAATAACTATATCGCACAAAAGAAATGAATTTACATTTGATTACGTACTAGACGGTGATGTATTGAAGGACTGTAAATCGGTTATGGATCTTGGTGTATTAATAGATAAAAAGTTGTCTTTTAACCCACACATTGATATGATCGTGCAATCGGCACTGAGACTGTTAGGGTTTATCAGTCGAACAACATTGCATTTTAAGCAGCCCTCAAGCCTTCTCACCCTGTACAATTCTATGGTCAAATCCAGGCTGCAATATGCCAGTGTCATCTGGTCTCCATTTTACGCTATTCACATTGACCGTTTGGAGAAAGTGCAGCGTAGGTTCTTGAAATTATCACATTTTAGAACTTACGGACAGTACCCCCCGCATGGGTTTGATCAGCTGGATATGTTGAACAGTTATAATATATTACCTCTTGAGAGGTGCAGAATACAAAATAACTTATGTTTTATCTTTAAACTGTGCAACAACTTGATAGAGTGTACTCAGTTGTTAAACAAAGTAAACTTTGCGGTCCCGCTTGCAAATACTCGACAGTGTCGTGAATTTTATCAGCCGTTGGCGACATCAAATCTGCAGCAGAAAGCGCCCATATACCGTTCTTGCTTTCTATGGAACAACTTAGCAAATTATAACAATATTACTATAGACCTGCATAATTGTTCGTTAGACTCACTTAAAGGAGCGCTGAGGGTTGGAAATCTTATCATCATCCTTAGTATCATATACCGTTCTTGCTTTCTATGGAACAACTTAGCAAATTATAACAATATTACTATAGACCTGCATAATTGTTCGTTAGACTCACTTAAAGGAGCGCTGAGGGTTGGAAATCTTGAGGTTCATTGGTAGGGATTTTTTTTTTTTTTTTTTTTTTAGTTGGCTAATATAGGTTTATTTGATTTACTCTGTTGCGTAATAAGTTTATTTAATTTAATTTAATTTACTCTGTAGGTAATATAGGTTTATTCAATTTACTCTGTAGTTAATATAAGTTTATTTAATTTACTCTATTTCAGTTCATGTTGTCTAGTAATTGGATTTTTTATAATCTGTTGGACAATAAAGCATATTATTATTATTATTATTATTATTATTATTAAAAAAATAATGTGTAGAAAACTAATAAGAGTTTAGTTTTAAAATTAAATGTTTTTTATATTAAACAAATACAAAATATTTAAATTATTGACGTTTTATTATTAAACTTTACAAATAATTACTAATAATTTGCCTGCGTGACAAAATATTAATAGTTTTTGAAAGATTTCAGTGGGGTATCGTAGTTACCCCACACGGCCTGAAACGTAACTTTTTGTAGCACGGTCCCGGAAATGTTAATATGGAATTAATAAGAATGAATAACTTCATCTACATAAATATAGATTTTATTACCAAAATTATGTAAAAAAATTAAATGTCTCTCAATGTATCAAAAGGTCCTACATCTCTTTAAAAATGTTATATCCGCATCGAAAGTTATTTTCGGAAACTTTAAAGATAAAGTTAGATGAAGTACTTGTCTTATCCCATTTCAACTACTGTGATGTTATATATGGACCATGTCTGGAAAAAATTGACATTAACAGAATCGAGAAGCTTCAAAAAAGCTGCCTACGTTTTATTTATGGTATAAGAAAATATAATCCCCTTTCGCATAAGTTAAAAGAAGCCTGTGAAAGAAGCTAAGTGGTTGAATATGGAAAACAGATGTAAGATGCATTCATTATTTTTATTATATGGAGTTATTTCTAAGAAGTGTCCTCCATACTTGGCGAATAAAATATAATTCAGAACAGATATGTCCACAACTTAAACCTTAGATTTAAGGGACTTATTACTCCACCACTTCACAAAATAGCATTTGTTCACTAGATGTTTCTCATTTAATATTTCCAAGCTCTACAACTGTTTACAGAATTTTTTTACAGAAATGATAAACCTTCAGAGTGCTGCATTTAAAAATAAACTTAAAAAACATTTTCTAGATAGTTCTCTTCCCTCTTAGTCTTCTTTACCTCAGAATTATTTTAGTATAAAATCCTTTTCTTTGTGTTTATTTCTTTGAATTTCATTCTAATTTTCTTAATCATAGGATTACTATACAGGGTTGTTCACCACATACGACTCGGAGTATTGTAGCTAAACGATTAGATTTTTACAAATTGTAAGTTTTGGGTTCGTTGAAGGACTATTAGAGCTACAATTTAAAAATATTTTTACAAGATACAGAGTGTTCCAAATAAATAAAAAATATCAAAGTTGTATTTTTTTAAATGGAACACCCTGTATATTATTACATTTTTAGTTTCTACGATTAAAATAAAGGTAAATTTGATAAAGGTTTATTACACTTAAACCTTACCGTTTTTGAAATATTTTCAATTTGGTGAAATTGCAGTAAAAATTTTAAGGCTTCATTTCTCCAAGGGTATCAAAGTTTTTAATACTAAATATTTACTGAAGTTTATTTATTGATAAGTTATTGTGTTGCAATAATAAAAATTATGCTACCTTATACACAGTGTCTAAAATTTCATTTTACATAATTACTTGCTTTAAACGGCACTAACTTGTTAAATTTAAATGGAACACCCTGTATATTTTACGAGAATCAGATGCACAATTTAATTGTCTATCAAATTGTATTATTCCATTTTTGCCTATAGTTTCAAGTTTCCGTAGAAAATGCATTTTCATGTAATTTTAAATTCATTTATCAATATACCCATGGAATACTGACATTTTAGATTATTTTTAAAGATGTACCAAATTTTTAAAGAGTACAGATATTAATATTGTCGATATAGTTTGTTTATTTCATTAAAAAATAAAAAAAAAACTGTTTAAATATTTGTTAAAGAGGACCAATTAATATGATTCCAGTATTCAAACTACTTTAATTGACTGTTTGCGTTGATTAATAATAATTGCTCCAAAAACTAAAAAACTTAATTTTTTACAGTACGTCTGTCCGTTCTGTAGCTCCGGGGTATCCGTGAGAGGGGAAACGATATTTTCTCGATGTTTTTCGTAAAAAATTAGACGACGCGTCCCATCAATAAAAATTCGACAAATTTGCAAGTAGCCAATAAAGTGAGTGGGCGGAGCGATTTGCGGTGACGCACTCGTCAAATCGACGTATAAAATATATTGCTGTTAATTTAAATGTTTTTTGCCCGCATTCCTTTCATAGACACAGATCCAGCAGATGTACTGTATGTGTATTAGACAGTGTGGTAAAAAGTAACACCTTAAAAATGATATTTAATTTTTTGACAAATGCTTATTTGTAACAACAGAGACATTCATTTTTGTAACTTATTAATATATTGATTTTTGATTCAAATCCACATTTATTTAGAATAATTTATTCACGAATATAATTAAGTATGTAATTAATTAGTATTTGGGCGGAAATACTGGTGGTATATTTAATTAATGATATACTTTTTATGAAGACTTAAATAGTTTTCGTTTTGCATACAAATGGGCTAGTAATATTATCATTTTGCTAAAAACGATAATATTACTAGCCTGTACATTTTGTACATTTGTTGCTTTAAAAACAATCTAAAATGTCAATATTCCATGGGTATATTGATAAATGAGGTCTAAATTAATAAGAAAATGCATTTTCTACGAAAACTTGAAGGGATAGGTAAAAAGTGGCATAATACAATTTGATAGACAATTAAATTATGCATCTGATTCTCCTAAAATATACAGGGCGTTCCATTTAAATTAAACAAGTTATTGCCGTTTAAAGCTAGTAATTATTTAAAATAAAATTTTAGACACTCTGTATAAGGTAGTATAATTTTTATTATTGCAACACAATAACTGATCAATAAATAAACTTCAGTAAATATTTAGTATTAAAAACTTTGATACCCTTTGTAGAAATGAAGCCTTAAAATTTTTACTGCAATTTCACAAAATTGAAAATATTTCATAAACAGTAGGGTTTAAGTGTGATAAACCTTAATAAAATTTACCTTTATTTCAATCGTAGAATCTAAAAATAGAATAATATACAGGGTGTTCCATTTAAAAATACAACTATAGCATTTTTTACTTATTTGGGACACTCTGCATCTTGTAAAATTATTTCTAAATTGTAGCTCTAATAGTCCTTCAACGAACCCAAAACTTAAAATTTGTAAAAATCTAATCGTTTAGCTACAATACTCCGTGTCGTATGTGGTGAACAACCCTGTATAATTTACTTATATTTGTAGATAAGTTACTGTAAAATAATTTAGCTACATAACACACATTTATACTAGTTGATATTGTGATCTGACAGGAACTGAATTTAAACCAATTTCAATTGTCTTCAGTTCCTTTTTTGCATGTTTTTCTTGGTTATTATTATTTTTTATTTGTAAATTACATTTGTTGTAAATGATATTGATGCAAAATAAAGTATTATTATTATTATTATTAAATAAAATGTTTTTAGGCGATCTGTAATAAATTCCCGCAGCCTTCGCCAGTCACTTGCTTGGTTTGGCTGCTTTCTGGTCCAATAATATGTGGACTACAAGATGGTAAAGTGAGGGCCCTTCAAATTAAATCAAATAAATCTCAGAGCCTATTTGCATCTGACAGCCTTGTAGTTTCGTTGGCTTCCAATCCAAAAGGAACAGGTATAGATAATATATTAGGGATAGAAGTAGTTTAACATACAGTATACACGCTCGATATTGTAAATCAAAAATAAATCATTTTGATTTATTCAGAACAAAAAAATAACTTAAATAAATTAAAAAATTAAAGTAATTAAGTAAGTGTAAACTAAAAAAAGGCAAAAAAGAAATTCAAAACCATTACAAAAAATTAAAATTTTGGTTCGTTTTTGAGAGTTATTTAATTTTTGATAAAATTATTAATTATTATTAAATTAAAATGTTATGCGGAGTTTCCCGTTCCGATATTCACGCTATTGAGAATCTACTGTAATTTACCACATATTTTGATTGTACTTTTTTGTAATGTCAATGATATTTATTCCCGAATCGACATTTTATATGTTTATTTGCCCGTAAGCATAGGAAAATTAGTAAATAAGACTTCTTGATGTTTAAATAAAATTATAATTTGTCAATATAAAATCAGAATGAGACGTGCATCTACTATGTTACATAATCCATCAACATATGAGACACATTTATGTGTGTTTTTCTATTTTCAACAGTGCTCTCCTGTAAAATTAGTATGTACAATGGTGCTTATCATGTTTTTCCCCTGGACCCTTCAATTATTCTAAACAAAACAAATCTACAGGCCGCCAATCATAAAATAAAACAAACTGGGCCTGGCACAAATTGTGTTGTCAAATCACATAATTTATATTAAAGAAAAGGGAAAAAGGTATGCATTAAAAACATTTTTGACGATAAAAAATATGTTTTTGTGGAAAACACTAAAGGTATGTGGCTTTGTGTTCCTACGTTACGAGTCGTCACTGCTTTTATATTATATACTTGTTATTGCACAGAAATGACGTATGCGGCGACGGAATAATGATTGGTTGTTGAATGTATTTTTGTTATTGAACATACTGAAATAATTCCACATATTTTTTTTCAATATCTCAATACGTAATATTTTTTTCCATTTGTTGCGAACTTTATTATATACTCTATTATATGTTTTCGAGAATTCTATTCAAATGACTAGAGGTACTTCACTTTTCACTTTTGGTGATGGGTTCGTCCTGTAATAATTCTTCTTCTTCTTTTTTTTTGGGTGCCATGTGCTATGCCGCACGTTGGCGATCATTCGTCTGTTTTATGACTATAATAAGATAACTAGGGTGCCCTCTTTGGCTCGTCGAAATATGATTGCGGCGTCAGGTATGCCACTCCAGTTTCTTATGTTGCGAAGCCGAGAATTCTGTTTTCAACCCGGTCCCCGTCGGCCTTCGATTTTCCCCTGCAGTATCAACCTGGGTTTAGAGTATTGACGTCCCCTTAATATATGTCCTAGATATGATACTTTACGTTGTTTTACGGTATCCATTAGTTGTCTGTCTACTCGGGCTCTTAGGTCTTCATCATTTGTTGCATGCTCCGTCCAGCGTATGCGCAGCAATCGGCGAAGTGTCCACATTTCGAAAGCCTCAATTCTGTTTATTGTTTTTACCTTAAGTGACCAAGTCTCAGCGCCATACAACATCACAGGTCACACATAAGATTGAATTACCCGTATCCTGGTATGTAGCAACATATTTCTATGCAGGAGTAAATTCTTAAGTTTAAAAAAGGTTGTTTTTGCACGGCCGATTCTTCTCTTAACTTCCTTATCGCAATCCCACCCTTCATTTAGGAAGGCGCCAAGATAGGTGAAATTTGTGACCCGTTTCATGTTCTCTCCATTGATGTTAAGATGAGTGTTGTACTGGGGTCTGCTGAGCACCATCATTTTAGTTTCAAATTTAACTCCAAGCCCAAACTGTTCACCGTATTTGTTTAGTTTATTTAGCAGAATCTGGAGGTCCTCAAGGTGGTTAGCCAGAATTGCTGTGTCATCTGCATAGCGGATATTATTTATTGGGATGCCATTGACTTTAACACCGCGCGTCTTACTCTCCAAGGCCATCTGAACGATTTTCTCAACGTAGATGTTAAACAGAATGGGTGATAGTACACATTCCTGCCGAACTCCCTTCAATTACGGATCTCCGCCGACTCTTATGTCCTTGCTATCCATGCCTATCTCCTGTAGTGTCTCCATCAACGGTTCGTGTTTTACGTTATCAAAGGCTCTCTGATGGTCAATAAAGCAGATGAAAACATCTTGCCTCTGATCATAACATATTTGCACAAGTAGTTTCACAGAGAAGAGAGCTTCTCTAGTGCCAAGACCCTTGATAAAGCCGAACTGTGTGTCGCCACTCATCTCTTCACACTTCCTATATATTCTAGAATGGATGACTCGAAGAAACGCTTTAAGTGCGTGACTCATTAAGCTTATGAGTCTATTGGCTCCGCATTTTTTGGGATGGCGATAAATGTGGACTTTAGCCAATCCTGTGGGAGTTGTCCAGAATCGTATATCACGTTAAATAGATATGTGAACTGTTTAGATATGTGAGCCTTTTTTTGTAATAACTCAGTCTCTAATAAATCTGCAACATCTTTAAATAGATCTGTTTCTTCTTAGGATTTTTGTCCGGCCACATCGACGGCAACATCATTCGCTTTTTCGTGATCCACGATTCGAACAGCGACGAAGAGACCCAAGGCAGGGCGGCCTTGCACTCAGTGCCGCCCTTTGCCTTAGCATGGCCCCAGGGGCACATTTTTGCGGCCGGCTGCGACAAGCGCGTCTGTGTCTACGGTCCCACCGGAAAGACGATTAAAACGTTCGACTACAGCAAGGACAACGAGGAGCATGATTTCGTGGGGGCCGTGTGCAGTCCCAGCGGTCAAGCTGTCACGATTGGTAGCTTCGATCGTCTCAGGACTTACCTGTGGAATACGAGGAAATCTGTCTGGGAAGAGAGCGCGCCGAAGATCATTAAGAACTTCTATACCGTGACCGCTCTGGCTTGGAAAAGGGACGGCTCCAAAGTGACTTGTGGAGGATTGTGTGGCGTCGTTATGATGTTTGAATCAGGTATGGAATTAGTGTTAAGCTTTGCCTAAATTCTCGATTCAAACTACGGTTTCTTATTAGTTTGATTAAGTAAATGTGAAGTTTTAGTTGTCGGTTTACTGAATGTACTGAATATGAGTATGAATTTGTCTGGACGTATAAGTTAGTTCTTTAGGCGAAGCTTAACGTTAGGGCTTTTACGTACAGGGTGTCCCATTTTGCTTGAAATCATACGGTATCTCCGTTATTAGTATAGATAAAAGGGTGCGGTTTGTACCAACCTGTCCCACTTTTTGTCAAACGGAAGATGCTGTAAATAAAATATTTCTAGCCCTCTTCGTTTCTGAGCTACGTAGGGTCTTTTTGAAAATTTTGCATGGTATCTCTGTTATTGTGAAAGGTATCGAGAAGGTAAAAACTGTTTATAGTTATCTAATTATCTAATGTATAATATGTATTAATAATGTATTAATATATGTATAATGTATTAATAAACAACAAAATTCATTACAGTTGGGGATTGGAACCTTTGGTGTTACACAGCAAAATAAAACACTAAATCACCACAATGTGTTTTGTGTATTGTGCTGATTTAGTGTTTCATTTTGCAACAAAATTCATTTTGGAATTTTTCTACTAACTAATTTTCACATTATTTAGAAAAACACATATTTTTTTGTTAGTTTATTGAAAAATAAAATAATTATTAGTGCTTTATCAGACAGAAGCGATCATAAAACCAGTAATTTTGATTTATTTACAGAAGTGGATTATTATTAATATGTCTGTATCAAATTAAATTGTAGTGCTAAGGCGTACGGTATGGAAAGATAAATTTGAAATAACTTACGTGGGACCTAGTCAAGTTCTAGTCAAACCTTTGGACACCAACGAAAGAGGCGTCATTTTACGGTCTCAGCATGGTGGTGAAATCGACGATGTCAAGATTATGGGTAGAGATGGTTACTTGGTGGCTAAAACCATGGAGACTCTCTTAGTGGCCGACTTACAGAGGAATTTACTTAGTGAGGTAAAGAACAAATCCAAAAACAAACAGAAACAAGTCAAAACTATGCTATATTGCTTTAGAAAACAATGCCATTCTTTTAATTTTCTTTTATTAACATTGTACAGGATGATCCAGTCTTCTGATAAAGCTTTGTTCTAGTATTAGAACGAAAATGTATTTACTATTTTACATAATACGTTAATGTATGATATACGTTTATTTTTTTATTGTGTTTTTTAATATTAAAAAAATATATTATAAAAATCTTGGGTAATTTATGTACATTCAGATGCAAAAAAATGCAACGGAAATTTTTTTTGCCAAGTTTAAAGTGTTACATTTTTAATTTAGCCCTATTTTCATGGATTTTTTTTAGCAAACTGTATATAAATCTATCAAATTCATAAACACGGTTTTTTATAAACTTTAGAATTTTGCTTATTATACACGGTTAATTGAAGGGTTGTTTTTTTATTTTTTTGATAAAAGTCACCGATTTGAAATTAAAAAATAAAATGTAAAGCATTACATGTCAGGACAAAAAACATTTTCTGATAAAGAATCTAGTGGGCTGCTGTAATTCTTTTAGGAAAAAATCCAGTCGGCCGCTGTTACTTTTTAGGATGTTTCTAATATTATTTTATTTGACATTACTCTACCGCAATACGTTATTATCTAGATGATTATTATTATTATCGTTATTTTCTTTCTAAGATTCTTAATCTAAAAATGTGTTTTGTCATGACATGTAAAGATTTACATTTTATTTTTTAATTTCAAATCGGTGAGTTTTATCAAAAAAACACAAGAGATAAAAAAGTTTCTAAATAAACTAAACTATCCAAATTATTTTTTTTGCATGTGTTTGATAAGATTTTTCTTTAAATTTCGTTAACAAGAATGATAGGGGTAGTTTATTTCAACCCCTTCCACTCATTTTAAAAAAGTGAAAAAAATACCAGAAAGTGTTTTTTTATAACAGTAATGCTTCCATAAAATTCCATTAGTCTATCTCTGTTCGTTTTCAAGATAAAAAATAAAATCATTATTTTTCCGCCATCTTTGTACCGCAATATCTCCCTAATGGTTGACTTTTGAACCAACGTTTATGAAGCAAACTCCCCTTTATTTTAAACAAGGAATCACCCCCTGAAGTTTTTCGCATTTGTTTTGAAACACCCTGTATAAGCAGCTTTTAATTTAGTAGTTATATGTGCCTGAAAAGAAAGCTTCGAATCAAAATAGACTCCAAGATTTTTAGTCTCTGTAACAATGGGTATCGCAACATTATCTATATGGATATACATGTTACCAGCCGTATTTGTAATTTTGTTTATATCACTACCAAATATTACAACACAAGATTTACCGGCATTTAATTTCAAATTACGATCCAGAGCATATTTATTAATTTTATTAAGATCGTCGTTAAAATTTAACTGAAATTGTGCCAAATTATTAGTATCTATTTTGTAATAAATTTGAGAATCATCTGCATATTGCTGCAATTTAGAAAACTGTAATTCCTTATCCATGTCAGCTACATATAACGAAAATAATAAGATCAATGACTTTTGCACAAGCTTCGAAACCTGTGTCGAAACTAAGAACCATATTCAATCGTATACAATAATAATCAACAAAGCCGCCTCGTCATTATGAAGAATAACATCAAAAAGTAACGATAATAATTGAAAACATTGCAAAATGTTTGTGGCAAGTTCATTTTGCTAAAACAAATTATGAAGGAAACATGGTTCTGACCGAAAAACAATGTTTTAGGAAAATTTGCTCACGAAATTATTGCACAGGATGTTTTAAAGATAAAAAAATATAACATTTCAAACTTGACCAAAAAATTTTCCGTTGCGTTTTTTTTTTCCTTTTGAGTGTACAGGGTGGGTCAAATTCGACGCTTTTAAATGGAAACACCCTTTTCTATAGGAGATAGACGAAAACTAATATCGGTGTCTGGAGCCCAATTTTCATCAAAAACATGACGGTGAAAACCGCACATCAATATCTGTTGCCGTTTCGGAGTTTTTCAAAAATGTGCATTTTTAACAAATCACTGTAACTTTTTTGCTATTGAAAATTTTGTATTTCTATGCAAACATTTCCAAAGCACCTTTTTATGTAGAATTTAATGGTTTAAGTATATTTTTTTTTAAATTAATAATTTAAGAGTTATCAACAGAAAAATTGATTTTTTATTTGGGACACCCAAACCGAAAAGAATTTAAAATTACCTTTCCAAAATATAGCACACCTGATATTTTGTTATAATCCCCTTCGAAATACAGAATTTTTAAAAGTTCGCCACTTTTAAGTAGGCTTTGGACCCCTTATTGAAGATATGCCCTTAATGGAACTCGAAAACATATTTTTCCAGCAAGACGACACACCGCCTCTGAACGCTGAAGTTATCAGCAAATTTTTGCAGCCAATTTCAAGATTAACTGAATAGCTAACCAAGATCCCAGCCGTTGGCCGTCGAGGCCGCCTGACTTAGTGCCCATGGATCTAATCCTATGGATATATTTGCGGAAGAATAAAGGTTCCTTATTCTTCCGTATAATCTCGACAAGAATTAGAAATAGTTAGCAGTTATGAGAGGGTATCTTTCACCCCTACTGAGTTAATGAATTCCGCGAGAAATGTTCAAAAACTGCCCAGTCTGTCCATAATAGAAGACGGTCGATATGTCGAACACCTGTAGCAAAATCTCATATCTTGGTTTGCTATTTAGTTTTATTGTTATTAGTTATAGTTTAAATGTGTTGATGTTGATTAAATATATTTTAAATTGTTATAAAATTCTGCATCTCTCATAGCAAGTATTATTTTCGTTTTAATTGATGCTCACAGCTAGAATTTTTTTACATTACAGCCGGTGCCGTTCAAAGCCTACTTATTTAAATCGGGCGAATTTTTATATACTCTATATCTCGAAGAGGAATCGAGCAAAATATCAAGTGTGTTATATTTTTGGAAAGGTAATTTTAAATTCTTTTCAATAAATTAAAATTATATAGGGTCTCCCATATAAAAAATCAAATTTTCTGTTGATAATTCTTAAATTCTACGTAAAAAGGTGCTATGGAAATGTTTTTATAAAAATACAAAATTTTCCATAGCAAACAAGTTACAGCGATTTGTTAAAAATGCATATTTTTGAAAAACCCCGTAACTCCGAAATGGTAACAGATATCGATATGAGGTTTTTACCATCATGTTTTTGATAAAAATTGAGCTCCAGACTCCGATATTAGTTTTTGTCTATCTCCTATAGAAAAGGGTGTTTCCATTTAAAAGCGTCGAATTTGACCCACCCTGTACATACATTCTTCTTGCGTCTAAAGTTTCATTTAGAACCTCGCAATTAGTGGAATAAATTAGTCGTTTCATTACACTTTATACTTTTTAGTTTACGATAATTCATAATGTCTAAAAAAACACAATTAAAATTAATAGAATATCCTAGCAATAGCTTGCGTTAGACAGTTGTATCTTTTGGTTGTATCCTTTGAATAAGAAGACTAAGGAAGGAGCATATCAAAAATCTTAGGTACACCGCGATGGGCCTCAAATATGGCCGACTTAAATTCCGGTTTATCAGTGTCGTTCTAATTTTATTTAAAAAATGTAAAACTATGATGTAGGGTAGACGTGGGGTAGACTCAATAATTTGTTGTTTTATTTTACGTTGTGAATAAATGTTGGTAGTTATTAAAATTGTTATAAAAATATATAATTGTAATAAAAATAGATAAGTTATAATAAGTATTTATTAACACAAACATCCGATACGCTACTGAAGCAGGTAAGTCAAATTAACATATCTAAATTCTTTGACATTAAATCTTTGACAAGTAATAAATAAAAGCTAAAATGCAAGAAAAATATATAATTTAGTTAATTTAAGTGAATTTCATAAATGATCGGTTTACTACACGTATGTATATTATACCTATAGTCACTTACTAGCGAAAAGTTGTTCCATTATTTCACTCAATTTCTGCCGAGATCTACCGCACGCTACACAACCAACTATTTTAGAGTCTCTTTCGATAAATCGCGATAGTGTCACTGTTAATTTAAGTTCTGCCACAATTTCCATCTAGATTTACTACCTTTATACAACTATCAGTAGTAGAATAAATAATAAATAGCATAAAATAAGCTCCATAAAGACTGACAAATTCACAAAATTTCAAATCAAATTCAAATGTGTCAAATGAATCGTCAAACAGAACTGTCAAGGATCCCCACCCTAGACAGCTTTTATGGTGCCTTTTCCGCCCACCATGCATGAATACATGGATAGCATTATGTTCCTTCCTTAGTCTTCTTATTCAAAGGTTGTAAGAGAAAGCCTAACATTTAGCTTATAAAACAATGAACTTTTGATTTCTAATTACAATTTCTCTTGAGTGAAGATAAACAAAGGCCAAAATAACACTTACAACCGCAAATTTTTAAGTATAATTAGTGGAAAAGTTATAAAAGTTTGATAACTTTTTCTACTAATTGAAAATGTCTACCACTAATTTTGACGTTCTAAATGCTTACATTGAAATTAAAGGAACAACGCTACAAGCGTTCTACGCTAACTGAAACCACTAATTGCGAGGTTCTGAATGAAGCTTAAGAGGTATTCTCTATGAGAGCCCGAACTTTTAGTGTTCTCATATTTACCTGCATACCCTGCATTTTTGCAATAAAATTTATTAATCTGTTATATGATCTAGAGTTAATATTGATAGGTACTTTTTTACACTATTTTCATTCCACACATTTTTATTTTCTAGGTACCTTGGAATAACCCAGAACGAAACGAAAAATTCTATTTCGAAAATCCCAACGTTTGTTTAGTGTTCAACGCAGGAGAGCTAACTCTGATAGAATACGGTGCCAACGAGGTTCTTTGTTCTGTCAGAACGGAATTTGCAAACCCTCATTTGATGAGCGTTAGGTTAAACGAAAGAAACCAGTCCGGCGATAATAAAAAACTGGCATATCTGCTGGATTTGAAGACTATATTAGTTATGGATTTGATAATTGGAGTGAACATGTGTCAGATAAGTCACGATTCTAAAATAGATTGGCTGGAACTCAACGAAACCGCAGAGAAGCTGCTATTCAGAGATAAAAAACAGAGGTAGGTATATATTGTTGACATGTCTTTTTAAAAGATTCCTGTTCAGCGAAAGAATATTTGTTATGTGAAAGTTGATCTCTGCCATTTTACTTCAAATATAAAAGACAAGTACAAAAAGTTGAAGTTTTACGTCAAGTCAATTTTTTGAATGTTCTAGACAGACTATTCTAAATAAACTTCTTATAGTTTTCATAATAAGTTAATATATGATGCACACTTATTTGTTTTATACAATACTTTATATTTAAAGTCCGTCCAACTACAAGATCCTTGACAGTGATAGATGTGTCTGTCATTTTAATTTCAAAGTAGTTTATTTTATTCTACAAAGAAATAAGTCGCTAAAATTGGAACGCATAGCAGGAAATTAATATAGTTAAAATTTGACTGACAAGTGATTACTTCAAAATATTGTGAAAAAAAATCGAGTTATTTTATTTAATAAAAAAAACGGTATGTGTTAATACAAAACAAACAAGAACAAAACAACACATACCAAAAAAAATATAAAAAGAACTATTTCTTACCTTCAAGCTTCAAGAAAATTCCCGCATTTATTATTATATTTGTCAATATAACTTATGTACAAATACAAATTTGTAATATTCTACAGGAATAAATAGAACAACAAAAGTAAAATAAACGACATCTTGTGATGTCGATATTTTACAGCTACTCCAGTTTTTAGTTTTTAGTATTTAGTACGATCCTTGTACCATATACGAGATGCACTTATCTACGACGAGATGGTATACAAACTTTATTGATGGCTTTGAATAAGAAGACAAAGGAAGGAGCATATCAAAAATCTTAGGTACACCGCGATGGGCCTCAAATATGGCCGACTTAAATTCCGGTTTATCAGTGTCGTTCTAATTTTATTTAAAAAATGTAAAACTATGATGTAGGGTAGACGTGGGGTAGACTGAATAATTTGTTGTTTTATTTTACGTTGTGAATAAATGTTGGTAGTTATTAAAATTGTTATAAAAATATATAATTCTAATAAAAATAGATAAGTTATAATAAGTATTTATTAACACAAACATCCGATACGCTACTGAAGCAGGTAAGTCAAATTAACATATCTAAATTCTTTGACATTAAATCTTTGACAAGTAATAAATAAAAGCTAAAATGCAAGAAAAATATATAATTTAGTTAATTTAAGTGAATTTCATAAATGATCGGTTTACTACACGTATGTATATTATACCTATAGTCACTTACTAGCGAAAAGTTGTTCCATTATTTCACTCAATTTTTGCCGAGATCTACCGCACGCTACACAACCAACTATTTTAGAGTCTTTTTCGATAAATCCCGATAGTGTCACTGTTAATTTAAGTTCTGCCACAATTTCCATCTAGATTTACTACCTTTATACAACTATCAGTAGTAGAATAAATAATAAATAACATAAAATAAGCTCCGTAAAGACTGACAAATCCACAAAATTTCAAATCAAATTCAAATGTGTCAAATGAATCGTCAAACAGAACTGTCAAGGATCCCCACCCTAGAGTGCTTTTATGGCGCTTTTTCCGCCCACCATGCATGAATACATGGATAGCATTATGCTCATTCCTTAGTCTTCTTATTCAAAGATTGATGGTAACTTTATTGGTGTATAAGATTTTCTGCCTGGGCAGCGAAATGACAATGATGAACAATGAAATGGACAATGATGAACATGATTTTTAATCATTTCTATTATTATTAACTATTAACTTATTAATACTTTTCTTGTGGTTCTAGAAAACTTTTTCAGAATAAATTTGTAGTTCTTTTCATAAAATTAATAATATTTTTTTATTTATAAACTAAAATAAATATTTACAGCTTACATTGTAGATATAGTGCAAAAGCCAAATTTAACGTTAACGGTGTAACGCTAACATGAATACAATAGCTCCCTACTAATAGCGATAGCACCTTAAATGTTTACATCTATGGATCAATCAGGAAATACGTGAAAACCAATATGGCGCCGAAAAAGATGACGAAAGTGCCTAAGTTCCCGAATTGAAATAATCATCTTCCAAAACGCAGGGTATTTGACATAAGTTGACACAAAATTATAACCTATAATTTGGCAAGACTTTGACAAGCCTCAAAAAGCTAAAGGCATTGCCTGGAAACTTATATGGTGAAATGTTTGGTTTGGTTTGGTTTGGTTTGGTGAAATAATTTAGTACACACTAAAAACACGCTAGTGGTAGGAAAAATAATTTTTAGAGGTTACTAGTTTATTTGGTTGCCTGTGATATGCATATACAGGGTGTTTCCTAATTAATCTAAAAAATAAAAATCGTTAGAAAACGAATTGAGGCGGGCTCTTAATAAGTATATTTATTTTTTTCTCGACAACCGTTTGATGAACAAGAAAAACGCAAAAGACCAATTTTGTTGAAAAAGGATGGCCAGTCAAGAAAAAAATATATTTTCTTTAAAAAAGCAGTAGTGTACCATTTATGTTAAGCAAACAAATCGTTTTGTTTTAATTTTTAACACCCTATAGATCAGAAAGGAAGTACTTTAGACCTAATGGTTATATAAAAATTGTTTTAAGAACACATGAGGAATCACGCCATAATTTTTTTAGACTAATTCGAAAACACCCTGTATATTGTCAACTTGACAATGACTGCTGATAAATCAAAAAATACCTTTTCAGTGAAAAAAGCCTGATTTTCGCAGGAAAAATTTTGATTTTTATTGAATTTGGGCCTGCGTTTGCAAATACTCGTTTGTTTTTTAGTTTTCTATCTATCTAAATTTGAAATATCATAGTCAGAAATAGTTTTATTATTTATTAACTGTAAAAATGGTGTTTTCTTGTTGTGTTGCATCTTGCAAAGAAACTAACAAAACTGCAAATGTGTACCAAACCAAAAGACGATAAGGTATGTATCTTAGATAAAAGAAAAATATATGGTATGTATTCGTTGTTTGATTTTTTTTCGTTCGCTTTAAAATCTATAAATTTCGGTCTATTCATTAGACAGCCAGTCGACTTACGATCATTTACATGAAACTCTGTAAAATAAATAAAAAAATAAATTGTAAAATATATATATTCTTATGTTTTATTAAAGTTACTCTGATATACTAATATATCAGTGTAACTTTGAAAATAAATCCTTTGAATTCTAATATAAACATAAAAAACATTTACAGCAGAAAAGGCGAAGGCGCTGGGTTAAACGTAGTCTCCACTAAAAACACGGAGGGGCGCTTTGACCCAAAATTTTACTATTAAGTTTCATATCTATCTTAATAGTAGATTATTTTCTTTTATCTATGGCTAAAGGCGAGTTTATACGCATCGGCGCCGGCGTCCGTTTGTCGTTCATCGTTCCGTCAAAAAAATAAAATTGAAATATGGTCCGTCATTTTTGAAATAAACCAATAAAACTGATTAAAAACAACAAGAGACGACGTATGACGGATTTATATTTAAACCCATCCATAGTTAACTTAAAAAAATATTAGAAATTTTTTTAGTAAAATAAATAGATTGGTATGGGACGTCATCTGCTTTTTTTTTCTGTCATCGTCTGTCGAAATCTTACCTAAGAAAAAAAACAGAGTATAGTATTTGAAAAAATGCAGTGTCTTCAAAAAAACTTCTGAGTATTTTTCCACTAAAAGAAAACCTATATAATAAAATTGTTACTTTTTGTAAACATGGCTGCGTTAACCCGATACAAATTTGTTAGCGGTATTATACTAATGAAACAAATTTGCCTAACGGATAAAAAATGCTTAACGTTTTATACTGAAACTAAAAACGACGTCAAAGACGGCTAGGGAATGACAATCGATGATAATTTTGGCGAGGACAGTCTCTAGACGTCATTAACTAAAAATTGACATAAAACTTGCCATAAATTAGCACTAATTATAGAAAGATTAATAAAGGATGGAACGTTTTCAGACACAAATCTTTTAAAAAAAAATCGAATTTTAATACTCTATAAAAAAATAAATTACAACCTTCCTAATGCAAGCTGGCAGGAAGCGCCATTAAAAATAAGAGTACGGACCAAGTTAATGACGTGTAGAGCTTGACCTCGCCAAAAAATCATCGACCATATGGTACAACAAATCAAATATAAAGATATTATACCACGTGGGTCTCAAAAGTGGCTCACCCCTATAACATTTTTATTTTTTTCAAAAAAAAAAGCGAGATTTGGTATGTTAGTATATAACATAAATATATTAAATATATGACATAAATTATGACATAATTACGTATCCAGTTGTTTTTGGTCACTTCCTGTTTCGCCGGAAATGACTACAACTTTTGATTTTTAAATGTCAACCTCGGTATATTTTTACTTTATTCTTACTATTAGATAGAAAATGAGACTCGAGAAAATAGAATGACATATAATATTTCAACTTTTGACATTTTCGCTGAAAAAAATCTATTCAGAGTGTGATCGTTTTTTCGAGAATTGTCAAACGGGAAGTGACAAAAACAATTGAATTGTGCGTGAATTGAATGATGCACCCGGTATGCTAGCTAAACAATTTTAATTGGTAGTTTAAAAATTGGTAGAGTTTTAAACTAAATTTAGGAGTTAGCCAGTTATATTAAAGTGTTAATTTTATGTTGCTACAAATAAACTTGTATTTTTTCTAATTTCTTTAAGACTTCTATTGGTGGATATAGCAACGCAATTCAAACAAACGATTTATACCGATGTGACCTTTGTCCTATGGGTGGAAGGCAGTGACGTGGCAGTCGCTCAGTCGGGATCAAATTTGGCGATATGGTATAACATTGAACTGCCAGAAAGCCCTACAATTATGACAGTACGTGGGGAGGTTACTGACGTAATCAGGAACAATGGGAAGACGGAAGCGATTTGTTTAGACGGAAATCATACTTTTAACGTGGAATTGGATGAAGGTTTGGTAGAGTTTGGTAAGCTATATATTATATACTAAAGGTGGGCGAAGATTGAACGAGTATTAAAAATGAATCGTGAGATTCGATTCATTGCTTGCAATACGGTTCGTTCAATTGAATCGTGGCCAGCACGGATCCATAACATTTGAACGATGAGCCGTAAAAAAGAATCGTGAGAATTGAATCGGATCACAACGCGATCATTGGTTCAAAGAGTCGTGAGAATTTATTCATTGAAATAGTAGTTTTTTTTAAGATAATGAACAAATATTGAGAAAAAAAGCAAAAATAAATGTTGTTAAGATGTAGAATGATTAGGAGGGGGGTTAATCATCGCGACTTTACAGATCTATTGTCTGTTTCCCTTGAGTTATAACGGATTATAACGAGAGCTGGCCTCTGGGACAGCTCCACAGAGGCCAGCTCTCCATCTTTGACATCAGCCGTACCAAAGTTTATGGCACGAACGGTTGTCGTCTCGGCGCACTCAGTGATAAGGTGTTCTTGTGTTTCCCCATTTTCCCCAAAGAATCTGCATTCGCCGTTGTTTCTCAGCTTCAATCTACTGAGGTGTTCGTGTTTATAAAATTAACCCAGGAACTAATGTTACAGGTACTGCGGTGAACGACAACGACTATAGTAGGGCAATTCTGTTTCTGGAGAGCATGGGAAGATCATCAGAAGCCGATGCAATGTGGCACACATTGTTAGTCATTGCGATGAAACAGCACAATCTCTTATTGGCAGAACGTTGTTTTTCGGCTTTAGGTGTGCCCTACAGAACTACAATAATATAAATAAAAAATAAAACATTTCTTGGTGTAGGTGACGTATCCTCTGCACATTTTCTACAAGAAACAACCCATATTGGACGCGAACTATCCCAACACAACGAAAATCCTAACAATTCTCCAAAAATTTGGGCGAGATTGTCTATATTATACGGTGATCTCAATACTGCCGAAAATATTTACTTGGAACAAGGGGATATTGATGGTGCTTTGAATATGTATAAGAATTTACATAAATGGGATGATGCTTTAAGGTAATCTTTTATTATATATCCCCTATATGAAAAACTGAAATTGCTTTATTATTTTTAAATAAATCTGGAATATTTACAGAACCATATTATAATTTCTATTATTTTAAATATTACTTTAGACTTGCTGAACAAAGAGGCTACGATCGACTTGACGATTTAAAACAAGAACACATGTCAGTTTTGATGCAGTCAGGTCAATATGAAAAAGTGGGTCAGGTTCTAGAAAAAGATGGGAAATGTGAAGAAGCCTTGAATATGTATTTAAAATCGAATAGACTCTTGCGAATTCCACAGCTGCTAACTCAAAATCCTCAGTTGTTAGATGATCATACGCTTATAGCAGGAGTTTTGAAAAATCTACTTAAGCAAGAGCTGTTTGAAGCTGCCGCTGACATCTATGAGAAATTAGACAAATATGATCTTGCCATGGAATGCTATAGAAAAGGTAATATACACAGTGGTGCAATCAAAATAGGTGAAATATTACCGCTAAAACACATACATATATTCTTCCTCTTGTTTTTCGACGGCCAGTCAAAAATTTCATACATATATTCACAAACAGAGCTGCAACAAGTCAGTTTTAAAAAGACTTAAGTCTTAAGTCATTTCTAAAATCAAAAAGATTGAAAATGTCTTAAGTCAAATTCAACATAAAGTTTAAATGATTTAAATCTTAAGTTTTTGACTTAAGTCATTTTATTTCAAGTCAAGTCATTTTTGTAAAGACTTAAATGAATATAACGTTATTTAAGTCGTTTTTACGACTTAAGTCTATATTTTTTACTTAAATCATGACGATCTGCAAGTTAGATCAGTAAAATGACTTAAATCAATGTAATTACCCTCAAGTCAAGACAACCAGAATTCAATTTAAGTACCTTTTTTAAATGTTAATATTAATCTTCTTGTATTACCAGTTAGCGATTTTCTTACTAGTATCACAGATTATACAGATTATAATCTTTGTTTTTTCTTTATTGTTTTTCGTGGTTCCAATTTTCGGAATCGGGCATTAGTTAGGTTACTAGTTTGCGCACATAGCACGCCCACTTATGGCCTCTAAAATTGTGCACAGCGCCTGACCGGCACAGTTATTAGAGAGATATCGGAAAACCGAATAGCGTCATCCAGTATTTACGCGTACCTTATCATGGTTACGATATGCGCGAGTCAATTTTTAACGCAACACCCGCTAATAACGTTACCGCCTGACGTAATTTGCGGATCAATTACACCAAGCGCTCTTTTTAAATAACCTCTGATAACGTTTAAAAATTGCCTAAATGGGCATGTGCGGGTATTTGACAACCGGAGCCGGCCGGCGAGATCTTTTATTTTAGGTTATGTTTGAATTGTTTTGAATTATTGCTTTAGTTTTATTAGGTAATTTGATATTTAAGTAGCTGGGGGATAAGTTTTAATTAAATAAATATGGCCCAAAATATGGATTCCACCTCTTCCAATACTAAAGAACCTATAAAGAGTCTTAGGTTTACAGCAGATGACGACTTAGCCCTTCTAAGAAAATTTGTTGCTTGCTGCCCTAAACCCACTGGCAGACATTGAACAATAAAGCACTCGAAATAAGCACTTTAGCCCTTTAGTTTTAGAATACCTAGTAAACAAAACAATTTCAAAGTTTTAAATTCAAAGTTAGGTTAGGTTTAAAAAACGGACGCGACGCAATCAGAATTCTTTCCGATCCGATAACTATAAATGAAGAGAGTTAATACCACCTCACGTAAAGGAAATAACACCTGGCCTTATTAACGTCCATGCACGCTATTCGGTTTAGCGATATCTCTCTATTACGCTGTTTATTGTTATATTACGCGAGTTTATTTTTGCGCACAGGAAATTTGACTCGTTTGCACATCGTCATAAAAAACAATTTTCGTACCACGAATTAGGGACAAGATTTTTATCTGTATACTTATAGGATACCTAATCTGTGCTAGTATCATAATATTAATTTATTGTAGGTATAGATGAGACTAAAACCACATAAAAAACGGTTAATTTACTGTTGTTACTACAAACGCAAAAATATTTTTTTTATAAAATTTAACCGTTTTTATAGTACTTATATTACAGTTTAGATGTCGTCGAATAGTCGAATGTCTATTAAAAAGGGTGTGATGTGTTTTGATCAATATGTAATATATCGATGGCATAAGCTAAGGGCTGGAGAATTTTAAGGTACTCTTCAATATATTCGAGATAAATTTCTTTCGTTCGTCTTTCGGACTACATAACGCAGTCGGGGATTCACTTGAAAGACAACAGACTCACTACGCACGCGTAACGCGACAAATAATCAAAACCGGTTCCGAAAAACTAACGTTTTATTTGCTAGTGGTATTGAGCACTGTTTGTTTATTCTGCTGCTTGGCTGCCGCCTAACAGTTTAAAAAGGAATGCTGCTGTTAAAAATTTATCATAAAAATATATAAAAATCTAACTTAAGCCTTTTATAAAAAAGACTTAAATCTTTTTAATGGCTCAAGTCTTTTATAAAAGACTAAAATCTTTTTAATGACTTAACTCTTTTCTAGAAAGTCTAACATCTTTTTCTATTTCGCAATAAAGATTTCAAACAGAAGTCATTTTGAGAAGATGATTAAGTCAGCTTTCAAAAAATGACTTAAAATCAAATGACTCAAGTCATTAAAATGATTTAAATAAAAAAAAAGACTTAAGTTTTCTGTGAGCTTACAACTCTGGTCACAAACTTTTTTTATTTATAGCGTCATGTAAAGCTTCATTCAGAACCTCCCAATTAGTGGAATAAATTAGTCGTTTCAATTACACTTTATACATTTTAGTTTACGATCATTCACAATGTCTAAAAAACACAATTAAAATTAATAAAATATCCTAGCAACAGCTTGCGGTAGTCTGTTGTATCCATAGAGAAAGCATAATGTTTAGCTTATAAAACAATAAACTTTTGATTTCTAAAGATTACAGTTGAGGGTTGGAACCTTTGGTGTTACACAGCAAAATAAAAACACTAAATCACCACAATACACCAAAACACTTTTACTTTTACACTGGACGCGCGTTTCGCTAACCATGTTAGCATCATCAGCAGATGTTTATAAACTCATGATGATTATAAATTAAAATACAATCTACAAGTTGAGCGTTTATATACTCGCTCAGTGGGCACCGAGTGGGCGTAGCAAAATCTAGGCAACCGAGTCTAGGCACCGAGCGTAACAGTTAAATTTCCGCCACTAGAGTAGTAGGAACAAAGAACTTGAAGGAATTGGACCGTTGTCTCTGTTCATACTATCTTTAATTTATTAATTCTGATGCTTTCATATACAGTCTATAATCATCTGCTGATGATGCTAACATGGTTAGCGAAACGCGCGTCCAGTGTAAAAGTAAAAGTGTTTTGGTGTATTGTGGTGATTTAGTGTTTTTATTTTGTTTTGATTTCTAACCAAAATTTTTCTTGACAGATGATAATCAAAAGCCAAAATGACATTCCTCGCAAATTTTGAAGTATAATTAGTGGACAAGTCAAAAGTTTGTTAACTTTTTCGACTAATTGAAAATTACTACCACTAATTATGACGTTCTGAATGCTTACATTAAAAATAAGTGACCAAACTTCTACGCTAATTGAAACCACTAATTGCGAGGTTCTGAATGAAGCTTAAGTCTCTGGTGAATCTGTCGACACTTTTTTATCATTAAGTTACTTCATATTTGAAATAACTTTCACCCTCAAAATGTCATTCGAATCGTTATAGGCAGTTGGAAGGAATTATAATAAATCGAAAAACGAAGACTTTAACCCTTGTTTGTAGCTACGGAACAAAGCCATAATCGGACCTATGTTGACATGAAAAATAAATCTTATTTTTACATGAGGAATCTCCATAACACGAGAGATTGCACATGCTTTTTAAAAACCCTGTATATTCTCTTGCTAAAGGGACTATACATGCAACAGTCCAGCCCTTTGAATAAGAAGACTAAGGAAGGAGCATAATGCTATTCATGTATTCATGCATGGTGGACGGAAAAAGCACTCTAGGGTGGGGATCCTTGACAGTTCTGTTTGACGATTCATTTGACACATTTGAATTTGATTTGAAATTTTGTGGATTTGTCAGTCTTTACGGAGCTTATTTTATGTTATTTATTATTTATTCTACTACTGATAGTTTTATAAAGGTAGTAAATCTAGATGGAAATTGTGGCAGAACTTAAATTAACAGTGACACTATCGCGATTTATCGAAAAAGACTCCAAAATAGTTGGTTGTGTAGCGTGCGGTAGATCTCGGCAAAAATTGAGTGAAATAATGGAACAACTTTTCGCTAGTAAGTGACTATATAATATACATATGTGTAGTAAACCGATCATTTATGAAATTCACTTAAATTAACTAAATTATATATTTTTCGTGCATTTTAGCTTTTATTTATTACTTGTCAAAGATTAGATGTCAAACAATTTAGATACGTTAATTTGACTTACCTGCTTCAGTAGCGTATCGGATGTTTGTGTTAATAAATACTTATTATAACTTATCTATTTTTATTAGAATTATATATTTTTATAACAATTTTAATAACTCTAGTCTGTCCAACGAGAAGATCCTTGACAGTGATAGATGTGTCTGTCATTTTAATTTCAAAGTAGTTTATTTTATTTTACAAAGAAATAAGTTGGTACAACTGGAACGCATAACAGTAAATTATTATATTTAAAATTTGGCTGACAAGTGATTACTTCAAAATATTGTAAAAAACTGTATAAAACTGAAAAAATGTAATCGAGTTATTTCATTTAATAAAAAACGGTATGTGTTAATACAAAACAAACAAAAAACAAGACACCACATACCAAAAAAATATAAAAAAAACTATTTCTTACTTATTTTCGTTCAAGCTTTATGAAACTTACCGCATTTATGATTATATTTATCAATATATCTTATGTATAAATACAAATTTGTAATATTCCACAGGAATAAATAAAACAACATAAATAAAACAAACTATTTTATTATTAATAACACTTACCAAATTTTATAGGTACCCTAAAGGTTGCTTAATTAACTTTAATCTTTTTTTTTAAACCAGTACCTTTGGCATTATATTTCTTGTGCAGTACTAAAATCCATTATTTACCTATCGTGTGATGTAGATATTTTCCAACTACTCCGGTTTTTAGTATGTGTTTAGTATGGTCCTTCTACCATATTCGAGATGCACTTATCTACGACGAGATGGTATACGAATTTTAAAGATGGTAACTTTATTGGTGTATAAGACTTTTTGCCTGGGCAGCGAGTATTAACCATAAACTGTGCTCTGGGTCTACAATTAATTTTCACTCGATTTTTCCTCCACTTGACTTCAAAAGACACAAAACACACGTAATAACACGAATCAAAATGCATCGTCTTCCAAAATGCAGGGTATTTGACAAAACTGACAAAAGTTGACACAAAATTATAACCTCTAATTTGGCAAGACTTTGACAAGCGTCAAAAATCTAAAGGCGAGTTCATACGCATCGGCGTCCGTTTGTCGTTCATCGTTTCGGCAAACCAATAAAATTGAAATACGATCTGTCATTTTTGAAATAAACCAATAAAACTGGTTAAAAACAACAAGAGACGACGTATGACGGATTTATATTTAAACCCATCCATAGTTAACTTAAAAATTATTAGAAACTTTTTTTAGCAAAATAAATTGATTGGTATGGGACGTCATCTGCTTTTCTTCTGTCATCGTCTGTCGAAATCTTACCTGAGAAAAAAAACAGAGTATACCAACATTTATTCACAACGTAAAATAAAACAACAAATTATTGAGTCTACCCCACGTCTACCCTACATCATAGTTTTACATTTTTTAAATAAAATTAGAACGACACTGATAAACCGGAATATAAGTCGGCCATATTTGAGGCCCATCGCGGTGTACCTAAGATTTTTGATATGTTCCTTCCTTAGTCTTCTTATTCAAAGGTCCAGCCAATTGTGGTTGCGCGACCCTTTATATTTTTGATATTGTTATAATGACCGATAAATGTACAATTTTCTGTCCTCTTTCTTTTTTACTAAATTCTTATTTTAAAGGAAAAGTTTGGAGTAAAGCGGTGGAACTAGCCCGAAAAGTAAGCCCTGATCAAGTTGTCCAATTAGAGGAGGAGTGGGGTGACAGTTTAGTTGAAAAGTATATTTTCATATTCTTTTTATTGTCGTTTTAAATAATTTGTTAATTTATTTTAAACAGTAAGCAAATGGATGCTGCCATTAATCACTACATAGAAGCAGGCAGTACTATTAAAGCACTGGATGCAGCTGTAGCTGCCAAACAATTCAAGAAAGCTGTTCACATTATCAAAGTGATAGATGATGCAGACACAGTTAAAAAGTACTATGAGCTAATAGCTGGATATTTTGCAAGTGTTAAGGTACAGTAAATTATTATATCTTATGACAAGAAAATATAAACTATATTTTAGGATTATTCAACTGCAGAAAAACTATATTCAGCAAGTGGAATGTACAAAGAGGCTGTGGATATGTACAATGAGGTGGGGCAATGGGAAAAAGCTCATTCCATAGCTTTAAAGTACTTGGAACAAGATGAAGTATCTGACATGTATATTTCGAGGTATCAGTATTTTCATTTTATTAAATCCGCATTTCTTTACAGTTAGTTAATTTTTAGAGCCGAACAATTAGAGGAAGCTGGCAAATTTAGGGATGCTGAAAAATTGTATCTTTCGGTAAACTCTCCAGATTTGGCAATAGCTATGTATAAAAGAATTGAACAATATGATAACATGGTAAGATGTCTATTAACTACTTTAAAACTTAAATAGTTTTTTTTTCTATTACTTGTTTATACTTCTTCTTCTTCGTCGAGTACCGTTTCCTAACGGAGGTTAGCTATTATTATGACCATGTTTATTTTATTTGCGGCTACTCTAAATAATCCATTCGATGTCATTCCATACCACTCTCTGAGGTTCTTCAGTCAGGATGTTCTTCTTTTGTCCCGACTACGTCCTCCTTGGGTTTTTCCTTCCCATAATATTCTGCAGCAATTGGTACTTAGGACCTGTTATAACATGTGCAAAATATTCTAATTTTTTCTTAATAATAATAATAATTCTTCTTAATAATAATACGTCCGGTGGCGTAGAGGTACAGCTCTCGTCTACCAATCTAAAGGTTGTGGGTTCGAATCCTACACTCGACATTTCATCTATACATTATGGTTACGCTATACTTATAGGGTTTTCTGCCGACTCGTCCCGTCGCGTCGTTTATCGACAAGCGGGCCGAGGTTGCCATATTTCAACCACAAAGCTCTTGCGGCGAGTAATAAACAAATTAACAACCTGTATGCGCGAGCTAGTATTATTATGTATTTCTTTTCGCGTTCATACGGTGTAGCACCTCGATATTCGTAACTCTGTCGACCCAATAAATCCGAAACATGTGACGATAACACCACCTTTCGAAAGCCATCAGTTTTTTAATATTAAAATTCGCTATATTGTAATTTTACATTGGAACATGTAATGTAACTAATAAGTCCAATTCTGTCAATAGCATCGTAATATGATGTAGATATCCAAATAACAAATATATTAAAGTCAATATGGATCAATAAACTTGACTTTGACTATTACTTTCGCAGGTAATATAATTTCAATGTAATTTTTCGTAAGAATTGTTTTTCAATTACTTCGTCAAAACTAACTAGAAACATCAACGTCTCCTGATCTTAAATGCCTATTGATACTTATGTTGCATCTGCCTATGACGATTCACAAACTAAATATATTAGAATCTATTGAACTATACAAACACATCACATAGCCTACGTTAAAGGTCTAAACCTGATCACAATGTTCGAAATTTTCTAACTTGTGTAAATGTCTTTTTAATACAAAAAATTGTGTGCACTATGTGCGCATATTTGAAGTGAAACTTCTTACTGACGACTTTTAAATTGAAGGATTTGTTTGAAAAAGTGTAATTTTACATGTTGTAAAAGTAAATAAATTAATAATTTGATTCACTTTCACACAATTTGTATTAAAATGACCGTCTTTGGACTCCATTCGGCTTTATTCGCATGCCGAGTTTGGTTCCATTCGACCCATAATTAAGGAAAATCCTGATAATTTCGTCCATTTAGAGGCATTGGTTCGAAACGGCGAGGGCGTCATCCTGTAGCCCGTCCCCATATCAAATGCTTAGTCCCACCCCGGTGAAGATGTAAATGAAACGTCGCGTCGTATCCAACATTGCAGTGTGACCGTGGGAGATAGTGGGTGGGACCGTGTGCATCGTTGCTGACATAGCCTACCCACCAAATTGAATCGCGATCGGACATCAACTTTTGACGTTTTTTACGTCAAAACTAACTGTCACAGTGACACGTGTCGTGCACGGTCAAGTTGATTCACTGATGATGGTTTCGTAGTTTAGGAAATATCTTACACAAAAACTAAGCTGTAAGCTGTCCTTACCACTTTCCCTCTCATGTGTCGTGTATCCTGTCACGGCTTTGAATTTTTACTAACCCAGCGCGCGTAAAGAAGTTTCAGTCCAACAAACAAATATTTTAACCAGTGAAGATTTTTTTAGCTGTTTGGTCTTTTTTTCTATTTTTAGATAAGGCTAGTGGAAAAATATCATCCTAATTTACTACAAACGACACATTTACATTTAGGACAACAGCTCGAAAGCCAAGGAAAACACAGGGCTGCTGAAATACATTTTCTAGCTTGTGGGGAGTGGAAGGCGGCTATGAATATGTACAGGTGTGAAGTCAATAGCTTTATTTTGTATATTCTCTTTTTAACAAAATCTTTAACAGGACTTTAGGCATGTGGGAGGAAGCTTATAGGGTTGCCAAACAAAATGGAGGACCTACAGCAGCCAACCAAGTAGCATTCCTTTGGGCCAGAACATTACCTATCGATTCTGCTATAAAACTATTAAACAAATATGGAATATTGGAATCGTGCATTAACTATGCATGTGAAACATATCAATTTGATTTTGCTTTTCAATTATGTAAGGAACTACCAACTAAAGTAAGGTTGCACAAATATATTGCTATCTATTATTAATAATATTTAAAAATATTTTTAAGGTTCCTGAAGTTCATTACAAATATGCGATGGCTTTGGAAGATGATGGAAAATTCTCCGAAGCTGAAGCAGAATTTGTGCTCGCTGATAAACCGAAAGAAGCTGTATTAATGTATGTTCACGCGCAGAACTGGATAGCAGCTCTGCGCGTAGCGGAAACCCACGAACCTGCCACTGTTCCTGAGGTTTTACAGGCTCAAGCCTCTCAGTGTTTCAAGGATAAGCAGTTTAACGAATTTGAAGTGCTGTTGCTTAGAGCACAAATGCCAGAATTGATTGTACAAAAATATAAGGCAGCAGGTAGTTTAATTGCATTTTTTATACTATAGGCCTATATATACGGTAAACTTATTAGGTTACCGTTCTTGCGATTGTCCCACTTAATTAGAAATTCAAATTTTTGAAAGACCCGCGATACAATTCTCGTAGCCATCAGTAAATTCCCAGAACTAACTCACGCTGAATAACTAGTTAATAGAAAAACAAGGCTATAGGGTATATCCAACCATATCTTTATTAAACAGAGCCATAAAAAAAATAACATTCGGAATAATAGTCGGGAATATTCGATTTTTCCAAATATCTTCGAAAGTAATCGGATTTTTACAGATTTCGAAACACTACGTTTTATAGTCCAGCACGGCGCAATTTTTCTCTAATTTAATCGTCTTTGTATCTCTTATGGTTTACGAGATCCCTGTAGTGTGTATTCTTATGCACATGCGTTTCATAATATATCTACATGCCATTTCTAAGTCATTAAAAATAAAAATGGCGCACGGCGGCGCACTATTTGTTTGTTGGCTCAACAAATAGGTATTCTAAATAACTTGCTAATGACAAAATAAATGCCCGACAAATCCCGATTGATAAACAAAAACACTATTATATGTGTATATTAGACAAATTAATCTGAATTTTTCGGTTCCATTTTAATTTTATTTTTTACATGTACTCATGCAATACAAAATAAATGAATTTTTATTTGTTAGTGATCTACATATCTTGAACTCACATAGTGACAATTTTAATTTTTTACAATTAATTACACCAACAGGTAATTATAACACAAATATAGAAAATTAATCAAAGGGCCAGGAATAAACAAATGTGGTTTAAAAAATGCCTGGGTTTCCACGGCCTCTGCGACAAATTTTGACAAGCCGGGTGGCATAAGTCAATCTGGTTGGATTAATTGGATCATGAGCTTCAATAATATGTGACACTAGTACATGTTTACTACATTTGATAAATTCTTTTTATGACCGGCTTTTAGACGGAAATATTCCTCTTTTTGGCTTTAGAAAACGGTGTTATACAGGGTGGTCCGAACTCTATACCGGAAACTTCGGCAACATATTGTGCAGATAAAAATAAGTAAAAAGTTCGTATAAATGTATGTCCTAAAATGCTTAGTTTCGGAGATACAGGGTGTAGAAGATTCATTTTTATTTCGATTTTTTTCAAATAATTTCAGAAGTAACGTCAATATTTGGATGAAAATTGGGGTTTGGGAGTTTTTTGACATAAGAAATTTGATTTTGATGTCAATATGACTCCTACTAGGAGAGAGCGCCACCTACATATTTTTTAACTGGTTTGAAGAATAATAACTTTTCGTCTGCACCTGTATAAAACTACTGAGTAAAAAAATATACATTTACGACGTTTTTTACGTGAAAAAGGTCTCTTGGTAAAAATCGCTACAAGTAATGGTTCCCAAGATATTTGGAATCGAAATTACCAATACCCGTCATCATTGACATAAATTAAACATGTTGACTAAAGCTTGATTTTCATGCATCCGTTGTCCGACGATACGATGATACGATATTAATTTTATTGGTTGAATTTAAAGACTGCGGTTGGTTAGAAACGGTTAACCAATCGAAGCCTTTAAATGCAACCAATTAAATTAATATCGTATCAACGTATCGTCGGATAACGGATGCATGAAAATCAAGCTTAAGTAGTTATTAGAGTGAAAGTTTCATTTTTATTTCGATTTATTCCAAATAATTTCTGAAGTAACGTCAACATTTGCATGAAAATTCGTGGATGGGTGTTTTTTGACATGAGAAATTAGATTTTGATGTCAATATGACTCCCATTTGTAGGTGGCGCCACCTACATGTATTTTAACTGTTTTGAAGAGTAATAACTTTTCGTCGGCACCTGTATAAAACTACCGAGTAAAAAAATATACATTTACGACTTTTTTACATAAAAAAGGTCTCTTGGTAAAAATCGCTAACAGTAATGGTTCTCGAGATATTTGGAATTGAAATTATCAATACCTGTCATCATTGACATAAATTAAACATGTTGACTAAATAGTAACTAGACTGAAATCATAAATTTGAAGTCTTTTTGTGTCAAAAGTTCAAAAGAAACTGTTTAATCATCATTTTTTCGCAGAAAAACTTATGATTAATTTAAAAAAATAAAAATATATTATTTCAGTCAAATAACTATACTGAACGCGTGCTTACTTTTTGTCAATAATGACATTATTGACTATTTCCATTCTAAATATCTTGAGAACGGTTGCTCGTAGCGATTTTTACCAAGAGACATTTTTTACATAAAAAGTCATGGAAATGTATATTTTTTTAGTCAATAGTTTTATACAGGTACAGTCGAAAAGTTATTACTCTTCAAAACAGTTATAACACATGTAGGTGGCGCCCTCACAAATAGGAGTAATTTTGACATCAAAATCAAATTTCTCTTGTCACAAAACTCCCAGATACCAATTTTCATCCAAATATTGACGTTACTTCAGAAATTATTTGGAAAAAATCGAAATAAAATTGAAACTTCTACACCCTGTATACCGAAACTAAACATTTTAGAACATACATTTATACAAACATTTTTACTTATTTTTATCTGCAGAATATGCTGCCGAAGTTTCCGGAATACAGTTCGGACCACCCTGTATATGTCCGTATCTTTGAATAAGAAGACTAAGGAAGGAGCATAATGCTATCCATGTATTCATGCATGGTGGGCGGAAAAGCCACCATAAAAGCTCTCTAGGGTGGGGATCCTTGACAGTTCTGTTTGACGATTCATTTGACACATTTGAATTTTATTTGAAATTTTGTGGATTTGTCAGTCTTTACGGAGCTTATTTTATGTTATTTATTATTTATTCTACTACTGATAGTTGTATAAAGGTAGTAAATCTAGATGGAAATTGTGGCAGAACTTAAATTAACAGTGACACTATCGGGATTTATCGAAAAAGACTCTAAAATAGTTGGTTGTGTAGCGTGCGGTAGATCTCGGCAAAAATTGAGTGAAATAATGGAACAACTTTTCGCTAGTAAGTGACTATAGGTATAATATACATACGTGTAGTAAACCGATCATTTATGAAATTCACTTAAATTAACTAAATTATATATTTTTCTTGCATTTTAGCTTTTATTTATTACTTGTCAAAGATTTAATGTCAAAGAATTTAGATATGTTAATTTGACTTACCTGCTTCAGTAGCGTATCGGATGTTTGTGTTAATAAATACTTATTATAACTTATCTATTTTTATTACAATTATATATTTTTATAACAATTTTAATAACTACCAACATTTATTCACAACGTAAAATAAAACAACAAATTATTGAGTCTACCCCACGTCTACCCTACATCATAGTTTTACATTTTTTAAATAAAATTAGAACGACACTGATAAACCGGAATTTAAGTCGGCCATATTTGAGGCCCATCGCGGTGTACCTAAGATTTTTGATATGCTCCTTCCTTAGTCTTCTTATTCAAAGTATGACTCCCATTTGTAGGTGGCGCCACCTACATGTATTTTAACTGTTTTGAAGAGTAATAACTTTTCGTCGGCACCTGTATAAAACTACCGAGTAAAAAAATATACATTTACGACTTTTTTTACATAAAAAAGGTCTCTTGGTAAAAATCGCTAACAGTAATGGTTCTCGAGATATTTGGAATCGAAATTATCAATACCTGTCATCATTGACATAAATTAAACATGTTGACTAAATAGTAACTAGACTGAAATCATAAATTTGAAGTCTTTTTGTGTCAAAAGTTCAAAAGAAACTGTTTAATCATCATTTTTTCGCAGAAAAACTTATGATTAATTTAAAAAAATAAAAATCTATTATTTCAGTCAAATAACTATACTCAACGTGTGCTTATTTTTTGTCAATAATGACATTATTGACTATTTCCATTCTAAATATCTTGAGAACGGTTGCTCGTAGCGATTTTTACTTAGAGACATTTTTTACATAAAAAGTCATGGAAATGTATATTTTTTTAGTCAATAGTTTTATACAGGTACAGTCGAAAAGTTATTACTCTTCAAAACAGTTATAACACATGTAGGTGGCGCCCTCACAAATAGGAGTAATTTTGACATCAAAATCAAATTTCTCGTGTCACAAAACTCCCAGATACCAATTTTCATCCAAATATTGACGTTACTTCAGAAATTATTTGGAAAAAATCGAAATAAAAATGAAACTTCTACACCCTGTATACCGAAACTAAACATTTTAGAACATACATTTATACAAACATTTTTACTTATTTTTATCTGCAGAATATGCTGCCGAAGTTTCGGGAATACAGTTCGGACCACCCTGTATATGTCGATATCTTTGAATAAGAAGACTAAGGAAGGAGCATAATGCTATTCATGTATTCATGCATGGTGGGCGGAAAAGCCACCATAAAAGCTCTCTAGGGTGGGGATCCTTGACAGTTCTGTTTGACGATTCATTTGACACATTTGAATTTGATTTGAAATTTTGTGGATTTGTCAGTCTTTACGGAGCTTATTTTATGTTATTTATTATTTATTCTACTACTGATAGTTGTATAAAGGTAGTAAATCTAGATGGAAATTGTCTTTCTCAAATTTCAGAAATGTGGATAGATGCACTCAGAGTGTGTAAGGACTATTTGCCACACCTATATCCGACGTTACAATCTGAATATAGCAGCTGTCACCACAACAAAACAACAGACGTTAATATAGAAACGCTGCTCTCAAAAGCCAACGAATGGGCATTGGCTGGTCAGCACAAACAAGCCATCGAATGCCTGTTGCAAGTGAATACTTCGATCACAGAACCTTCTATAGTTAAAAGAGCCCTACTGAGAGCAGCCGATATGGTAAATAAGTTCTTGTTTGGTCAAGAAGCCATGGATATAATTAAAATTTTATCGCCAAGGTAATGTATATACTCAATTCAAAATAATTTGCAATTGAAACATACACTATATACTTTACAAATTTACATAAAGCGTATGATATTTTTTACTGGTTTGTAGAAAAAAATAACAATATCCTTCAAAACTCTTATAAATCACGAAATCTAGACTTTTAGTCTTTTTCGTTAAGTTTCAGCAGTTATCGAAATAAAAATAAATCATAAATCATATAGCTTCTCATGTAAAATACGTATAAGTTATGTCAAAATATATGATATATTTTCATGATTTAGTAGTACTCGATTCACCATTCTTTTTCAATACAAATAAATTTGATTAGAAAACTAATTTGCCAAATATCTAGTTCTTATTGGTTCTGAGAAAGTAACAGTAAACTAATAGAAGAATCAGTAGAAACACACAAATATGTACTTAGTTTATGGTACGAATGTGGTTTTATGGCCAATAAACTTGGGTGATTCAAAATACCATATTCCCAACAAAATTCTGTAGTAGTAGCAACAAAAAACTGTTTCTACTTCACGTATTGTTACCCATTTGAGCGAAAGAATTATCATGTTGTTTCAAATTTGGCGATTTGGCATCCTATCAGCTAGCTGATTCACAGATCACAATGGCGTAGCCATAGAAATATCAGATTCTTTTGATAACCAAGCTATTTACTTTTAAAAGTTATAATCTAGTTATCATAAGAATAACTAGGCCTAGTTATTAGTGTTCTCTCTGGGCCTAACCAAATAAAAACTAATATTCATTGTTAAACATACAATATTCATGATTTTACCTTTACATTATATCAAGGTAGATAAGCAATGACACATGTAAGTATTAATTTTTGGAGTCGTCAAAATTGTTATAATTTGTTTTTATTTTCTAAAGAAGATTGTGAATTGATCGTCAGGCTGTTTTATTTTTTGTTTCAATTACCGTAGAAGTTAGTTCCTTTAATTTCAATGTAAGCATTCAGAACATCAAAATTAGTGGTAGACATTTTCAATTAGTAGAAAAAGTTAAAAAACTTTTAACTTTTCCACTAATTATATACTTCAAAATTTGCGAGAAATGTCATTTTGGCCTTTGATTATCTTCCGTCAAGAGAAATTGTGGTTAGAAATCAAAAGTTGATTGTTTTATAAGCTAAATATTAGGCTTTCTCTATGAATACAACTGGCTAAAGCTTGATTTTCATGCATCCGTTGTCCGACGATACGTTCAAACCAATAAAATTAATATCGTATCAATGTATCGTCGGACAACCGATGCATGAAAATCAAGCTTAACTCAAGCTGTTGCTAGGATATTTTATTAATTTTAATTGTGTTTTTTAAACATTGTGTATGATCGTAAACTAAAAAGTATAAAGTGTAATTGAAACCACTAATTTATTCCACTAATTGCGAGGTTCTGAATGAGGCTTAAAACAAAATTATACAATTTTCCCACATTACGCCAAAATATGTTCTATCGTCATCTACGCACAACTATGTCCGCATCAGAGCTCCTAACATGGTTAGTGAAACGTATTGTATGACTGAAAAAAAAGGCGTCAGAGTTAGTTTGAAAATGATGATCGGTTAATATTCTTACTACTTATAAAATTATTCTACATATAAAATGACAGCGGGTTTGATTTTCAAAGTCGCCTCTGACGCCAGTTTTTTTATCGTATGTTACAACTAGTATAAGAACTATTTTGGTCTAATATGCTAAATCTCTAATTTTCTTCTGTAATACCTACCTATAGTAGTAGAGGTAGAACCCAAATACACGAAAAACGTTTCAAATAATGATAGAAGCAATTGATTTGACCCGCAGCACCTTATTGCAAGTGGAGGCTAATTCAAAATGGCGGCGTTTTTTTAGAATGGCTGTTTTATTTGTTTTTTTTTAAGTTATTTAATCGATTAAAATAATAAGTGTATTTTTAATTCAAATGCTAATAATAATAGGATTAATACTACACTAAGTATATAAAATTGAAAATGGCGGAATTTAGTTCTGTATTAATAATTAGTAGTTGCGAGCTAATTGTCTATCACCTACGCGCGAGTTATAAGTTTTAGTTCAAATCAAAAATTTATTACAAGCAGCAGCACACCAATAAAGTAATTGTGAGAAGACCCCTTTGGTCCCCCCTTCCACGCGTGCCCCCCCCCAAGAAAAAATCTGAAGAAATATTAAATTTCCATATAAAATATAAACCTTTTACATTAAGTATTGTTACGAATTTACTCTCTCCGTGGGTCCCAATAATTCAAAACACTCAGAACAACAACGACTTTATTAAATCCACTTATTAAAAATCCACAATTATTTTACAATATTTCAATTATTATTCAGAACTTTATTGTACATCGTAAAAACTTAAACTAACTAAAGACTAAACGCGTCCGCCTTCATCTTCCGAGAACTGGTCAGTGAAGTTTCGTCTCCAAATCTTATGTTGAAAAAGATGCCGCAAAATTGGAAGCATTGCGCATTGATATTGTTTGGGATCAATATGTAATTGATAGCGTTAAAATTACTGTCCGTGAAGAACGAGGACATGGAATTGGCCGCCAAGTAACCGGCCTTACTAGACTTCCACCAAACAGGCCAGATTTCTTAAAAAACCCATTAAACAAAATTGATCTCTTCATTTTTTTAGCAAATTTTTTTATTGCAGTAGAAAGCAAAATAGTATATGTATCAAATATAGGTGACATAATTTACTCATCAGCAAAGGCAAGAAGCAGATGACAGAATAATATTACATTTAAAGGATTCGGTGCAGCATGGGTCTCAGAACGTGGTAGTGCGAACAGTTGATACTGATATACTAGCTTTTTACGCACAATTTAAATCTCTTGGTCTCCAGAATTTATGGGTTCTTTTTGGTACAGGTGCAAAGAGACGATATTTAGCAGCACACCTTATGGCAGGTAAGCCTCTCACACACAAATAACACACTTGGCCTAAAAAATCATATTTTAGATGATCTTGGCGACAAGGCTACCGCTCTTCCTGGGTTTCATGCTTTTAAGGATGTGACACGGTGTCTTTCTTTTCTTACAAAGGAAAAAAATCTGCCTGGAAAACATGGAATTCGCAGAGCGATAAGACAACCAAAGCTTTTCAAGCGATTTCAAGCCCAACACTGTCTTCCATTCCGGACGATGTCGTCAAAGTTCTTGCTAGCTTCACTGCTCAGATGCTCAATCCACTTAGCCCTGCAACCAACACTGATACCACAAGAAAAGAATTAGTTTGTTCTCAAAACAAGCCAATTCATTTAATACCTCCGACTTCTGCAGCACTGTATCAACATATCCTAAGGGCTGCTTACCAAGCTGGTCAAGTCTGGGGTCATTCTTACTGTATGGATGACGTAACGCCATTACCTAAGGGATGGGACTGGGTTAAAAAGAATTCAAAGTGGACTCCTCTATGGTCTGTTCTTCCAAATGTATATAAGTGTAGTCGGTGTAAATGCAAAAGAAGTGGTCTTCCATGTACAGGGTGGGTCAAATTCGACGCTTTTAAATGGAAACAACCTTTTCTATAGGAAATAGACAAAAACTAATATCGGTGTCTGGAGCTCAATTTTTGTCAAAAACATGATGGTGAAAACCGCATATCGATATCTGTTACCGTTTCGGAGTTACGGGGTGTTTTTCAAAAATATGCATTTTTAACAAATCGCTGTAACTTTTTTGCTATGGAAAATGTTGTATTTTTATGCAAACATTTCCAAAGCACCTTTTTACGTAGAATTTAATGGTTTAAGTATAATTTTTTTAAAATTAATAATTTAAGAATTATCAACAGAAAATTTGATTTTTTATATGGGACACCCTGTATATTTTTAATTAGCTGAAAAGAATTTAAAATTACCTTTCCAAAAATATAGCACACTTGATATTTTGTTATAACCCCCTTCGAAATACAGATTTTTTAAAAGTTCGCCACTTTTAACTAGTAGGCTTTGGACCCCTCATTGATGATATGCCCTTAATGGAATTCGAAAACATATTTTTCCAGCAAGACGACGCACCACCTCTGAACGCTGAAGTTATCAGCAAATTTCTGCAGCCAATTTCAAGAATAATTGAACAGCTGACCAAGAACCCAGCCGTTGGCCGTCGAGGCCGCCTGACTTAGTGCCCATGGATCTAATCCTATGGATATATTTGCGGAAGAATAAAGGTTCCTTATTCTTCCATATAATCTAGACAAGAATTAGAAATATTTAGCAGTTATGAGAGGGTATCTTTCACCCCCACTGAGTTAATGAATTCCGCAAGAAATGTTCAAAAACTGCCCCGTCTGTCCATAACAGAAGACGGTCGATATGTCGAACACCTGTAGCAAAATCTCATGTCCTGGTTTGCTGTTTATTTTTATTGTTATGAGATATAGTTTAAATGTGTTGATGTTAGTTAAATATATTTTAAATTGTTATAAAATTCTGCATTTCTCATAGCAAATATTATTTTCGTTTTAATTGATGCTCACAGCTAGAATTTTTTTGCATTACAGCCGGTGCCGTTCAAAGCCTACTTATTTAAAGCGGGCGAATTTTTATATACTCTATATCTCGAAGAGGAATCGAGCGAAATATCAAGTGTGTTATATTTTTGGAAAGGTAATTTTAAATTCTTTTCAATAAATTAAAAATATACAGGGTGTCCCATATAAAAAATCAATTTTTCTGTTGATAACTCTTAAATTATTAATTTTAAAAAAATTATACTTAAACAATTAAATTCTACGTAAAAAGGTGCTTTGGAAGTGTTTTCATAGAAATACAAAATTTTCCATAGCAAAAAAGTTACAGCGATTTGTTAAAATTGCACATTTTTGAAAAACACCCCGTAACTCCGAAACGGTAACAGATATTGATGTGCGGTTTTCACCATCATGTTTTTGATGAAAATTGAGCTCCAGACACCGATATTAGTTTTTGTCTATCTCCTATAGAAAAGGGTGTTTCCATTTAAAAGCATCGAATTTGACCCACCCTGTACACTGCATGCAGTTCCTGCAAAGACATGTGCACCAACATTGTAATTCAAAAGTTGGTATTTTTAAATATTTTTATATTTTTCCGAGCTAGACAAAAAGTTTCTGAGTAGACTTATTTTTTTTAATTTTTTATTTTAGTTTAGAAGATTCCGAAGACTAAGGAATGGTATCCGCCGCCATTTTGTAAAAAATTACGCCATTTTATTTTTTTTTTCTTAAAAACGATGTACTTTTAATAAATCATAAAAGTTAAAATTCCTATTCTATTAATTTCTACCCCATTAGTCTCATAAGAATTAAGTTAAGCTGCGCCATTTTGAAAAATTTCGCCATTTTGAATCTGCCTCATTCTGCCTCCACTCCTGATAATGTGCTGCGGGCCAAATCAACCTACTATATGTAAGTAAACTTTCTGCCAAGCGGTTTTATTCTATCACGATTTGAAACGTTTTTTGGTCTACCGCTACGATTACTATAAAAAGTTTCAACGTAAAGCGTGTTTTACTTTAAGGTTAATTGAAATGGGCGAACACGCAGTAGCTGCCCAACTCTATATCAGCATGGAGCTAATGAAGGAAGCAATTGACGCTTTCATTACGGCGGAAGATTGGGAGAAAGCAAGAAAAGTTGCTAAAGAACTAGAGCCAGCTTATGAGAGTTACGTAGAAAGCAAATACAAAGACAGGTTGTTGAAGAAAGGAGATGTGGAACAATTGGCTGACGTTGGTACGTACGTAAGACAATAAATAATTTGATAATTTAAAGATGGTACACAATGTTCCATTTTAAATAAAACTGTTACATCACTCGTATTACGGGTACCTTTACTAGAGTACTAAATATTTAGTGTCTAAAGTCGCAAACGTGGTACAAATACAACGAGTGTTCCCAATACCCATACATTTTTCAACAGATTCTTGAGAGATCTAGCATAATCCTACCGTACCAATACTTATTCTCCTTATAGCCATCAAAATTAAGTCTCTATTAAATATTTCGGATATTTGGAGTTGCTCCTTTATAATGTGTTTTTATTAGGCCCGTTTTTGAAATAACTAAGCCCACGGCCACAGAGAAAGCGATTTTTGAGTTTTTTTGCGCGAAGCGTCTTTTGCGACTAAAACAAAATAACAGTATGATAAAGCAGTGGCCCAAGAACGGCATAAAGAACGGCAAACTAATAGGATTGCTCATCCTCATAAGACGCAAGAACAGTTAACCTAATAGGACTGCTCATTCAGCCAAAAGTGTCCGCCAGGTGCATGCGAAAACTACTCGCTTTGTGACGTCATTGTAGCCCTTGTCATGGTTATTAGTCCTTATCCGGCAACCAATAATACACACACGTGCATTATTGGTTACCGAATGCAAAACGTTCATTATTTAGTTTATTTATTTAAACACCTTATATGTATGCAGTATAGAAAATTAACTGTATAAATCGTATTAATTACTCGGATAATGCATTTTTAAGAACAGCAGTTCCCAGCATCACCGTTTGCAAGCATTCTTTTTAAAGTACTTCCGTATTTTGCTTTAAAATAATTAATAAACAAAATCGTGGGCACTTAGTATGCACTTTGTCACCAATCCACAACACAAAATGAACGTATTTATACACTCTATAACTCTAAAAACTTTAAAGACACCCTTTTCACATTTAAAATTGACAAAATAATTAACTCAAAATTTCTCAGCTGTTATTTTTATAAGTTTACCATAGGCAACTAATAATACACACTATCATGACAAGGCCACGAAGGCTTTGACAAGGACTACAATGACGTCACAACTGTCAGCTGAAGCGCGGGAAGAGGCGAACGTACGTGTTATGAGGATGAACAATCCATATACATATTACTTTTTACAAATATACTCAGCCTAATCTCCAAAAAGTGAAGCCCAAACAGTGAAAGAACAATATGGAATTCTGCATAAGTCTATTTCACCCGGATATTCATTTAACTGAGCATGCCTCACCTGAAGAAGTTTTCATTGGTCGATGTTTTTAAAGGGAAGTGGTTGACTGACATTTCACCTAACCTTCAATTTTATTTATATTTTTATTATTTATAACACATTATCATGGAGTTGGAAAAATATCAAAAATAGTTGGAAACAATAAACTAAACAAAATCACTCTTTTACGCGCACAAATAAAAAGTAATCCAAACAGAACTAAAACAACAATCAATCGGAGTTTGGCGCAATCGCAGTTCAATCCATATCCGGGTGAAATAGACTTATGCAGTTTTAATATGGAGCTGGGTTATGTTGTCTTTTTCTTATGGCACAGAAATTGCACACGGAGTTAAATAGGGAACCCTGAGTATATTTGTAAATAATACGTATATGGAGCAATCCTATTAGTTTAACGTTCTTGCATAAGACGTACGTTCGCTTCTTCCCGCGCTTCAGCTGACAGTTGTGACGTCATTGTAGTCCTTGTCATTATAGTGTGTATTATATTAGTTGCCTACGGTAAACTTATAAAAATAACAGGTGAAAAATTTTGAGTTAATTATTTTGTCAATTTTAAATGTGAAAAAGGTGTTTTAAAAGTTTTTAGAGCTATATAGTGTATAAATACGTTCATTTCGTGTTGTGGATTGTGACAAAGGGCTTACTAAGTGCCTACGATAATGTTTAGTAATTATTTTAAAGCAAAATATGGAAGTACTCTAAAAAGAATGCCTGCAAAAGGTGATGCTGGGACCTGCTGTTCTTAAAAATGCATTATCCGAGTATTTAATATGACTTATACAGTTAATTTTCTATACTGCATCCATATAAGGTGTTTAAATAAATAAACTAAATAATGAACGTTTTGCATCCGGCAACCAATAATGCACGTGTATGTATTATTGGTTGCCGGATAAGGACTAATAAGGTAATTTAAACGTATTTGACTAATAATCATGACAAGGACTACAATGACGTCACAAAGCGAGGAGTTTTCGCATGCACCTAGCAGACACCTTTGGCTGAATGAGCAGTCCTATTAGGTTAACTGTTCTTGGGTGTGGCCCGACCAAAAGCGTGTAGCGTTCGGCGTGTCTTCCAAAAGACGCAAATGAAAACAAATCAGTTTGTTTTCTGTAGCGGCTTTAGCGATTTCGAAAATGAGACCCTGTCATAGGCGGACGTAATATCTAATAATATAATAAAAATAAATTAAATAGTATGCATTTAGTATTATGTATTCTTATTATACATTAATATATATTAGTATTCTAGTTGGTTAGGTTAGGTTGGGTATTATCTAAAAATATTTTTATAGAGGACATTTACTGTTTAGAAAGATTTTATTAAATTGAAGGATTTGTAGGACATGTTTGGAAAAGTAATAATTAAAAAAATATATTTTTTTTTGAGTAAACAGTGCTTTTTACGCATAACAGATATTTTTTTACGTGCAACAAATAGTTTTTTACACGTAAAAATAGTTTTTTGTGCGTAATTTTTTTTTACGTGTAATAAATAGTTTTCAACATGGACTGCTCACAAATACATGTCGCGTCACTACGTATTTCTAAGCCGTTACCGTTACGTGTCTTTACAACTAGCTCGTGTGTCAGTGCCGTCCCGCTACCTCGTGTGTGACGGCCTTGAATTTTTACTCTGTTTTCCTTCAGAAGTTTCCCTTCAAAAAGTTTGATAAATCATGTCCTAAAATTGCGTTAGCAATTAGTAATATTTACTCTACTAATTATAATTATTGATTATATTATATTATTATAATTATAATACACAAGTAATCACAAAACTCCAGCATAAAAATGTATATGTTACGGTTAAAGTCCGATGCCCGGTTAATGTCGACATTAATAGGTTAATGTTTGGTTTTGGTTGTTTTGTTGTGTGTTATTCTCGAGATTAACCGGGGAATGTCGACAATAACCGGACATCGGACCTTAACTGTAACATATACACAAAAAAACTAAAATTCGTAAAATAAATGGCAAATAATAATAATTATTTTTACACACACCACTGGCACTAGCAGTAGATTGCGTTTGTCGTCGAATATCCAGCCCGTTCAACAGTCGATCCGAGCATATCTTTAATCTTCGTCTTTTCAACGCTAACCGCGCCGATCTCGCCTATCTCTTTCTCACGGGATTGATTGTTGGACGGGCCGGGAATCCACGAGCTTGTGACGTTACTAATTGACATTTTGATGTGATTTTGATATAAACTGCAGTTTGGCGTAACAGTTTTGTTTTAACTAATTTGATATCGCATTTTGAAGAAAATATGTTTTAGATATAATCGGTGCGTTGGATCTGTTGGCTGAGCAGGGACAGTGGGTACGGTGCATCGAAAAAGCTAAAGCTCATAACACAGTGCCCATTTTACATAAATATGTCGCTCTATATGCCGCCAAATTGCTCAAGGATGGTTTTGTGGTTGAAGCATTAAATTTGTATTCGACTCACGGAGCTCCGGCCATGCCACAGAATTTTAATATTTACAATCACATCGCTACTGAGCTATTTGGAGCGCCAGACTTATCTGATCCGGATTCGTACGGCGTTTGGGAGCAACTCAGACGAATGTTGTTAGAAATTGTAAGTTTCTGATGGAGCCCTCTTTGTGATAATATAGATTTGGTCTAATTAATTGTGAGTTATTAATTCCTTCCGCGTATGTTTTTGTAGAATGAAGGTTTAGATATCGCTCCAAATATTTCCGTGGAGACCAAGATGCACTTTAAGAATTTATTGCTGATAGCCCATTTCTATGCATTGAGATGTGCCTGCAAACAAACTACCTCTCTAAAAGCTATCGGCGTAAAAATAAGCACAGCGTTATTGAGATATACCGATATAATACCGGCGGACAAAGCTTTTTATGAAGCAGGTGAGTAAATCAGATCGAAACTTACGAAATTATATGATTGTGATATCGATATATTGAATGATGTAGATCTTTTTTTTGAGTTACCAATAGTTACCAACACAGGTAGTCACAGTCACAGGGAGTTCAAGCTTAACAGGTGAATGCCCAAAAAGATTCATTTCAATCGCATAGTATAAAAACAAAAGAACTCCATCAAAAGGCGCTGAGTTTAAAAAACTGTCTTAGATACTTACTATATATGAATTTACAATTACCGAGTGTTAAAATTAAAATTAAAATATCTATCTTATTTATTATTTTCAAAATAAAATATATTTTTTTAAAATAAATTATAGAGGGTGTCACAAGATTACAAATTAATTAAAAAAAACTGCTAAAGAGTTTTTTGATATCATAATTTTATGTATTTGGCAATAGTTTAGAATACGGTTTTTGTGTGTCATGTACGAATAATATCATAGTTTTATTATCTTGTATTTATTTATTAATAAATTAAGTTGTTAATAAATAAATAAATTTAACCATATAGTTGCTATATATTAGACCATTTGCTACGTTCTTAGATTTTAAGTCCCAAACATTGCTCTTGAGATTTTGTCCCGCTAGAATAACCATCCGCCGCACTGTGGAGCGCTGGTCAGCGCGTGACGTTGCATTCCACGGCGATTACGACAACGGAGATTTGACGCGATCGAACAGTCCTTTAGAATATATACAGTCCTTGTAGTTAGTTATCATTCCCATATAGGGGTACAAATTTGTAAACTCTTCGTGATACTATACTGCATGATCGAAAAAAAAAACGGCGTTAAGGACGGCTAGGGAATGATAATTAATGACAATTTTGACGAGGTCAATCTCTAGACGTCATTTATTAAAAACTGACATAAAACTTGTCAAAAATTAATACTAATTATAGAAAGATTAAAAAAGGATAGTACGTCTCCAGACACTCAAATTTATTTCCAAAAAAATAGTGTTCCTCTAATTTTAAAAATCGTTTTTACTCAATATAAAAATAAATCACAACTTCTTAAGGTCAACTTGCAGTAAGCGCCATTAAAAAATAAAGAAGCGTACGGGTCAAGTATGTGACATTTAGGGCTTGACCTCGTCAAAATTATTATCGATTTTCATTCCCCAGCCGTCTTTGACGCTGTTTTTTTTTTCGATCGTATGGTACTTTTGTATAGAGGTAAATTGTGTTAAATTAACTTATTTTGATTACAAAAATACATAGTAGTTCTATGTCCACGGAATATTGTAACAGTTTGTATTCTTCTGGGCTGACATATTTTTCTGTTGGACAGATTAGGTAGGTATATTTATTAAGATAATGAGAAATTTTACTTTTTAAGGTAAAGACCTAAGAGACGAAGGCCGATTATCTGAGGCTTTTGTATTCTTAAATCATTATTTGGATTTATGCGAAGCTATAGAGGAAGGCGAAGGGCAACTTGTAGATCACTCCGATCTAGTTCAGACCGATTTTCCTTCTAACATCCCTATACCTTCGCGGCTTTATTTAGCGGACGATTCTAAAGAACATGACAACATTCGAGAATGGGTATTGGCAGTGAGCATGGATCAAAAAGTTGAACAGGTTAGTAAATAAAATTTTATATCCCAATCTGTAATTCTCTAAATAGGGTAATTAATATTAAAACTACTCATGTTTGTTATAAAAAAAAAGAAAAAAAATACTAAGTTTATACTCTGAATAAAAAGTTGGTAGACACCTCAAAAAAACTCTCTCCACCTACGAGCTCTTAATTTTAATAGGAAGGTCCTCCGACTTTCAGTTTTCTATTTTTTCCTCAGACAAACACATTAGAAACACTTTCTAATGTGTTTTGCACTAATTCATTTACATCATGTAAATACCGTATGATCGAATAAAAACGGCGTCAACGGTCGCTATGAAATGAAGGTCGCTGTCATTTTATATGTAAAATTATATGGGAAATGTCATCGATCGTCATTTCCAAGCCAACTGGACGCCGTTTTTTTTTTCCATCATACGGTATATCCAGTGACAAGTGAAGTTAGGCAAACCGCAATAAAAAGAATAAAGAATCCCATTTTGATTTTTCATATTTCAGTTGGCGGTTTGATTGCAGATTGCTATGAATTGATAGCAGCTCGAACATTCAGCTTTTTTGAATTTGATATAAAAACGCTATGTCCATAAAAAACTACGCCAAGTTGGCATCGATACGAACGATAATTTACATTTCACATATATTTTTACATGTAAAATGACATCTATGTCCATTTCCAAGCCAACTTTGACGCCGTTCTTATTTTGACCATATGATATTCTTTTATAAAAAATTACTACCATATTTTTAAACATATAGTGCCCTATCTCACATACTGGCGTAACTCGCATTTAGTAAATTTGTCAGAAGAGAAGAACCTATTACTGAAAAATACTATTACTGCATTGATAGTGATAAATATAATTTCAGCAAGTGAAAAGTTGTGCCTGTCAAATAAGTTTCAAGTGGCGTATCTCATTTTTTAGACTTTTCAGTTACCTTTACGTGAGAAGAGGACACTATTCTATCACAGTAATTGGTATTTATTTTTAGGTACTGCCTATCGACGAACGTCAATTGTACGAGAGTTCTCTACAACCTGGAGAATTACCTTGCTTAGTCACTGGCTATCCAATTAAAAAACAACCAGTATCATTTTCAAAATCTAACTTCCAAGCTAGTAAAGATGCTTGGGCAAAACTTAACATGGGAGCAAAATTAGCTCCAGATTCAAATATACCTAGTGTAATAACATTTATAAATAAATGGTGTGGCACAATTATTAATTAAATATCTGCATTGAAATAACTTTATATACTTAGATTTCTAGTGCAAAATTATCAAATAAAATCTCTTAAGAATATATTAATGTACAATTTATTAAAACCAACAACTTTTCGATAATGCTACATAAATTTGAATATGTAAACTTAACTTTTTTTTTCTTAAACTAACTTATTTCATTTTTGGCTCAACTATTAACTAAATTAAATATTTTTTTGACACTAGTGAAATATTATGTTCCTTTATGTTCTTAGACGTACAGAGTGTTTAATTTTAGTTATAATGGAGGGTTATCTGATAAACTCATCAGGGTTGGAAAAAATGGACCCTTAAACGTAAAACCACAAGGTTTTATCATTACTAATAAGCGAGAAAAGAAATCATAATCAGAGACAACTAAAAGTCTGTTCAGCGATCGTGCAACGTTACGTCATAATTATTTCTCTAATTTTTTTAGGGTGTGTCTGAGATCAGTTCATATTGTTTAGAAAATACCGCATGATCGAATAAAAACGGCGTCAGCGATGTGTATGAAATGAAGATCGCTGTCATTTTATATGCAAAATTATATGGGAAATGTCATCGATCGTCATTTCATAACCATCGCTGACGCCGTTTTTATTCGATCATACGTTATGAGATAGAGCAAAATACTATGTATCAAAAAAATTACAAATTTCTCGATTATTACAACAGTAATATTTAAAATACCTGTTCACCTGCATATTTTTGAGAAAAACCCTGTTTTCTGATTGGCTATCAGAGAAACTCCCCCTAGCGGACATTTTTCGAACTTGAAAATAATTTCCAGCGATTTCTCTCGGTCGATTTACTTATTAGAATTTTTTTCCCAAAGTTATACGATAAGTAGTTTCTGCGACACAGCCGGCGTCCATTCTTAGTTGGCCACCCGGTACTTACTTCATATACAGCGTCCACGGACAAGAGTGTTCTACCAGTGTCTCTTTCTCGAGAAAAATAATTCACAAGCTTAGCAATGAGCTCTTGTTTTTGATTAAATCTTTGAGGCATTTTTGCAATAAAAAAAATTGAATTTTATTTGACAGCAACAATCAAATTTTAATTTTGACAATGATCGATATCCTTCAATAGAATTATAACCCCAAATCAAATGACAATCACAATTATTAAAATCAATGTGCAATTATTTACAAAATGCCACAATGACGTCATCAATCTGTTTCATCTGGTTGTTAAGTGAAAGAGAGAGTTCGACACTATTGACGTGACGTTGAACAATGGCTGAACATTCTATGCGTTCTGAAATTATTAATTGAGTACATTCCCTTTATATTAAATTCATGTAGGTATGTTAGCCCCTTTGAATAAGAAGACTAAGGAAGGAGCATAATACTATCCATGTATTCATGCATGATGGGCGGAAAAAGGACTCTAGGGTGGGGATCCTTGACAGTGCTGTTTGACGATTCATTTGACACATTTGAATTTGATTTGAAATTTTGTGGATTTGTCAGTCTTTACGGAGCTTATTTTATGTTATTTATTATTTATTCTACTACTGATTAGCGATGGGAACTATCGAATGAATTAGACTATCGAATGGTTACTGAATGAATGATTTCAACTATCGAATGGTTTCATTCGAATAAAATCATTCATTCATTTGTATACTAAAGCATATGTGACAACCTCGCCGTGCGACTAAATGGTTATCGTTAAGCCACGACTATCGAATGCTTTTGATAAATGAAATTTAGTATTCGTTTGATTTTTGTCTGCGTCAGTGCATTATTAGTTCTTCCAAATTTTTATAACTTGCCTTCTAAATACTGTGCTATTTTTGCGTTTATTAAAATATTTAAAATACTAAAGTAGTAGTGTTTTTTTTAATTGACGATTGTGTACGTATGCCGGTGGTCAAAATGTTTCCGAAAATGTGTGTGATTTTCCGATCTTCCAATTATTTAATTTTATACGGTATATGGTCTATTTTTTTAATGTAAAATTTTGAGAAGTAACAATTTTTAAGAGAGATGAGGTGAACTTACAATTAATTTTAAAAATACATATGTATTTGTATTTTAGATAATATGAATTAGTTGGAACTTAATAATCATATTTAAGTAATGTGGTAATGTGGTTAAGTAAATGGTTATCGAACTCAAATTTTGGGATGAGAAAATTAAATTGATTGATTAAAGTTTTACACGTGCCAATTTAAAAAAAAAGTTAACGATATTTGTATTTTGTTTATGCTAATTCTCTTACATGTAGATTTTTGCGGAGAAATATTTAATTTATTTTTTAAAGTAAATGCCAGTAAAAGCAAATATTATTTTTAAATACTAATACAAAGTAATAAAAAGTAATACACATATATAATTTTGATTTCTAATTTTTTATTTATATTTTTCTTCTATTACACTGCATGCTTAGAAAATTAATAAATGTTTATATTTCATGATTTTAAAATTTATTGTTAATATAACGAATTAGTTCTGTAATTATTATTATTTAATAAACCAACGTTGCCAAAAAATTTAGAGACTATATTATTTTTAAATAGGATCTAATATAAATAATTTTGACTTCTAATTTGTTGTTTATATTTTGCTACTACTTAAAAAAATGTTTATATTAAATGATTTTAAATTTTGTTGTTAATAGGTATAACAAATTATTACTGTTATTATTTATTAAACCAGTTTTGCTTAAAAACATTAAAAATCATTTTCCTATATCCAAAATAAAAAGTATTATTGCAGTGTAACAACAGAATATTAATAAAAAAACATGCAAAATATATAGTTATACTATCCCTAACTAACTATAATACCAAAGAATAATATTCTTTGCTAATACCAACTAATACGAATATACGGCAACAGCGCCGTTCATAATGTATTTTCTGTGTAAATACTAGCACCTCAAAAAAAATAATGTGTCCTTATCTTTATCTGAATCAAAATCAAAGATGCCGGCGTTTTTCGTACCATTGCCACCGACCGCCGATCGCTGTCGGGTTTCTAGGAAAGAAACCTACGTCGCCGGGCGATAACTAAAATCCAGTTTATATTTTATTATAATCGATCCTGACGAATAAATGAATTTTACAAAAGAATGAATTTTATAAATGAATGGTTTTTGCTGCCGAATTAATATATTTCAAGGCAGATGACGCATCTATTCGATATTTTTATTCGAATAGTTTTCGACGAATGTTTTCTTACTAGCTATCGAATTATTCGAATGAATTGCAACTATCGAATGTTTCGATAGTATTCATTCGATAGTTCCCACTACTACTACTGATAGTTGTATAAAGGTAGTAAATCAAGATATTTGATATATACTTGCGTATGTTTGATGACATTGCAATATTATGGTACCATGAAGCATATCAAGAGGTACCATAATGTAGTACCATATTACGATACCATTTCCTGGCGATCGATTGGGCTTAAACTTGGTATACTACGGATCTTCGGTGACATTGCAATATTATGGTACCTTGAAGCATATCGAGTGGAGTACAATATTATGATATCATTTCCTGGATTTCGATTGGGCCCAAATTTGGTATACTTGCGTTTCTTTATAAAGATTTGTTGTGTGCTACTGCATTTTAATAAATTATTTCCATTATTATTAAACTTATATTTCATTACTAACGTTCCAAAGGTTCCAGCATTAATAAATATCACTATCAATTGCCCTGTATATTTTTAAAGGTAATTAAAGGTATTTTCTTAGTTAACAATATAAGGTAGTGTATATTAAAAATGTATTTTTTGAGTATATTTTTTGTAATAACATACTTTAACTATACTTAACTATTTTAAAAGCCAAACGAATACTTAAAATAATTGTGTCTGACAAGAAAAGAAGAATAGAAAGAAACTATTATACACCAGAAAAAGAATGGGATGCCAATTAAAGGTCTTTTTGAATCTAGCAACTGTGCATATTTAGGCGAGCTTCAAGGCCGTCGACGTGCCGTCGATCTAAAACCGAAAGTTCAAAATTTCCAATTATATTCTGAGTATGATATTGTCGCGCCATCTAGTATTTTATTTGTTCAATTTTAGCTCTTTCATTTCGAGTATTTTTCTGTTGCGTAGCTAGATATTATTCTGTGCTGTAAGGTTTTATTAAAAAAACTTCAGATGTCCCGTGTAACGTAAAATATAATAAAACATCAGAAAATTCTATACAACATTTTATTAAAACCAACAATTTTTTGATAGAGCTACTTAAATAAATTTGGATGTAAAACATAATTTGTCTTTCAAAAGTTCAAAATAAATTATATTACAACAACTTATTTCCACACTATAAATCAATTTAAAATTAGAACACCTGAAAACTAGAATTGAATTATACAGGATGTAAATAAATAAGGACTTGTTAAAAAATAAAGGGAGGTTTACATATAAAGTTTCATGATGCAACTTTTCCCTACAAAGTTATTTAGTTATATAGGGCGACGATTAGGTATTCCAAAAGCTGCTCGCCTTATACAGGGTTACAAAAGCAGCCGCTCTATCTGTCTAAATTAATTTCGGCGTTACAGTGTTGCCGCTTCCAACTAAAAGTGTGAGGTGAACCGCCTATTTAAAAATAGACATATTTCTTTAAATTCAATACATTCAGTTTTTAAGACACTCTCTATATATAAATAAATTATTGATTTTTAAAATATTATTCGCAAAACCAGAGAGGGAAATCAGGCTACAACCAGAGATAATAGTTGTGAGGTAATAGGTTTTAGAATACCATTCGAGATGCATTGATGTTATTTTGGTTCAAAAGTTTTGTGGCAAAGAATGTTATTAAAGGTAAAGTAAATGTTTTCTCATTATTAACTAAAGCATATAGCTTATTTGTCGGTTTTTAATTTTTTCCTTATAACGGCCTTGTTGAGTGTACTAACATTTTTCGACTGTGCATGGGCGAATATCTTGGCTCGCAAAAGGGCAAACAAAAACAATAAATAGAATAACTCATAGAATAATTTATAAACTAAAGATATTGGCACCAAACCTTCAACTTTAGCTTCGAGACTCGCAACAACAGACCTTAGTACTTGCGGGTGGGGACCTGCTAAAACGAATGTAATAAATGTGGCATGTTTTGAATGTATACAACTACAAACCTTGGTATGACGACAGTTTCTATATTATTATTATCTCTATTTTATTAAAATTCAGGGCAGCATAGTTAGATTCGCTGGAATAGTGATCAGGGTTTTCTCTGCCGTGCTCTTTCACTTGTGAATTCCAGGCAGAGTACGGCACCTTCGGTACTCCTTTCATTTCATTTAATAAAATAAGTAGGGCTATTTACAAATTTGGCGTCTCATTTAAAATTATTTCTGTTTGTTACAAAATCACTCAAATTATTATTTTAAATTTCAACCCTAATAGTGCAAGACGGAAATAAGTCGAAAATATTGTGATTTTGGTTCACTCTATATAACTTACTTTGTGGGAAAACATCACTGGAAAATATTTTATATGAAAAACTCTCCATAATTTTAAACGAGTTTATTAATTCAGTTACACCCTGTATATGTCAAAAACGGTACTATGTAAAATTACATAAGATATCACTTTTTAATAATATAAAACTTAAATTATACATCTTAGACATTTTCACAAAGGGTCAAGTGCACTAATAACTAATAAAAGTCCTTCACTGTATTACTAGTCCATTAAACCTTGAAAACCAAATGTGATACAGTTGTTGTTTTATTTCAGTTACAAATTTGCTATCTCATCAAGATACTAGCAATATTTGATACTTTAACACAGTTTCAAAGATAATTCAATAAACAATTAAAGAGAACTAAGCTTTGTGTTTCATTGATTATTTTTAGAATTGTTTTGCCAATACAATGGTTTATTGTTACCTGATCGTTTTACTGCATAAATAAATTTTCAGCAGAAGGCAATGGAGCCAACCCATCGGTTACATTTGGTAGCTGAGTAAGATCAGGAAGGTTCTGTATGTGCGACTGTAATTCTTGCCTTACAGAATAAATTTTTGATAAAGTTTCTTGATATTCCTACAAAAAATGCAACAGTGAGCAGTACTGCTAACTCCAATTTAAAAAGACAAGGTTATCGAAATTAATCACAAAAGATGGGATGAATTCTTATGGCTGCTCTCGTTATATTCTCTACATTTTTGTTATTAATGTATGACAGGGGTTGATATGTCTTAAACATTTAGATTATTTTTCTAAAAGGTGTTTAAAGGCGTTAAAAAAATAAAACTGGTTAAACATGTTTAAAATTCTGTTTTAAACATGTTTGGTGTATATAGATGTTTTTTTTTTAAATTTAAATTAAACCATAAACATAAACTTTATTAAAAATAAACACACATAAGTTTATAGGCTAAAGAAAAAAAAAATAACTCATAATAAAAAAACCAACTCTGACAACAGAACTAATGAAGCACTTAGCTTTGTTCGGGTTCTTGTTATTACCGATTCTGAACCGTCCTAGAACTCTACAGCGCATGTGTAAATGAAATAACATCTTCATATTTCTATCTGCGCATGCGTATCACAGTTCTAGGACAGTTCGGAATCGGTGAAAAGAAAAACCCGAAGTAAGCTCTTCACTCATTTCATCTTCACCCTGACATGACCTTATATTGGTATGGCTAGGTATTATTTCTATATTTATTATTTTGGAATGGGGTTGACACAAAAAAAAATAAAAAATATATTGACTTACCTCTAAATTTCTTTCAGCTTGAGCTAAAAGTTCATCCTGTACTTGTAAGAAATCCCTCATCATAACAGCAACTTTTTTTCTATGTTCCATTTCAGTCTGTAGTCTCGTATTATATTGACTTAATAATAAAACTGCACTATTTACTTGATTGCTCAATTTCTCAGCAGCTTCCCTATCTAAAAAAGTAAAATGTAAAACCTGAGTACTAAAATTCTTGGCTGCCCATTACCCTCTATTTTAGAAATGATTGCAACATCAGAAACTTCTTTAGGCAAGTGGGCAATTTTTTCTCGAACTTTTTCATCGGATGACGCTATATTTACTTCCAGATCTTGAATTGCTTTAATAAGCTCTTCAGGCTCTGGTGGATCACCTGGAGGTGTATGTGGGCTCAAATGTACGTGTGTTTCCAAAGTCCCATCCACCTTAAATAGGTTCAATTATATGTAAGATATAAAAGTTTAGTTTAGAATAATGTTTATATCTAACCTCGACTGTAACCTCTTTATCCCTTTTCTTTCCTACATCATTTGGCTTTATCTTTTTTAAAGGCGGTTCATCTTTACCTAAAACTATTAAGTATTGTGTTACACAAGTGACATCTTCAAATTTTTCATTATCAACTTACGTAAAGCTGACTTGAATTCCATGATTTGTACTGAAACATAGATTCCTCTATCTTGCCATATACTTAATAACCTATCAAGACTATTTCTCGTTTTCTCATCGCACGCAGACATGTGCTCAAAGGCTTTTTTAAGCAAGGTACCAAATTCCTGACCATATTCAGGACCCTTTTTCCTGCTATTTTGAATAACATCATTAGCTAGATACATAAATGTAAGTTTTCTACTGTCTTTAGCTAAAAATAAAAGAAGTTGTTTTAATTCAGGGCAAATAATTATAACATAATATATAATTAAATAAATGCATATAAAGTTACCTTTTTGAAGTTCCCTTAACCAAATTTTCACAACACTTGAGTAATGTTTCCGATGGTGTATAAGCCATAATGATAAGGTTTGAATACTTTGCGAGGAATTATTTAGTTCTTGCAGTTTTTTAATAAATGCTGATTCTGTAAAACCTCCCGACATTACGCTTATTATTTGGTACACACAATTTTAACAAACGTAAACACAAACCATATCCATTATAAAACATAACCTCAATTTTATTATAAAATTAAATCCATAGATTAATATATCCATATATTATATATGACTAATTCATATCTTTCGTTCTGTGGTATGATTATGGACAGGCATGGAATAGTGAACTTAACTTAAGTAAAGATCTTAGGAATAAATTATTTATTTATTCTATGGTCCCTTATAAATTTTTTTCGTTATTTTAAATTTCAAAATTTCGCTCCCTTTGACTAGTTTGCGGAGATTAGAAATAACAGGTTGCAATAAAAGAACAGATATAATTGGTAAAAATAGTCTAGTGTAAAACATGGGAATGATATGTGTATAAATAGTAAGGGTAAAACATGGTTATATGATATTTTATTACCAAAAAAAGGCCGCTTAATTATAGAATGTTAGAAATTACTAAATTATTTTTTTGATTATCAGAGAGAATATTAGAAATAAAGTTCACATTATATTCTTATCTATTTCGGAATGCGAAATTAATATCTTAAATATCTTTCTGTGAAAATTGTAATTATATCCACAAGATATCCACCTACAATAGGTTTATAAAACCAATCGAAGAAAAAAAAACGGCGTCAGAGTTGGCTTGAAAATATAGATTGCTGTCATTTCATATGTAAAATTTTATGATTTTATGGTAAATGTCATTGATCGTCATTCCCAAGCGAACTCAACGTCGTCTTTTTCGGTCTTAAAAAATATATAATATATAGGAAGAAAATATTGAAGAAATAAAAAGGTATATAGAAAAAGATAAAAAATAATTTTGTATAGTGATATATTTGACAATTAATGGTATTGAAATATCAATACATACATTATATTGTGCCTTATATAGATGTCCACATATCGGAATTGAATAACAAATAATTATATAAACTGTGGTAGAGATCTTTATTTTACAAAAGGTTTTGTTTAAATTTGATGAAATTCACAACACAACGTTTATTTTTTCATATTTAACTAAGACTTCCGTTTTGAATGTATTCATACAAATCTGTGATTTTAATAATTCCTAGAGGATTTTCAGTTTTGGAATATCCAGTTCCTAAAAAATATTTAAATTTAGTAGGAAAATTTATTATAGTCTGCACTGTATGATTTTTTCACCACCTCACAAGGTGTAGAAATAAAATTTTATTTCGGGCTTTATACAGAGTGAGTCTTAAATAAGTGCAAATATTTTCAGGGCTGGTAGATCACGATAAAAGAAGCATATTTTCTCTTTATCGTTTTTCAAAAAGTCCAAAATAATCGAGTTATTTATATTAATTAATTATTAATTAAAAATTTCCAAAAAGAAATATTTTTTGCTAAAATTTGAGAACCACTGGATCTTTTCTGGTTTTTCTTTCTTGTAAATTTAATCTACTAACCAGATATGTTGCCATATTATCAAGAAATTATGTTTTTTAACTAAAAACTAATAAAATTTTCAAAAAAAAAAATTCCGGATTTTCAAAAAAAAAATTTGCTAAAAAAATCATAATTGTGTTGACAGATCTTCAACGATAATATATCAAAATGTGTTTTTTGTTATTAGTCATGCTGAATTGATTCTTCACGAGATTTTTTCGATTGCCAAATGAAAACAAATGTTCCCACTTGTTGCGAACTTCTTAGCACACCTTGTATAAATAATAAAAAAAATACCCACCGTTTGTTTCTGTTACGATGACGTAATGATCCTTTTCTAAAATTCTAGATACCAGTCCGAGGTATCCTGATTTTACGTCTACTTTGGGAAATATTCGAATAGTGCAATCTTGAATTTTATCAGACGGTTTGATATTGTTAGCCAATAAATTATTAATTAAATGTTTAAGGGTAACAGTGCCCAAAATATTTCTGAAAATTAAAAACTACTATAAAAACATGTTATAAATATGACGAAAATACAATGCTCTTTACCCGTCTAATTTTAATACTGCTACCTCTTTAAAATCTTTGTCTCTCATTAAATCTATTACATTTCCGCAAGATTCATTTGCTCTGACTGTATTAACTTTCTTATAATTGATACTTGAAATACTGTCTTTCCACCACCTAAAATTAGTATTATGTTACTACAATAATATATCTAAATGTTTTTGTTCGTTTCTTAAATATTATACCAATGGTTATTAATGTTTTCGCATGATTGAAAACCTCGTGCCTCCATCCAGTGATCTGAAACAAACTTGGTTAGATAGTTTCTGATGCTGTCCGGTATTACTACAACGATGTTAGCGCCTTCCGGCACATCTGTTGCTATTTTGATTGCTGCTGACACCGCTGCGCCACTACTGGTACCTATTAAAAGAAATATTTTTCAGTAAATAGTTATTAAGTGCAGTTTTTATTATATAGGGTGAGCCAGTTTTGAGACGCACCCGGTATATACAGGGTCCGGCAATAGTGCTTCGAGCATCTGTAGCTCCTAAAATAAAAAAAAACTTGGGATTTTTTTTAAGTGCAAACCTAAAGTATGTACTAGGATGTATTTCAGGAAAATATTTTAACTTCTATAGGGTGGCTCCAAAAAGTGTGAGCGGATCGGGATAATTTTTTAAATGGAACATCCTGTATATTATTGCATTTTTGGCTTCCTTTCAGATCACTTTACATCATCCTAAGACATGCGTAAATATGTTTCGATAATTTCAGAGATATCAAAAAATAAATAAAAATTATATATTTTTCAGCCTTTCTTAAAAAAATTATTAATAATACAAGAACTGTCCTGAAATCAAAACTATATTAGATATTTACTTTAGATAGTCTGTAGTTACTTTGCTATAAATATGGAAATCATGAAGCATACAGGATGTTCAAAATTTGCCAAACTTTCTAAAATATAAAATAATTTTTTTTTGTTTTTTTAAATGGAAACCCCTGTATATTATTTTTTCAATAGATGCAGAAATATAAAAATGAACATTTTTTGCATTTAGAGTATTTCAAAATTTTTAACCGTTTCGCAGATATTCCCGGTTTTGTATTTCATATAGCATTTTCCACAGTAAATTTTAATTAAAGCCACCCAATGATTTCTCTCGTATTTTAGCATTGAAAGCCCCCATAATATGAAATAATACTGCGTGTAACCGGAAAACTATTAAAAATTTTGAAATAATTTAAATACAAAAAATGTTAATTTTTTAATTCTCCATCAAATAAAAAAATAATATGTTCCATTTAAAAAAAAAACGAAGAAAAATTATTTTATATTTTTGAAAGTTTGGCGTAAAATATTGAACATCCTGTATCATTTACGATTACCATATTTATAGCAAAGTAAGAACAGTCTATCTAAAGTAAATATCTAATATAGTTTTGATTTCAGAACAGTTCTTGTATTTTTAATATTTTTTTTAAGAAGAGTTGAAAAATGCATATTTTTGATTTATTTTTTAATATCTCTGAAACTATCGAAATAGATTTACTCATACCTTAGGATTGTGGTGTACCATTTAAAAAAAAATCGTCCAGATCCACTCACATTTTATTTTCAGTAGTAGTTATAAAAATCATTTTTGTTTAAATCTGTCTCAAATAGTTTCTGAAAAAACATTAATTTTTTTTAAAGGTCCGATTAAATTTATATCTCCAAAACTAAAGTTTCAAAAAAAGTCATACTATATTAGAAATTCATTTACCCAGTAGTAGTTATAAAAAGCAATTTTGTTAAACTCTGTCTCAAATAGTTTCTGAAAAAACATTAATTTTTTTAAAAGGTTCGATTAAATTCATATCTCCGAAACTAAAGTTTCAACCTGCAGAAGTTAAAATATTTTGCCATGCACTATTGCCAGATCCTGTATAAAGAAATATTTCAATTGTGATTTTCTTGGGTATAGGTTTCTTTATTAAACATTAAACGATTTATGGATGTTTTTAAATCATTTATTTGTCGATGTTTCGATTTTTTATGCAAATCTTTCTCAAGATATCTCAGATGTTGTTTTGGCCGTTGAATTCTTATATTAATCACTCAATCATTTTTTTTCGACGCGGCAAATAAATGATTAGAATCATGCATAAATCATTAATTTTTAATAAAGAAACCTATACCCAAGAAAATCACAATTGAAATATTGAATAAAGGTTTAAGAAAAAAAAAGATATCTAAAGAAATATTTACCGCAAAGAATTCCTTCTTCTCTAATAAGTCTTCTGGCCATAGTTAAGCTATCTTGATCATTTGTTTTCACCCATATGTCGGCAGCATTTTGATCTAAAGATGTAGGAACGAAATCGTACCCCAAACCTTCGACTTCGAAGAATGTGACGTCAGTTTTGTTGAGATAATCGGGAACAGCGAAAACCGACCCCTCGGGATCCAAGCCGACTATCGTGGTTTGCGGAGATTTTTCTTTGATTTTTCTACTGATTCCTGTCAGGGTTCCACCTGTTCCGGCACCTAAAACCTTATAATTACATCAGTGGCGCATCTAGAGATTGGGTGGGGGGTAGTGGCAATATTTAAGTAATGTATTATGTTTAAATTAAATTTGCACTGAGAGGTAGTGTGACTGTGGCAAAATATAATATAATTTTATATTAATTAATATAAATATATAAACAAAAAAATTAAAAAATTTAACAATTATTTCTTACATATTAGAAACATAAATAAACAAAAATGGCAAATAACAAATTTATAACGAAAACTTTAAATCTCAAAAACGCAAAAATAAATATTTTCTTGAGTAATCATATTCGCAAAGCCAGGAAACAAAATAAAAAAAAATTATAAAGTAAATTCAAGTCGTCTATTTTTATTATTGGCAAATCTGGTTATTATATTGTCTACATTGACTTGAAAGTCTCTATGTATAGCCAAGCCAAGTTTTAAGGCGCCGAAGAGAGGAGAAACTTCTTTCTGCTGAGGATACACTGACAGGTAGGGCGAGCAAAAATTGTAGGCTTTTTTTTATTAGAGGAAACATGTTCTCATCACAGGACGAATATAAGCTCATGACATCATTTCCACTTTTTTGTACCGTCTTTCAGATACTAAATTCGGATTTTAATTTTAAAAGTAATAAATCTTTATTTTGGTTGTTTTCAACTTTGCTTAAATACCCCGCAACTAATTGAATCGACTGGATAATTTCACAATCAGCCTTTGAATTAAAAATTGAAGGAACAAATATATTAAAATCGTAGGTATTTAAAGATTCCTCGTTAAATCGAAATTGAAGATCTTGTAATACATTATCTAATAAAGGAATATATATATATATATATATATATATATATATATATATATATATATATATATATATATATATATATATATATATATATATATATATATATATATATATATATATATATATATATATATATATATATATATATATATATATATATATATATATATATATATATTAATTCTAAAATAGGAATCGATAGTTTCTGCAGATATATTCGGGCGATGCGTTTGTCTCTGGGTTTTTATGAATATCTGAAACTAAAGAAAAGACGGATCTAAAATAGGTTTCGGAATTTTGACGTCTTTCTTTTAAAACTCTAATAATATTTTGTATAAGCGTAGTTGCATATTCGCGACTTCGTTCGCAATATTTTGCTTAAATTTACGGTTAAGGCTAAAATGTCAGAAAGAGAACATAAAGAAACTATAAATATGGTAGAAGAAATAGCATTCATTAAACATTCTGCTTTTGAAGAAGCTTCCCGATCTTTCCAATGAGAAATGATATTAAGCAGGTGTACAATGATATCAATAGTACTTTGAAACTGAAGAACGGATTCGTGGCGTTCAACTCATCTGGTCTCACAAAGACTTTTTAGTTGACCATGACCATCTAACTTTCCCTTAAGTAGAAAATTGTTTTTGGCGGAAGCTTTAAAAAATGAACATACTTCTTTTATAACGCCAACAGTATTTCTAACAGCTTGAACATTTGAGCACTTTGAAATAGACAGATTAAGAGAATGGGTAGTACAAGGACTTTTAAGAGCATTTTGTAGTTTTTTTTTTAGTTCGGTATCAGCACCTTTCTGTTCACCAAGCATTAAGTTGCAAGTATCGGTTCCGATTCCTATACACATATCGGGATTTAAATTAATTTTTTAATAAAATTAAATACAATTTGGGCCAAAACTTCACCATTAACTGTTGGTTCCATTGTATGTTCATCAAATATTGCGTGGCAATCAACATTTAATATCTTTATCATTTTTTTTATGAATTGAAAACGGGTATGTAAAATTTTGTTCGGGGACCATAGAGTACATTAAAACTGAATATTTTTCCTGCGGTGTAATTATATTAGAGGTATTGACAAACGGTGCAATATCTACCGATTTTTTATAGCCGTGTAAAACGTTTAAATTAGTATTGGCAACACTGTTACTAATGCTGCTGCACGCGGAGCGAGCGCTATTTTCGGTGGTTTGTAGGCTCGTGCTCGAGCCTGCCCCGTTCTCAGAACTGCGACTGTCGCCAGCGGCACGACAAAAGAACCAATCAGATTTGTAAAAAACAGCTGTCAATTTTAAATTTAGTACAGCTCCCATTGGTCGTTTGAAGTGTCAATCAGTGTCGCTGTCGACACGACGCAGTTCTGAGAACGGGGCTTTAGGGTAGGGCACAAACATAGTGAGGCATCTCGATGCGATGCTCGCCAAGATGCTGGCCGCGCTGCTCGCCAGGATGGTAGCCGCGATGCATCCTACGCGCACTGTTTTCAAACGGCGAATATGTGCGCGTAGGCATACCATCGCCGTTTTATTAAGCACCAGTTTATGTAATAGTAGTTATTAATTAGTATAGGCTTGGTGCATTTCAGTTGATTTCAACAAATTCCTACCGCAGCGAGTCAATGGCAAAAATCAGAAATTATCCCTATTTATCCCTATCTATTTCACGTCGCCGTCATGTTGATCGCATAGAATAATATCAAAATAGTGGTTTTCAACTTCTTTTTGTGGAAGTCACTTCGAAAATTTTGGTATTTGGTTGCTACATTAAGTTATACCAGCAAAAAAAATTAAGGTGTAATTAAAAATAAGATGTTTCCTCTCGAAAACGGTAAGTAGCTAAACGACCAGTGAAGCCTGTACGGTTAGAGTTAACGGAGCCAAACGAAGCTCTATATTCGCCCCATTTAAACTGTGTTTCGAAAATGCCTAGTCTCCAAGATATTCAATTTGAAAGATTTCAATTGTCGATTTTCTGAATATAACCTTTGAAAAAAATCTAATTTTTTATTTATTAACTTTTTCCACTTTTCTTACCTGGTACGGTTGGAAGACGTTTAATGTAAGAATTATAGATACAATAGACCATTCCAGAATGACGTCACTGACAGGTCGGCAAAATTTGCTGGGAGGCACACAAACCAATTAATTTTCACGTTATCCATATATAAACACAATAATCCAAGGTTTAAACGAACATAAAACAGTGAAAAATGCCTAATTTTTGTTGTGTTATTAAGTGTTTAATGCGTGATAATGTCTAATTTTTCCCAAATCATGCTGCTTTGACCAACAGAGGAAATTATTTAAATGTATTATCTAATGTTCGAAGAGAAGTGTGGTTAAAAGCTTTGAAATGAAAGGCCCTGTATGAAAGTGAGATTAAAAAGAAACGAATTTGTTCCAAAGACTTTAAAACTGGTAAGTGCGTTTTGCAAAATTATCATTTATTGAGTTTAAATTAGCTAAAAATACGTTTTTGTTTTTAAGACGAATTATGTTAGGAGATAAGTCTAATTCAGCCAAAATTTGGGATATTCTTCTTGTCTCCAACTACTTCCTGTCTTCAACCCTACAAGTCATCTTCTAGATTTGGCAGATTAAGAAAAAGATTTAAAAATGAATCAGAGGTTTGTTATTTATACTAAAATATATATATAAGCGTATAAAGTATTTTTATTTTTAGTTAAAGATGTTGCTATAAAAGATGAAAATCGACCAGTGAATTTTCATAATCCTGCAATTGTTAATCAACTTTATTCAATTTAAATCGTCTGAGATAGAAGACGATAAACCCAAATACATGACAAGGATTGCACTTCTGGAAGATCAGCTGAATAAGAACGATAACAGGGCTGCGTTCAGATCAAATATAATACCAAGAATATTTTTCATGAAGTCTCGGCTATATGCCTATAATACAAGAACTGTGGATTTTGAAATAGATATCAGCTGAGCCTCTATGAGAAGGGTCCTTGGTACATGAGTGTAAGTTGTTTAATAGGTTGCCACTTGAAGTCAAGTTAATAGAAGTAAAGAGTAGTTTGAGACAGAAGTAAAGAGTAGTTGCACAATTGAAAAATTTGTTAATTTGATATAGAGCCATATCTCTCAGATTTCCTGTAGACAAGTCAATAAATATTGTGTGACGTCATTTCATTTTCTGTATATACTATTTTGTATTTTTATATTTGTATGTTACATTCCTTGAAGTAAAGATTATTATTATTATTAACCACTAAGAAATGTAGATTTGTTTAAATATAATACGATTTAAAAAAAAATATGTGTCTATTTTTAATAGTATAAACCTTGGTTTATAAAGTTTAAATATTATAAATTTTAAATATCTGAAACATCAATCCATGAGTTAAACCTGGAAGAAAAGCCTAACCACTTCACATAAAATTGTTTATTATTTTTCTGGTGGTGACCTAGCATTATTTCAACTAGATCAATACCAGGAGACTTTGTCTTCTGTAATTCGGCCTCATAAAAATACCCCTTAATTGGTTGACCTACTGATTCTAGGATAATTAAAACTGAGGATTAAAGAAAATTAAGAATTAAAAAAATATGTTTATAACGCTATAAAAGACTAAAAACACAAAGCAATGAATGCAAGTTAATGGTTTATATGTGGTTTATATAACGGTTTGTATGCCTCCCAGCGAAAATGGCGGATCTATCAAAGTCACGTGTTCTGGAATGGTCTATTTGATCCCCTTTTTAGGTTATGTTGTATTTTAAAAAAATTGCCGAAAATGAAATGAAAATTAAAAAAAAAAAAATTCTTACCCTGTATGTATTTTTTTGGCAAACTGTGTATACTAAAAAAATTAACTAATCATTTTGCATCGATCTACGCCCAAATATCTTTCAACAACGGAATAAGTGAAAAAAGTTCAATATTGGCCGGGAAAATTTTTTGGAAACTTTCCTTTTTTCAACTTTTTTTTAGGGTGTCTACCAAACCCTTCAATTCTAAGAAACCATTGATGCACCGTCGGATAGACGACTGAATATCTCGGAAATATCTCGGAAAGGGTAAATAGCTAAAAGACCAGTGAGGCCTCTACAGATATAGCTAGTGGATCCCTATAATCGCCCTATTTAAACTGTGTCTCGAAAATTTCCAAAAATTTTCCCTGCCAAAATGGAGTTTTTTTTCACTTATTACGATTTGAAAGATTTTTGGACGTGGATCGATGCAGAATGAATAGTTAAATTTTTTAGTATACACACTTTGTCAAAAAAGTACAAACAGGGTGAGAAAAAAAAAACGATTTTTTCATTTTCAGTATCTTTTTTTAAATACAACATAAAGAAAAAGGCCTCTAAAAAGAAGGCCAAATTGCATTTAGAATTCTTACATTAACGTCTTCTAACCATATGAGGTGAAAAAAGTGGAAAAAGTTAACAAGTAAAAAACTCGATTTTTTTCAAAGGGGTATCCAGGAAATCGACAATCGAAATTTTTCAAATTAAATATCTCGGAAACTCGGCATTTTCGAAACACAGTTTAAATGGGTCGAATATAGAGCTCCACTAGCTCTATTTGTAGAGGCCTCACTGGTCATTTAGCTGCTTACCTTTTTCGAGAGGAAGAAACATATTATTTTTATTTACACCTTTTTTTCTGCTGGTATAATTTAATGTAGTGACAAAATGCCAAAATCTTCGAAGTGACTTTAACACTTAATTTCAACTTTAACACCTCAAAAATCATTTAGAATCATAAAAAAGATCCCCTTCTTAAAACACACGGATTTTGGTAGCTCGAGCGGACTGTTAGTATTTCTTTTATTTAATTTGTTTCATATTAGACAGTAAATAAAACATTAAATAAATTAATTTGCTATTTTCCTTACCAGGTAATCAACTTTATGATTGCATTGATCCAATATCTCCTCAGCGGTGGTGTCGTAGTGTGCCAGCGGATTTCCCGGATTCGAAAACTGGAAAATGGAAATATCGTATAGGTAGATAACTCCAGTAATTTAATAACTTACCTGGTCCAGTATTAGAGAATCGGGAATTTCGTTGTGTAATCGATTTGCTACGCCAAAAATTCCCTCGGTAGAATACGAGTCGGCTGTGATTGGTGTCTTAATCAGTTTTGCTCCTAATGCTGTTATTACTGCCACTTTCTCGTTCGACATCTTTTCGCTCATGACTATTATACACTTGTATCCTGAAAAAAATATATACAGTATATACTAACATTATTTATAGTTATTGCCTATATTTATTTAGCAAATTTGTTCAGCATATTTATGGTAGACGATTTTAGATCTTCCCAATCAACCATTGCCATTACAAACATTAAATTTATTGTCGAGATTGAAGAATACAGGGTGGTCCGAACTGTATTTTAGAAACTTCGGTAGCATATTCTGCAGATAAAAATAAGTAAAAAAGTTCGTATAAATGTATGTCCTAAAATGCTTAGTTTCTGAGATATATGGTGTAGAAATTTTTATTTCGATTTTTTCCAAATAATTTTTGAAGTAACGTTAATATTGGGATGAAAATTGGTATCTGGGAGTTTTTTAACATGAGAAATTTGATTTTGATATCAATATGATTCGTACTTATATGTAGAGGGCGCCACCTACATACTTTTTAACTGCTTTGAAGAGTAATAACTTTTCGTCAGTACGTGTATAAAACTACTGAGTAAAAAATATACATTTACCATATTTTTTACGTAAAAAAGGTCTCTTGCTAAAAATCGCTACGAGTAACGGACCTCGAGATATTTGGAATCGAAATTATCAATACCTGTCATCATTGACACAAGTTAAGCATGTTGATTAAATAGTTGTTAGACTTAAATCATAAATTTGAATTTTTTTGTGCCAAAAGTTCAACAGAGACTGTCTTATCATCATTTTTTCGAATAAAAATTTATTATCAATTAAAAACATTAAATTAAAAAGTTATTTATCAAGAAATTTATCAATTCAGCCAAATAATTATCTAGTGAACATGTTTATTTTTTGTCAATATTGACATGTATTGACTACTTCCATTGAAATATCTTGAGAGCGGTTGCTTGTAGCGATTTTTACCAAGAGCGATTTTTATCCAGACACATTATTTACGTAAAAAATCACGGAAATGTATATTTCTTGACTTAGTAGTTTTATACAGGCACGGACGAAAAGTTATTATCCTTTAAAACAGTTAAAACACATGTAAGGGGCGCCACCTACAAATAGGAGTCATACTAACATTAAAATCAAATATTTCATGTCAAAAAACTCCCAGACACAAATTTTCATCCAAATATTGACGTTACTTCTGAAATTATTTGGAAAAAATTGAAATAAAAATGATTTCTACACCCTGTATCTCCGAAACTATGCATTTTCGGACATACATTTATACGAACTTTTTTTACTTATTTTTATCTGCAGAATATGCTGCCGAAATTTCCGGAATACAGTTCGGACCACCTTATAATTCTTTTCTTGTTATTCTTAATCAAGGAGCATTAAAAGCGATCAACTCAGTCAATACAAAGTTGATGAAAGAATGACTAGAGAAGCCGAACAAATTAGACAAAGAAAATAATCCTCCTATTCTATGTGCCAGCCCACCAAAGGATAGAAGGTAATGAAAAAGCAAAAAGCAAACGATCTAGCTAGAAAAGGAGCAAACAGTCCACTAACTGGATCTCCAACTCCCAGTGGATGATATTCCAAGAATTTACAACTTTGAGAAACACCTCACTGTAGTATTGAGTAATAAAAATTATTGGAAGGAAGAAACGCTTACTCAGCATATAAAAGACCGTACCATAACGTGGTATACTGATGCTTCTAAAACCAAAGCAGGAGTATTTGGGCCGAAAACTAAATACTCCGAACCAATGTACCCCAGTATCCTTCATGCAGAAATTTACGCTATCGAAAGATGCGTACAATTTATCTTAGATGGGAACTATCGAAAACAGGGAATTGTCATCCTATCCGATAGTATCCGATAGCAGCACTTAACGCGATCAACTCAGTAACCATCAATTCGGAGTTGGTTAAAGAATGCCTAGAGAAGCTCAACAAATTAAGCAAAGAAAACAGAGTCATCATACTCTGGGTGTCTGCTCACCAAGGGATAGAAGGCAATGAAAAACCAAATGATCTAGCTAGGAAAGGAGCGAACACTCCACTAACTGGACCAGAACCGTTCTGTTTTCCAAACGGGAACCAACTGAAAGCGCCACTGAAGAATCTGGAAGACTCCATCCGTAACTTGGAATGGGTGTCCTCCAACGGTCTAAGACACTCGAAAAAGTTCTTCAGAACTTATGACCGAGAAAAATGAATGATGTCTTCGGATTGTCACGGGGTTTCTAACAGGACACTGTCTCCTCAACGAACACCTCAGTAGGCTGAAGCTGAGAAACAACGGCGAATGCAGATTCTGTGGGGAAAATGGAGAAACACCAGAACACCTTATCACTGAGACCGCCTAACCATTCGTGCCATGAACTTTGGTACGGCTGATGTCGAGGATGGAGAGCTGGCCTCTGAGGATCCGTCTCAGATACTGGCTTTTGTTAAAGTCCTGATACTGTATGATGAGTTATAACTCGTTTTAACTCAAGAAAGGGGAACACACAATATATCTATAAGGACACGGTGATTAACTCCCCTCCTAAACATTCTATATTCTACATTTTAACTGGATCAGAACCGTTCTGGTTCCCAAGTGAAAACCAACTAAAAGCGGATCTCAAGAACCTGGAAGACTCCATCCGTAACCTGGAATGGGAATTCTCTCTATTGCCACCGAGAAAAATCAAAGATTTTCTTTGATTTAAGATGATCTTCGGATTGTTACGGCGTTAGGGGTTTTAACCTCAATGAACATCTCACTAGCATGGTGATTAACTCCCCTCCTAAACATTCTATATTCTACATTCTAACTGGATCAGAACCGTTCTGGTTCCCAAGTGAAAACCAACTAAAAGCGGATCTCAAGAACCTGGAAGACTCCATCCGTAACCTGGAATGGGAATCCTCTCTATTGCCACCGAGAAAAATCAAAGATTTTCCTTGATTTAAGATGATCTTCGGATTGTTACGGCGTTAGGGGTTTTAACCTCAATGAACATCTCACTAGATTGAAGTTAAGAGACAACAGCGAATGCAGATTCTGTGAGAAAAATGGGGACACACTAGAACATCTCATAACTGAATGCGCCGAGACGACAACCATTCGTACCATGACGGTTGGTTTTGTTTGGTTTGGTATGACAATTTGGTTACTTAAAACTAACCAACATTCGCGGAAACCGGTATTAAGGATATTCGGAAACAAAGACGCAAGACAAAAAATACCTTTAATGGCCGAAGCTAATGCCACTCCGATTCCAGTATTTCCAGAAGTAGCTTCAATGATCGTCATCCCGGGTCTTAAAAGTCCTTGTGCCTCGGCATCTTCTATAATTCTTTTTGCTATTCGGTCTTTAACCGAACCTCCTGGATTGAAGTATTCCAATTTTGCATCTATAATTAGCAAAAACAAGAAGATACTTTTACTACATAACAACGATATACTGTGTGTTGCATCGCCGACTTGGACATAGGAAATCACATGTAAATTTTAAAAATGGTGAATAAGTTTTCCCCATTTTATTTTACACAAATATTTATTTGAAATTTATTAAAGAACTCCTTAAAATGAAGCAAATTTTTCATTTTGAAAGGTTTATACGAATTCGTTCTTGTGTTATGAGAGATACTGAAATACTAAATTTTTTGGCAAACATTTAAAATAATGCGGTCCTGATCAAACGAACATAACAATCACAAGTTATGTCACAATATGTCAAATCTATTATGATTTTCTTCTACAGAGATCTGTCAAAAATATTATATAAAGTTATACTCTGTTTTTTTTCTCAGGTAAGATTTCGACAGACGATGACAGAAGAAAAGCAGATGACGTCCCATACCAATCTATTTATTTTACTAAAAAAAGTTTCTAATAATTTTTAAGTTATCTATGGATGGGTTTAAATATAAATCCGTCATGCGTCGTGTCTTCTTGTTTTTAACCAGTTTTATTGGTTTATTTAAAAAATGACAGATCGTATTTCAATTTTATTGGTTTGACGGAACGATGAACGACAAACGGACGCCGATGCGTATGAACTCGCCTTTAGATTTTTGTCATTTTTGACGCTTGTCAAAGTCTTGCCATGATAAGGATCAAACTAAACACATACTAAAAACTGGAGTATAGTCTGTAAAATGAATAACTTTGAAATTGACAGTTCCCGCGGGCTTTTCTAGTGTTAATTTTATTAGGTTAGCAACTTGCGGCCATGCTGACGCAATGCCGTCTCTAATAGAACAGCCGCCGACCGAGATTTATGACGTCACGCTAGTTAGATACTAGAGATTAATAAATATGTTTATTGGTATTATGGTATATGTATTGGTATGGAATACATGGAAAACATAATTATTCCTCGTATTTTTGGTTTGTATTTTAAAAGTGATATAGTTTACATGAAATATACATAATATACAGTTAATAAATACAATATATGTATACCTATTTATAGTAATAAATACTTTGGCAGATAAACTATGAACCATACAAATGCAGCAAATGTTTTACAATATGTCTGAAATCGTACTCCATAGTCAATGTAGATAGTTTTTGTGTTAAGAATAATAATTTAAAATAATATGTGGTCATCTTTTGACAAGTTTATATTAGTTTATTAATTGCAGTAAACATTATAATATATAAATAAATTTTGTGAATGCAAATAATAATACATCACTATTAGTAGATTGAATGTGTTTTGTTAAATTAGATCGATTTTCGAACCCCAAAATTTAAAATATCTTTTACATTTTACCCATTATCTTATGTACCACCTATTCATTATTTGTATATTGTAAAACATTTGCTGCATTTGTATGGTTCATAGTTTTATTTGCCAAAGTATTTATTACTATAAATAGGTATATATTATATTGTATTTATTAACTGTATATTATGTATATTTCTTGTAAACTATATCATTATTAAAAATCAAACTAAAAATACGAGGAATAATTATGTTTTCCATGTATTCTCCAACATATTTATTAATCCGTAGTATCTAACTAGCGTGATGTCATAAATCTCGCTCCGAGGCTGTTCTATTAGAGACGGCATTGGTCTAATATTTAGAAATGTCAAAAGCTGATGACATTTTACTTTTGTCCATTATGACATTTCGTGTTGATTTTTGCAAGAACTGTCACTTGTTTTATTATTTTTCTTTTCTATTTCACGAAAGTAAAAGAGTTACCTATCTGATTCGTTCAGGCACTCAATTTAAAGAATATCAGTAACTGTTTTAACAGCGGGATTTTATATATGCCATGTTGGTAAAAAATAACGGTCAAAATTCAAAGTTATTCATTTTATAGACTATAGCTGTAAAATATCGACATCACACGATAGGTAAATAATGGATTTTAGTACTGCAGGAAAATATTGTCAAAAGGTACTGGTTTAAAAAAATTAAGATTAAAGTTAATTAATCAACCTTTAAGGTATAAAATTTGGTAGGTGTTATTATTAATAAAATAGTTTGTTTTATTTACCTATGTTGTTTTATTTATTCCTGTGGAATATTACAAATTTGTATTTTTACATAAGTTATATTGATAAATATAATCATAAATGCGGGTAGATTCATAAAGCTTGAAAGTAAATAATAGTTCTTTTTCATATTTTTTTGGTATGTAGTGTCTTGTTCTTGTTTGTTTTGTATTAACACATACCGTTTTTATTAAATAAAATAACTCGATTACATTTTTTCAGTTTTATACAGTTTTTTCACAATATTTTGAAGTAATCACTTGTCATCTTGTCAATCAAATTTTAAATATATCGCTATGCGTTCCAGTTGTACCAACTTATTTCTTTGTAAAATAAAATAAACTACTTTGAAATTTAAATGACAGACACATCTATCACTGTCAAGGATCTTCTCGTTGGACAGACTATATTCCTGGTCCTGATCAAACAAACAAGACAATCTCAAGTTATGTCACAATATGTCAAATCTATTATGGTTTTCTTCTACAGAGATCTGTCAAAAATATTATCAGTTATTCCTGGTCCTGATCCAATAATTATCAGTTATATTATCTATGAAAAGTTACAAAAAGTAAACATACGAGAATAATTCTTAATATTGTTACGTTTTTCGTCGGTTCCGTGTGGATAGAAAGTCACAATTTATTTAAACACAATTTATTTACACTAAGTAACAAACAATAACGATTAAAAGACTTAAAGAACTGTTTACACACTATGTAGTTATAACTATTTATCTAGAAAGAATTTATTTTGAATTTAGCGCAGCAGCTGTACTCGTCTATTTATTTCTGTCCTCTTCAGGCCACAGCCGCCGGTTTATATACCCACAGCTAAAGAGTTTCTCGAATAATCCATAGATCATTAGGTGCATAGAGAAGGTTTCGAATGTTCTCTTATGTACCATTGCGATAAAAAAAGAGTAGTACAACAAAATAGGATTTAATCTGCTGGTCTATAATAAAATATTTTCTTTCAACCTGATAAATCAGTGTCATCAGAATTTTTATACTTTTATTTCGCCACGTATAGAAATCCATGGTAACGCCTAAAAAGTTAGGTGGCATAATTATATCATATCATATTATATCGGTGGCATATCGATATCCTTATAGACCAGGAGTTCTATATGGGACTACTAGTTCTTGTACTACTTTTTTTTGATCGCAATGGTACTATTCAATTCCAGTGGAACTCGATTGTTCTCGAACGTTCGAATGAATCATTACGGTGTCTATTCTTATTAAAAAATTGAATTTGAAGGTGGTATGTTTTTTATTCTAATCAGGACCGTATTATTTTTTTGATTAATTTAGTATTTTTGTATTTCTCATAACTCAGGAACGAGTTCGTATAAATCATTCAAAATTTGCTTCATTTTAAGGGGTTCTTGAAAAAGTTTCAAATACATTTTTCGGTAGAATAAAATGGGGAAAACTTATTAATCATTTTTAAAAATTTACATGGGATTTCCTATGATCAGATCGGCGATGCAACAGACTATATATGAAATTAAAAATTGTTTATATTTCTTCGAATTTTATAAGTTTTTTTTTTAATTAAAATGAGTCAGTCTTAATGATATATGGTACCTATAAATTTTTGCGTTTTCCTAATTATGTCACGCGATTAACCTAATAAACGTCAGATAAAGGTACGTAAACGGGTCACGGACGTAAACATATTTTTAATAGATATAAAATATATTTAAAAATATTATAATAGATAATAATATAATCCACTTCCTATACTAATTAATAATTACTAATTTATGAGATAAAAGGATTAATTTTAGAATTATATCGAAAATCTTGCGAATTATATTTGTAATAAGATACTTGCGTATAAAATAATTAGGAAATTAAATTATCATTAAATTAAATAAAAAATTATAATCTTAATTAAGATAAAGTCTTTCGACCAAGTGAAGAGAAAATTTTGGTAGACGACATCAAATGGTAGAAAATACCATGTATTTTTGTACTGAAATGACAGACAACTGTCACATATTTTCTCGTTGGACAGACTATACAAATAAGTCGGTATATAAATCAGATTAATGTTTTATATTAAAACTTTTCAAAATAAGATGGGATTTATAACCATTCGCGCGTTCTTTTACAAGAGACTAGAAAAAAGTACTAAATGCTAGAAGGACCATTTTACAAAAATAAAATCAGTTGTCGTTGGAGTTAATAAAATGTGTCCAATGATGTAAATTGTGTCCAATGAACTTATTTTGATTCGAAAAATACGTATTATTTCTATGTTCACGGAATATTGGTGTGATACTCAGTATATTATTTATATTCGGCAAAAAAATTGCAACTAAAGAACACAAATATTTTTTAACATATGATGGAGATTTTGAAATACGTAAGATTGGACAAGGCGCAGATGGGACACAGCATTGAGTATTGTGCATGTTTGGCTATCGTTTCAATGATAGATGATCATATGATCATGTTTTATTTGTTGAGAAATATACAGGGTGGTCCGAATTGTATTTCGGAAACTTCGGTAGCATATTCTGCAGATAAAAATAAGTAAAAAAGTTCGTATAAATGTATGTTCTAAAATGCTTAGTTTCGGAGATACAGGGTGTAGAAATTTCATTTTTATTCCGATTTTTTCCAAATAATTTCTGAAGTAACGTCAATATTTGGATGAAAATTGGTGTCTAGGAGTTTTTTGACATGAGAAATTTGATTTTGATGTTAATATGACTCCTACTGGTAGAGGGCGCCACCTACATATTTTTTAACTGGTTTGAAGAGTAATAACTTTTCGTCCGTACCTGTAGAAAACTAAAAACTACTTAGTAAAAAAATAAACATTTACGACGTTTTTTACTTGAAAAGGGTCTCTTGGTAAAAATAACTACGAGTAATGGTTTTCGAGATATTTGGAATCGAAATTATCAGTACAACTTAACAAGTATAGCTAGAGACGTGAGAAATATAAGATAACATGCGACCGGTGCTATCCCCAAGTCTCTTCCTATATTGTACAACTGTACCTGTCATCATTGCCATAAATTAAACATGTTGACTAAATAGTTATTGGACTGAAATCATAAATTTCAAATGAGTTTTTTTGTGTCAAAAGTTCAACAGAAACTGTTTTATGATCATTGTTTACAGAAAAATTTATGATTAATTTAGAAAAATAAAAATTTCCCAAATTTATTATTTCAGTGAAATAACTATCTACTCAACGTGTTTATTTTTCGTCAATAATGACATGTATTGACTATTTTCATTCTAAATGTTTTAAAAACGGTTGCTCATAGCGATTTTAACAAAGAGATATTTTTTACGTAAAAAGTCACAGAGATGTATATTTTTTTGCTCGGTAGTTTTATACAACAGACAAAAAGTTAATACGCTTCAAAACAGTTAAAACACATGTAGGTGGCGCCCTCTACTAGTAGGAGTCATATTGACATCAAAATCAATTTTCTCATATTAAAAAACTCCCAGACATCAATTTTCATCCAAATATTTACGTTACTTCATAAATTATTTGAAAAAAATCGAAATAAAAATGAAACTTCTACACCCTGTATCTCCGAAACTAAGCATTTTAGGACATACATTTATACGAACTTTTTTTACTAATTTTTATCTACAGAATATGCTGCCGAAGTTTCCGGAATATAGTTCGGACGGTAATAAAAGGTACATACTAATAATAATATCATGTGTATTTCAATTCACTTACATATATTGCACTTAATCCCGGCTTTTTTTGGTATTGAATTCAATTTTACCATGGGTGTGTTTCCTATTAAAGACAGAACGTTGGGCACAATTTTCTCGGTCCTTTTCCTAAAATAGAAAAATGTTAGGTACCATTTTTATTAAGGTAAGTAATTCAATATACAGGGTGGCCTATCGAAAACGTTCCGCAAGGCATAACGGCTAGGGTATTTGTTTTTTCAAAAAATCCAAAAACACGTCAATTTTGTTTGTGAGGGGGACAACTTTTGCTCTAAAAATGATTGCAAAATCTTGAACCCTCTAAGCGAGGGTGTTATCCCCCAACTTTTTTCAAATGGGAAGGGGGGTGAAGTGGCACCGCAATGAAGAGGGCTTTCTATTCTCTATATTTCCCCGCTTCGTTTTTAAAAATCGGTCGAGTCATTTTGAAAATATGAAGGATTGAAATTTGAAAAGTATTTTTTGCAAAAAACGCATAAATTGAATTAATTAAAAAAAACTTACCTAATTAATGAAGCAAATGCTGAAAATGTTGCCCGCCAGCCTCCATACAGTAATACAAATTATTTTCAAACCGTTCTCGAACATTCTGAATAACTTGCGGGGTCACTTCGCGACAAACATCAATAATTCGTCTTCGCAGGTCTTCTAATGAGGCGGGTGAAGTGCTATACACTTTACTTTTTATGTATCCCCATAGAAAAAAGTCTAAAGGAGTCAAGCCGGGTGACCGGGGAGGCCACTCAACTGAACCCTTCGTCCTATCCACCGACCGGGAAAGTTATGTTTAATTAAATGTTTAAATAATTACGCACATTTTGAGAGTAATGTGGAGGCGCACCGTCTTGTTGAAATATTAGTTCCGCTTCAACGTATCCAGGATTGTTCTCTATGATGTCAGTTAGGGCTGGGTCGATGGTATTTTCCAGTAAATCCAAGTACATATCACCATAATTGTTAAAAAGTTTAACGATATTGAAAAGAACTTCAACCGCTTCGACGCACAAGTCACAGAACAGCTATCTAGCAACTACTGCACCTGATCGTTCAACCTTCTGACAAGGGAAAAAATGCGTAAACATCTAGAAATAATAAGAAAAAACTGCAAATTGGTCGAAGGAATTTATCCTTATCGTTACTCTGATAAATGTTTAAATCAAATTTTCAAATTTCAATCCTTCATATTTTCTCAATGACTCGACCGATTTTCAAAAACGAAGCGGGAAAGTATAGAGAATAGAAAGCTTTTTTCATTGCGGTACAACTTGAACCGCTTCCCATTTGAAAAAAATTGGGGGATGACACCCCCGCTTAGAGGGTTGAAGATTTTGCAATCATTTTTGGGGCAAAAGTTGTCCCCCTCACAAACAAAATTGACGTGTTTGAAAAAATTTTCTGAAAAAAAAATTACCCTGGCCGTTATGCCTTGCGGAACGTTTTCGATGGGCCACCCTGTATATGTTAAGGATAATGATGTACTCGTATACATTTATGACAATATCTAGCCACTAACGTAAGTGCTCAATATCATCAGATAATATCGTCATTGCAGAGATTTTTACGAAAATGGCCATGAATTAAGGGTAATGTTAAAAATGTTACTCTTTTATTGGCTTTTGTCAGTGATTCTCCGGACAATAACGTTATTGACCATATACTAAAATAAGAAATGTTGAAATACAACAGCCATCAGCAGCAACAACAAATATAACAGCTAACATCTCAATGTTTCTGTTAGACCTTTCCACTGAACCCCGACATTCAATTTTAAAATCAAGAAATTCCAAGCAAACGAAATTCGTATTAAAATTTAATGAATAGCACAGAGAATCACGAATCATAATAATTAAAAAATAATAATAATTAAATTAATAATAAATTAAAATTAAATAATTGGCATAAAAATACCGGGTGCGTCTCAAAAGTGGCTCACCCCTATAACTTTTTTGTGTTTTTAGATAAAAGAATGAGATTTAGTATGAAAGTATATGAAATAAATTAAGATTGATTGATGTATTACATTCTTTTCGACGGCTTCCTGTTTCACCGGAAACGACTACAGCTTTTGATTTTTAAATGACACCCTCGGTATCTTTTTAGTTTATTCGATAGAAAATTCACTCTGAATAGAATGACATCATATATCAACTTTTGACATTTTCGCTTAAAACAAAATTATAAATAAAAATAAAGAAACTTTATTTATTTTTTATTTATATTTGGAAAAAGCATTTTTTACGAATAATTTGGTACCACACACTATCATTCTATTTCGTGTCAAATTTTCGTTATGAACCGTTATAATTTTAAATAAACCATATTGGAAAATGTCTAAAGTTGACATCTGCTATGTCATTCTATTAAGAGTGTCATTTTCTATCGAATAAAGCAACATAGTGAGGTTGCCATTTAAAAATTAAAAGTTGTAGTCATTTCCTGTGAAACAGAAAGTGATCGAAAACAATTGGATATGTCAATCAATCCTAATTTTTGTCATATTACTATCAAGCCAAAATCCAAATCTCGATGTCTTATCTGAAAATATAAAAAAGTTATAGGGGTGAGCCATTTTTGAGACGCACCCGATATAAAAAAAAATAATTTAAACACATATTTACATTACTTTTTTTTTAATTGTAATTGTAATAATTTTTGAATTTGTAAGCATGTATCATCTGAAACGCTAAAAAGTAAAATAATATAATAAAAGTAAAATAAAATAATAAAAAAAAATAATAATTTAAAAAAAAATATTTTTAACACCCTGTATATTTTAGGTTTCTTGAAAGACTTATTCTTCCAAATTCAAACCGTATTTTGCTAGTTGAGCAAAATAATTACGTTATTTATAAATTAAACGGTGCATATAAAATGCATGCTTAATTAGTGTTAATATATAAATTAATAGTTATTAGTTCAAATAATGAATATAATATACACCTTTGTATACACGTACTGTATTATACATGTAAAGCAAAAACTTAAGAGAAGTTTCAGCTCTCTCTATATGGGGTGAAAAAATGAACAAAAACGATAAATTTATAATATTTTTAACACCCTGTATATTTTAGGTTTCTTGAAAGACTTATTCTTCCAAATTCAAACCGTATTTTGCTAGTTGAGCAAAATAATTACGTTATTTATAAATTAAACGGTGCATATAAAATGCATGCTTAATTAGTGTTAATATATAAATTAATAGTTATTAGTTCAAATAATGAATTAGTTTCAGGCTTATGGATCAAAAGGAAACAGTAAAAAAAGGAATCTGATTTTGTTTAATTAAATTTAATCTTACCAATCTAAAAAGAATGTATACAGTAGTAGATTAGATTAATTGATAATAAAAATGAAGAATGAAAAAGCCTTAATTAGGTATTGAAAAGCATAAGAAAGAAATGAAATTTTACAATATTCTCTGTCAGTTAAAAAAATACTGATCACTACAAATTATGAATTAGTTTCAGGCTTATGGATCAAAAGGAAACAGTAAAAAAAGGAATGTGATTTTGTTTAATTAAATTTAATCTTACCAATCTTGTGTAGAGTGGGGATAAAATACCCCTTTCTTAAGTGCATCTTTAGTCCAAGTGCATTGTCTTGTAGCGTCAGGTATAACAAACTTTTTTCCATTTATTGGTGCAACATAGACAATTTTCCTATCATCATCCACAGTGCATCCGAGATGATTAGAATATCCATTCATAGCACACTTAACTTCATTTTTCTCTTTACAAGATCCCATTTTGAGATTTCTGCAACAAATTTCAATCGAATAATTCGTATAATGAACTACTGCAAAGGTATCACGAAATGCCGACAGATAATCACCTAATATCAATTTCACTTTGTGTTCATGTGTCATTTCAGTCGAACAAAATTAGGGATAATAATGGATTTAATTTAATATTTAATAGAAATTTCGTGTTGTTTTTGTATACTAGCCGACAAGAAGTATAGAATTTTATTTTAACGAATTTTAAAAACCCACCTTCCAGAACATTGTTATATTTGTTAAATGAGTAAATTTAAAGCGTCTATTATACAATGAAAATACATTTTCCTTTAAGTAAGTAAATTATTAAATTGTTATGCAACCCCGTCTAAAAGAGACTCATTTTGGGCTATCAAATCGTCAATCAAATGGCGGCAAATTAAAGGCTATTATTTATCCCTTTATATATTGATGATCGCTAAATCGACCACTTTAATTTAATTGGCGCGAAAAGTTAACGTAAGCGGTTGAATATTCGACCAGTGAGCATTGGTAACACTGAGTTCGCTGTGTGTCAATAATTGCCGGCTAAGCATTTTCTATGCAAATTTCGTGTAATAAAAATTTAAAAATACAGAAACACATGTATGTGACGCTTATATCTTTTTATCTAGTGCACCAAATTTACGGCTCGGATGATATTTTCTAAAATCGTTAAGATATCCTATATATTTTCGATCATTTCTCATAGGATGCGAGTTTCTCGAAAAACAAAATTTTATTTAGTTGATATGGACATATAGTTAGATTGCTTGCTAAAGTTTAATGGATATCAAATATACAGGGTGAGTCTTAAATAAGTGCAAATATTTTCAGGGGTGGTATATTTCGACTCCAGGGAACACGCCCAAGTAGCAAATTTTATTTTATAAAGGCTGTATAAACAGCTATGTGATAATTTTTATAGGATATCTCAATTCATATAACGTGCTATAAGACCGTAATATGATAGCTTTACAACCAAAAAAGGCTCATTTTTATACAACCGTTTAGTAGTATAGAAGTTCTATAAAAAAGGTATACAACTCTTATGCAACTATTTTACAGAGCGTCATATAACTATTATAAAACTAGTTTTATTGTGTATTACGTGGTCACATCTGAGAAACAGAACAATAAAAACATTTGATCATTTAGCGAGGTAAAAGAGTATTTTATTTCTTACCAAAGAATATTAGGAGCAAATTATATTTTAAGCGTGTCGTAAAATGAATCTAGAGGATGTGGATTGTTATAAAGGAGACTTTACTCGACAATGAAAATGGCGGGTAGAGCCAGAAGGTACAACAAATATGTAATATAAAAAATCATTAATAGGGTTTGAAAAATAGGAAGAATTTTTGTTGCGCCGAAAATTTTATTGGTAGATTATAGGTATGTATATGGCAAAAAATTAAAAAAACGCTTTAATTTCGATTAAGGTTTACGTATAAATTTAAACAATAAAATAAAATAAAATTTTCAAAAATTCTTGTTTTTAATTCAATTAAACACTTTATTACTGTATGTGGGAATCTTATCACAAAATAGTTCTCAAAAATAACATTTTAAAATGTATTTTGATGTTTTTAATTTTGCTTCATATAATGGCGGCCATAGGCCATACAAAAATTCTGCCTTAAACATGGCGAATTATAATGCAACCATTTTATTATAAATGAATCCCTTAAATAAGTCTTTGTTGTAAAATAAAACGGTATAGGATGAATATCTATCATTAAGCAGAATTAATATAGAACTATTTTGGACACATACAGATTTGTGACAAATAGATGTTGCCAAATCTCATTTGATTAGTATTTAAACTAACAAACATGGTTAGATTTTCATGGATTCATGCATGCCCGACGAGTGAGTGGCAACCTAAGGACTTGGCCAAACAACAATAAAACAATACAAACATTACTACAGTAAAACTTTTACATCAACGTGGCAACAATGTTTTGAAGAAGCCAGACAACCCGAGATATTTTGGTTTTTGGGAACCCAGGGTATTCTCGGGATTATTTGCCGTAATTTCGAGTTTTTTCTTACATGCTCTTTATAACTACCACTGCGTTTGTTAACTTTTTTCCAACTTTGTCCAGAATTCATAATAGCTGTGATTGATTAAACTCGTACGTAGATGTTACTTTTGCAACAACAACAATAACAAAATAAATAACTAGGTATATCATTTAATTTAAAATGAGGTTATATTACCAGTTCTATAATACAGATATTACAGCGAATTTATTTTGTTAATCACAATTTTATCATATAAGGCTAACAGGCATAACTGGTGTTGTATACAGCACCGTAGTTTAACGCAATAAAACATTCATACAACGTAATACAACTTTAATAAGACAAGTTTAAGTAACTATTATATGATCTTGTGACTACTAGTTATATGAATATTATAGAACTCTTACATGGTAGGTATAAGAGTCTAATAAAATAATATGTTTGTTATCATATAGCATTGTCTTATTAAGTGTTATATCATATTAAAAGAAATGATCGTTTAATGCGTTATAGGATACGTTGTAAAAACCACTAGAAAATAGTTTAATATGACAACTTTTATTAACAAGCAGAATGGTCGAAACCAAAGGCTTAATAAAATCAAGCAGTCTTTAAGTCAACGCTATTCGACTGTTATAAAATAATTAAATCCTTTTAAGGTGCGTATTCATTATCCGAACGAACGAACGAACGAACGAATATTCGTTAGTGGTATGGGCTGGGACCGCACGATAGAACCGCACGAGAAGATCGGACGCGAACGCCTTTGATGTACCGACTCGAAACGGATGGTCGAGCGAACGAACGAACGAACGGCCGCATGCGTTCGGTCCCCGTCTAAATATACCGCACTTTCATTCGTTCGTTCGTTCGTTCGGATAATGAATACGCGCCTTTAGAATTTCTTTTTGCTACTTGGGCGTCTATGAGGTTTTGTATGTCTATGAGCTAGAATATGTTGTGTAAAAAACAAGTTTATAAGACCAAGACCAGTAAAACTGTAATTAGCACCGATATTTTACCGGTAATTAAATGTTTGGAGGAGCAGTGTGTTATAGATAAAAACTAGAACATCAGAAGGTCGTATTTGATTTATTGCATTTTCAAGAAATTACACATTAACAAAACATAACAAGGCGGAATCGATAGTGTACAAAAATAAAATACAACCTCCAATAAATTATACCTATAGTTAGACGCACAAAATCCGTTGGCGCTCCACTGAGCGCACCTCATTACGTAAAATATTGAGGATATAGATAGGTATGTTTTGTTTTGTTTTTTTACTAAAGATAAAACTAGAAAAAATATTTAGACTATTTGGGTTTTGAACACCCTCTACCCTATGCCCGAAATCTTTCTCGAAATATTTTCAGAAGTAAACTCAATGCTTTTCTTATGTTGCAAGGAATCTCGGCCGCAAAACTCCGAAATAGATCGAAATAGACCGAGACAAGCCGTCATCGGTTGTTTGCTTTTTTTATTGATATTGGAATTGTCTCTGGAAATGTTTTGATCGATTTACTACTTTGCGAAACCATCAAGACCAAATTTTGTGGTGGCCTCAGAAAAATAATTTAACATGAATATGAGTAAATATCATTAGTTTGTAATGGACTGTAATGTCATACAGCTATATTATTAAACTAATATGAAAAATCAGAAACAGTGCATTTAGAAAACAGATACCCCATAGTAGATTAAATTGGCTGTTCCTCTAAGCTTACACATTATTCTTAATCTAAGAAAAGAACAAATGATTTGACAAGGAATAAAGCTACTAATTTCCTTATACTATGGTTTTAGTCTACTTTTGACAAATATAGCCTAACTAATATGATAAATAATAAACTATCTAAAATTAATAGTTTTATTATACACTGAATTTAATTAGTTTACTTTTACTAAATGGTAAAAAACTGAATTTGATTAGTTTTAACTATACCAAATGTTAAAACATTCTTTTATCAAATTTGAAGAAAAAAGACAGACTTTTCGGCATTTTATAGAAACCGCTATTATTTATAAATTGAGTTGTAGCCAACTCCCGCAAACAAATGGCATTGTTAGGAGAGTAGGAAATATGTTTGTCTATGCAAACAGTCGTATCTAAAGATATTATTTATACAAGAGAGACTAGAATAATAACTCAAAGAGAACACGATATATGGCGTGTTTTCAGTGGCGTTTAAAATATTGAAAGAAAAATTTGTAAGGAAATTCAGGTAAATAGATATTTACTAGTATTAAGAGATAGTAGGCGGTTACCTAGGGTATTGTATCGAAGACATGCAAGGTACTTGAAACTAGGAACTCTCAAGAACACGCCTAAAGTCGTCAAATAGTCACAACCGAATAACAAGACCGCTTTGTGTGCCAAATTGCTAGAAGAAATTTAGAAATCCCAATGTTTCTCATCCACAGCGACAAAGACAACTTCTAGCAGCTACAGGTATAAACATTTCAGTGGAAACCATAAGAAAAAGGCTTCGTCCTCGAGGGTTGTACAGTAGGAGAGAGTTACGGATCCCACAGTTATCTCGACAAAATAAAATTGATCGGCTAAATTGGTGTCTTCAACATCAAAACTGATGGTCAAAATATTCTTTTATTAGATGAGATTACAATTGGTCTAAGATTAGATGACCATCGAATTCGGGTTCTCAGACTTTCAGGAAGACCAGCGAGACTCCAGGCTGCCAAATCTGTACCAAGATATAAAGGATGATCTGGGAGGTATTATGCTGGATGCAAAAACTCCATTGTTACCACTTCAACAAACTTTAACGGGTCGGAGGTATGTTGATTTAGTGCTAGAACTTTAGGGAACATTTTAACTTCATGCACGATAATGCACCTTCCAATACCAGCAGAGTGGCTAGAGAATATCTTGAAACGGAAAGTGTCTTAGTTATGGACTGGTCTGCATGTTCACCAGATCTAAACCCTACAGAACACTTGTGGGACCAGTTCGTTGAAACAATCCAGGAAATCTCGCATAACTTATTGATGCAGGATGCAGCATTAACAGAATAGGAAAACATACTCAAAGACAACAATGATAATTTAATAAGAAGCATGCCAGCGCGGATAGAAGCTTACATAAGGGCTAGAGGTAACAATACGGATTATTAAAATAATTATCAATTTTCTTTTTGTTTTTGCTTTTTGACCATTAAAAATTTAAATCTCATTTCTTTTCAGAAACCAAAAAATACCATTATGTTTATTTTGGGAACTGATTAACTTCTTTTATTGCTATATGTACTATTTTTCATTAAAAGTCTTTATAAAAAAAATATGAAAAATAATAGAGGATTCCATATAAGTTTGGTTGTGTTTATATTGTTTTCAATTCTGCAACTAAATGATAGGCTAACTAATAATTGCATGTTAACGCCTAACCTGATGTGGCAGTCCTATATATTTACATTACATGTACTTTCACTTCATTAATGTCTTTTTATATTCAACATGTAATTAATTTCTTCGTTTTTCTTAACTATAAAATTTGCCATTATTTACATCTGGTTATATTTTGATGAATTTTGTACTATAGAATAGGT